AGGATCAGTCAACATACACAGAAACGATAAAGCCACATCACTTCACTTGTGAGTTACCGTAAAGTTGATTTTGCCTCATTCAAGCTTGTTTTTAAAACCCAAATTCAGCACAGTAATGATCCTCAATTCTTGGATCCATGACAGGCCTTGGGGTCCGGCTTTCTCTAACACCAGCCCCTAGAGTGCTCCTCTCCTTCAACAAACACAATACTTTATTGCTTCCTCATTTTAAAATCTCTCAGGTCTGCTAATTATCACTTTTTCCTTCAATCAGATAACTCACTTTAAGTGAAGCTTGATTTCTCATATTCCATTGAAGATTGCCACGATTTCACTTTGCTGTAGTGCCATATATCAATCTGATAGTGTCTAAAATAATTCTTGCACTGGTGCAAAGGTTTTCTGTAAAATCAAACCCCTTGCTGTTGGCGTAGCCTTTAAAAACAAATCTTGCTTTGTGGCTTATTGATGGAGCATCAGAATTTAATTTCTCTTGGAAATACCCATTTAGTTCCAATACATGCCTTATTCAATGGGATTAGGAACTACAATCCATGTTTTCGTTCTTCATCATTAATTCTCTTCAACTCTCAACTCCTCCTCCATGGCAGCTCTCCACTAAGGCAATTTTAAGGCTTCATCCACCTGAGTTGGTTCAAGTGAGACAATATTACATCTGTTGTAAATTTCCTCTAGGGATCTAGTTCCTCTAATTGCATAATCATCTTCATCTGATTCATCTTCATTGTCAGCTAGAAGTTCATGCTCTTGTTGAAAATGATCTTGTTCAAGAACTGATTTAGAATTTCCTGGTTCCATGTTACTCTAATCCCATTCACCATTCTCATCGAATTTGACACTCCTACTGACAGACACCTGTTTTTTAATAGGATTCAGAATTCTGTTGGCTTTGGATTCCCTGCTATAGCCTACTAAAATTCCTTTTTCAGCTCGTTGATCCAATTTCCCTCTTTTTGCATTTGGAATAAATGAATAACATATGCTTCCAAATATTTTGAGATGACCTACTGAGATTTTTTGAGTCATGATCCACCGTGGGTAACTCCAAACCAGCTTTCGAGAAGAGTTTTCGTCTCAATAGCTTTGGTTGGAAAGCATCGTATTTTGACAGATTACAATTAACAGCACTCGTTTATACGCTCTCCAGGCCCCAAAGAAACTTTAGATGGTGGTAGGATTTTTCACTCAAGAACAACCCGAGACATCTCGCCCTCGTTATCTTCATCACAGATCGAGGCTTTCTTTCACTTTACCACCATTTTTGTGTTGAAGGTAATGTGTAAGCTACTGTAATGCTATGAGTTGTAAGCAGCGTCATTGCAAATATTGCTTGATATTAGATTGGATGTTAATTCAGCCCTTATCAGCATCTTAAATCTTGCATATGGGGAGCCAGCGTTTGAATTTCTCTAACATGATTTCAAACTTCAAAGAACATTTTGAAAATCTCAGATTTGACACTTGTAAAGGAAATAATAACCCAGCAGAATTCTGCGGTGATAGTCAGCAATAAACAATAGGAAATATCTTGCTGCCAATTGTAAGATGAGACAACTCATAAGGGCCACACCATCGTGTTGTTTAATTCAAGGTTCATGGAGCTTCTCACCATGCTTGATGTGTGATGGTTTTTGCGATTTTGCCTAAGAACTGAAACATTATTTCACAAAGTATACGTGCTGTCTTCTTCAACTATTCAGATGGCAAATCGAGCAACTAACTTCTTGGATTGTTCACATTTTAATGAATTTGATAATTGGTGTTGTACCAAGTCGTCTTCTTATGCCAGTCAATAGATCTTTCTTTATGGACTCAAGCAAGATTTTCTTCTTTGAAGTTCTCTTAAATGAATTTAAGAAGGAAAGACTTCTCCGTTTCATTTTGAAGCAATAACTTTGAGCCAGAAGGATCACTGTTTTCACAACGTTTTCATCATCTTAAAATATGCAAACTAGTCAATTCTTATCCAGCACATTCGACAACCGAAATATCAATAGCTTTTGATTTTAGTTTCCGGTTTACGTACAAGAACTATCGGAATACCAGCTTATGTCACCTGAAGGAGTGGTGTACAATCAAACATTCTCCTTTGCCTCTTGGACATCAATCAAGCCTCACCATCTCCTCAAGTACTGATTTCTTGAAGAATTAGCGTTTATGTATCCAGGCTACTCGAAACTTCACCACAGTTTTGGGTCACATGTGCGTTAGTGCAGCCACTTAATCACAAGCCCATGCTTCTTTAGCTCAATATGAGGGACACACACATTTTTCCAATTTCAATTTACTGCAAATGCAGTTGATATCTTACAATACGTTTCTCAGCAATCTTCAGGGCGTGCATTTTGTGCGATAGGTGATAGGCTTCTGTGTTCTGCTGGATTATTGGTTTGTAGAACAAACTTTTCTCGTTAGTGACCAATATTGTCTTACACTACCTTACATTTGAGTCGCTCCAGGTCTTGAACTGACAAGTGCAGTAAAGTTCTCAGTGTGGTTTGTTTTTTTGCAATGTGGACAAGGTGAAATCTGTCCTTCTCCAATCTTTTTCTGAAATTCTTCTTCATTTATTTTTGGTTTCTGCAGTTTGCTGACCTCTTTGAACCTCCTTCTTGCATATGTTCTATATTGATTGAAGTCACAACAAGGAGGACCTTCTCTCATATGGTCTTACTCTCTTCCATATAGCGCTTTTCTTTGTTCTAACAAGCTAGTGTAGAGCACTCTCAGCACATTCAAGATTAATTTGTGACAATGTCCCAAGTTTCTTCAAGAGCAAGAAATCTTGGCTTTCAAATTTCTTCAGGCGAGCAGTCCAACCCCATACCTCCCATAATCTTTTCATTTATATTTTTTAAACTTTTTTTCCTTTTTTCCCCCCCCACAAACCAATTTTTTTTTTCTTTTTCTTTTTTCTTTTTTTCTTTTTGTTTTTCTTTTTTTATTTCTTTTTCTTGCAATTCTTCTTTCCCAACAATCGAATTTCAGGTTTACCAATCTTCATAAACTTTGATTCAAACATAATCTTTCACCGTTGCAATTTTCCTTCACTTTTCAACATTTCAAATATTAGTTTTCTTATATTTGAAATATCTTGCAAGTCTCCATTCTGTCGAGGTTTTTTTCAGTCCATGCATAACCTCATTTTCAACTTCTCCCCCAGCTTCAATGTGTTGTCTCAACATGGATCTCAATCTTTGAGTGAAGGATAGGCATCACTCCTTGCATACAGCTGCCATGGTACTTATTAGGGACAGAGCTTTTTGAAGCCTTAGCAACCTCTTCTCTATTGTTGTCTATATCTGTGAAGGCGTTTGATTGTTGCATTAAAGAGGTGGAGGTACTCCTGTTTTCCTCCACTACTGCATTAATGCAAGCCTCCTGTGAAATACACGCTTTCCCTCCTTACAGCCCAAAGCATGATAGTTTTCAACCGCATTAAAAGAATGATCGGGTGTGTAAAGAAGGATCATGCGATACCAACAAGACTGGCTAGAAGCATTTGAAGGGAAAAGCAAAATAAACACGAAAAAAACTTTCACAATTTTCTGGTCTATTTGGTTGGCTTTTCTCTCATTTGATTTCAACTCCAAACACACACACTAGCCACTTTAGATTCAAGTTTGCTCTGATCACCATTTTGGTTTTAGAAGTAAGCAGGAACCATATTATAGGAAGAGAATGGGACAATTGACTCCTGCATGAAAAAAAGAAATATACAAGTCTGCAGATTTTTGTGTAGGTGAATGAAACAATTTAATTTTCTTCTTATTCTTAATTCCATTCTCATACAGCCATAATGGTAACATTTTTAGTAGAGCTGTCAAAGTTTTTGTTTCACCAATCCTCTCCCTCATAAAGTCATAGTGGTTGTTTCACCCATAACTATCCTTACAATGCAAAGGTCGAGTGTTGCCACGCCATCCTCTTGAGTTTCAACTATCCATCCTCTTGATTTCAACAAAATACAACAAAATCTAAATGACTTTAACAAAATACCTCCAAAAATTGTCAACAACACTTGCATCAATAGCTGTAGCTGTAATTTTAACAAAGATTAATGCTAAATGAGCTCGAGTTCTTAACGATCGTTTAACAGTTTAAACTTTGTCAAATCTAACGAAAACCAAACCTTTTGCATTCAAATCTAACATGTTGCATTTGGTGTTATTACTTTTTTTACCGTCTAACACAAGAGATAGCATCTTTAACAAAATTATGTGGAAACAAATATGTAATTTGCATTAAAATTTAACGATCGCAGAACGAGTAACTGTATCTGTATAGTTACTGGTCTGAATAAATATATAATATATATATATATATATATATATATATATATAATCAATATATTTATATATATAATATATAATATATATATATATATATGATATCCATTGATAAGATATGAGAAATATATATAACACACACGTAAGTGCGCATCGCACTTGCCCAGATATATATATATCCATTGATAGATATGAGAAATATATATACACACACGTAGTGGCATCGCACTTTGCCCAAGAAACTTATCCCATCTCTACTTCATATCTTATCTTCTCCGGTCTCTCAAGTTGTGGGGTCTTAACTTCGAGAACTTCGAAAGATCACTAATCAAGAACCATCCTCACTCCCTCGCCACACTAAACCCCACAAAGAGGAAACACTTTGGCTCCCTGTGTGCCCTTTCTTTTTCCTTTTTATCAGCAAGTAATGATCCTTATTATATCATTTTATAATTATCATACAATCATCCATGTTCGTACATTTTCGTATCAAGATTCAATTCTATGCTTTTTAAATGAAAGGAAAGTACAGCACGTCAAACCTTCATCTTTAAAGTATTTTTCAATTTTTCATATTTATATGCACTGTATATCTAATATATATTATATATATCGAAGTAGTATTATTACTAATACTCAGCTCGACTCGACTCGACTCGCCTCACCTCTCCTCTCAGCTACCCTGTCTTGTCAACCATTTAATATATTAAGCTCCAAAAGAACGGCTCTTCTCATTTCTCTACACTATATAAACACTTGTTTCATTTTCTCCACCACCATCTCCTCCTCCTAATCCTCTCTCTCTCTCTCATCCCACAACACTCTCCTTTTCCCTTTTCGCTTGGCGAAACTATATATAAAAAAGAAGAATATGAAGAGGATGTTTTTGAGGGCTTGCTTTAACAAGTGGAGTAAGATGGGGAGTAGAGTTATACCTTGTGGAGGATGTGAGCACTGCTGTAGCCAATGGGGACTGTGGGGTTCTTTGCATGAAGGGAAGTCTTCAATACCTAAAGATGTTCCAAAGGGTCATTTAGTGGTGTATGTAGGAGAAAACTACAAGAGATTTGTGATCAAGATTAGCTTACTTGAGAATCCTCTCTTCAAGGCATTGCTAGATCAAGCTCAAGATGAATATGACTTCACTGCTGATAACAAACTCTGCATTCCTTGTGATGAGAGTATTTTTCTTGATATTGTTCGATGTGCTAGCTCTCCACAGGGTCCAACAACCTGTCTGTGTCTTTAAGATTCATCCAATAGACAACTCCGATTGATTCTTGTTTCTTGAAACGTAAGATAATGCTAAAACAAAACATAACCCATTATTATATGATTCTATGTAGTAACTGTAACATAAAGATTGTAATTTCATTAGATAATGGTTATTTTGTTCTGCTCTGTGAAATCCAGTTTTTACACTTAAAACTGCATATGCCTACAACTAAAGGCATTCAATGGTACTAGAGTTATCTCCATAACTGTAAAGTTATTAGCTTGAACCATAAACAGAGAGGAAAAAAAATACAAGCATAGGTAATGAGACCTACTTAGATGAAACTCGTATAAATTGCATTTTCCTATTAATGTCTTTTGAGCCCTTTTTTTTTCAGAAAACAAGGGCAACAAGAGGCATCACTGAGACGTTCAAGGGTTTGCCACCAAGGAACAGACATATTAGTTAAGTTTATGGCAGAAACTGCAGTTGCAAAGGACAGAATCCAGCAGGGCTCTCATTTTTTAAAAATAAAAAAGAGGCGGTCAAGTCCATCATATGATTGTAAGTGATGTAATATGGGTCAGGAGTGCAGAATTTGCAGTCCATATAAGTGAAATGAATCTTCAAGATTGGAAAAGATTAGGGCATTCACTAGACATCTTCCAGTTCCATGGATTCATATAATTGCAGTCCTTCCAGCAAAGATGGAAGAAGCTGACCAGCCAAAGCAATAATTGAAAAAAGAAAAAGAAAGGAAACATAATAAGACCTACCAAGAACATTAAAAAAGAAGATAAAAATAGGATAAGAAATCAATGACTTGATAGAAATAGATAAAAAATAGCAGTGACAATAGGACAGTCCAGTAGTCTACCCTCCCCTGCCTACTAGGCCAATGACCCTTATTTACTCTCTTTTATTTAACCTAAACGTCATAATGCAATATTCACAAAGCAACTCAGCTTCAAACCCCAGTTAGAGGCCATAATAAAGTTAAAGCAAGCTCACCAATCGACAAATATTAGACAAGCCCATTGTAAATATTCCAATTGCAAGTTCTTATATTACCAGAGAAGCAAATTATTTATTCACCCATGATTTCCAAGGAAATGAATTATTATATTTGAATATTGCCACCAAAATGAATATGTAGCAATTTAGGTGGCTCAAACAAAATTTCACATTGCAAGATAAAAAACCATTGATTAGTGGTGACTCCGGAGGAATTTCTTCTGAAGTTCTGCAACCTAACAGAGGATAACAAATAACATAACAAAAAAAAAAAAAAAAAAAAAACCTTAACAGAGGGATAACAAAAATACATAACAAAAAAAAAAAAAAAAAAATCCTCCTTCAAAGAACCAAATTAATACAATTTTCCTCCATACTAGCTGAAGATTTAGGCAATCCAAACAGATATACAAGCGATTTTATTCATATATCACAAAGCAAAAAAAAAAAAAAAAAAAAAAATCCTCCTTCAAAGAACCATTAATACAATTTTCCTCATACTAGCTGAAGTATTTAGGCATCCAAACAGATAATACAAGCGATTTATCATATATCACAAAGCAATTGCAGATGTCAATATTGTAAAATCTTTACATAACCCTGTTTTTGTTTTAGTAATTGCCTAACTAAAAAGGCATATCCAAACATTGACTTCGCATATACACCAAGATATACTTGTTATCCAAGTTGAAATAACAAGTGAAGAAGTGAAAATGCATATATATTTCCCGCTAGAATGCGCGATTAAAGCAAGAGCAGAACTGACATACAACCAAAGATTGAATCAACCATCTTTCCAAAGCCAAAAACATGTTATCATAGACTAGAAGTAACCAAAAGAACCAATGTGCTTCTAGCTTCTCTAAATCCAAGATGACACTTGGTATTTGGTTTCTAAAACAGAAAAGAAAATGGGAGCGAATAAATAGAGATATCTGTGAGCTGCCAGGGTACAGAGGTTACTTTATCCATAGGCATGAAGCCCCCCTTTGGCAGCTGATTCATCCAGCAGCCTTCAGCCAGATTTGCTGTACATTGAGATCCCAAACCTGAGTAAAAAAAAATGATGTGTAGAATGTTCTAAAATGCTTGCTCCGAAAAGAGGGCTACCCATATTCATTCCTCATCTCAAACATGACACCCAGATTCAACAGGAAGATAGAAGCCACTTAAAAGCTATCAGATCTACGACTATTGAAAGGCAACATACAAAAAATAGACTGAAAGTTTATGCATTGACGGACAGCTGCAGTACTGTTTGGTGACCTCATACAACCAACAAAAGAAAATCCTCAAGCTATAAATTTCTCCTCCAAATTACCCACAAATCTTCTCTATTCATTGTACTGAAAGATCAACTACAAATGTGACCTTATCACTTCAAAGCTTCAACGTCTAATTGAGGCAAATACGATTACTGACAGTCAAATTGAAGAACCTTAGGTCCTGTGAACTTGGAGATGGGCATTTCGAGGGTAGGTGTTGCAAGAACTTCCCTCAACCCCCCTCTAATAAGCCAAGAAAGAACATCAACACTGGATACACAAACAAAAACCCTGATCATAAATAACTCAGACAACTAATCTATGCAACAAGCTCAGAATAACAAATATAGTCATGGTGATCAAACTATGACAGAATAACAAAATATAGTCATGGTGATCAAACTATGAGCCCATCCTGGACAATTACATTAGTCAGGAAGGTTAAGCATCACTATTTGGAAATAAATCACAGTCTTTTCTAACTTCTTTCAAGAAGAAAAACATCAAGCTTCAACCCGGATAGCCCCATTGTGGGTCAGCAAGACTTCATCTGGCAATAAAATCGGTCTTTCGTCAAGTTCAGTAAAATTGTGCATTATACTAGCACCTGCAACATAGAAAGAAACAGATTCTCAGACTGTTACGATACTTAGGACTTCAGACTTCAACAGTCATGCTGTATTACCAGATGTTGGTCAGTGATCCATATCATTGCACTAGCACTAGCATTCAAGTGGAACGATTATAGCTTTCCACCTGTGCGTGTATCTAATGCATTTTTGCCCCTGTACTTCAATCTGTTCCAAATTTTTAAGGGCACTCAAAGTTCACCTAGACCAATTACATTTCTAACAAAATTGGAATAAGAGTCCCTAGATTTGTTGTGTTTTAGTCCATATCCTGGAACCAACCCACCACCCAGTGCTTTAACCCCACAAACAGAGGGATTAGAGTGCACAAGACATCAGGATAAGCAGTTCCCGAACCTCCCAATTTTCCACTGTGACAACGGCTGGAAAGTGTAAACACCAAAATGTCTTCCAGAATTCCAGTGCTTTTCCCATTTAGCAGGATCCCATAACATTAGATTAACCTGACTCGAAGACGTTCAAATCACGTGCTGCAAACCCTCATGACTGAACTTTACATAGACCCCATCAAAAAAAAAAAAAAAAGGCATGACCTAAGGCTAAACAAACACCCAGTGCAAGCAAGATCATATCCTGCAGCATATCTCTCAATCCAAATGACAGAATATGGGCAATTATATCTCATACTGAGTTGTTGCCAGATAATGAATTTCGGAAATCCTTTATACCCACTGCACTAGCCTTTCTTGGATATAATTTTAAACAAAGCACCAGTTATTATTGTCATATTTTTCACCTGAGGGAAACAATATATACTTTTTCACACTATCCAGACAGATTTTTGGAAGTCACAAAGAATCATAGAAACTAAAAGGTACCCCAGATCTTTCATTGTCCCCTGCATGCTCACATAAGTCTTGTACAAAGAAAGTCTCATTTCAAATAGTTTGAATTAAAAGGGATACACACTAATTCCTCTCCCAATAACATGTCTACTAACAGTAGCTATATGCTAGACGTCTCAAATGTATCCTAAACATTATAGAAGGGAGGAAAAATATTTATCAAAAGGGAACAAAGGTAACACTGGGAAGAAGAGAAACAAGTAATTTTGCAAGTTCACTTCCAATGTCTCGCTATTCTAGCATATCAATAACAAGACGTTTTAACTTTCCTTAAAACTTCCTATTTCCCAGATTCATCAAATTCACTCAACCATAAAATCACAATTTGCTATAACTCGTTAAATTTATCACCATTTGTTTCTGATTTAGTCATTTAATTCACTGCAAGAAAACACGAGTTCAAAATAAGAAAAAATATGCATAAAAGCAAACAAGATAAAAGTTAAAGTAAACACAATAAAATCCCAAATTCAGAAATGATATAGCATAAAGCTCAAATGGACGTAAACCAATACCTTTCTCAATCTATATTGTGATCAATAACAGAGTAGGTATTGCAAGAGATTTAGAACAATGATTCGAACAAACTATACACATGAAGCATTCTCCTGGAAAATATACACAAGTAGTATATTGCCTCGTGATACAGTACATACAACATATTGTTGATGACTCTACACCTACCAATGGCAGTGTTGACTGACTGGAGCTGCAAAAAACAGGAACACACAAAGCACTGAAAGATCACTGCACTTATGGCTCTCGCTATTTTAGCATTACAGCTGGCATCACCTGCTAGTGAAACTATCATCTCTCATCATCATTCACTTATCATCTAAGGCCATCAATCAGTCCCTCTAATTCTGTCCTCCCAAACCTCCTCCCTTCTGAATGAGCTTCTTTAGACCTTGCAGCGAAGTAAAATATCAACCAAGCTACCATAAAGTAAACTTCCATAGCTGACTGGAAAAATGAGGCCAAAAACTTCCCAAATATCCGAGTTAAGACCCATCTTGCTGCTGAACCACAGAGTATAGTTTCCATAGATTTTATTTGGATAGCCTGGTTAAACATTGTTGATATCAAATAGCAACCTTCCTTTACAATCTCTCTCCCAGTCCTCCTTGAATCCACAATGGTAACCCATGCATCCACAGCAAAAATAAATGCCACAAACGCATCCAACAAAAACCAAGTGAACAAAAACCCTGAAATTTCCTTCTCAAACCCTCGAATCCAAGGGGACATAATTGAAAAAGGCATCAACTTTAATCTCACAAATAGCTTAAAGAAAGAGTATTGATCCTCAATTTCACCAAAATACCACAACCCTATGAGCTGCGTTAAAGCATCCCTAACTGCCCATCTCATTAGAATAAACCCGGTAAGTCTTTTTAGCCCCAATCTGGACCCATCCCAAACAACAGCAACAAATGAAGTAAACCTTGACAATAGATCATTAACAACAGCCACAAAAGCAATTCCCAATATCCATGAATATATAGCAGTAAAACCAAGAATCACCCACCCATAAGCAGCAGATAAGAAACTTACTAGGAAAAACAAGGCAGCTGCATCACGCCTGCCCAGTTCCAATCCCTTAATAAAGAACTGCAAATCCACTATCCGTTCCAAATCTCCTTCCTTTTCTAAACCTACCGATCCATTTTCGTCTTCTTCTTCTTTTTCAACGTCATTATAATCTAAACTCCCCCTATCCTTATCGTTACTGTCAATGAGTACACTTTCCACCTTGAATTGAATCCCAGAGCGCACGGTTTCAGGAATCTTGATCCCGTTATCAATTAGAAAGTCGGAAAAACCCAAACTTGGATGGAAATCGTAAAGAATTACAGAGCTACCATTAGGAGGAAGCTTACTGTTGGGCCCAAAGAGAGAGCGATCGGTGTCATCATCGCCAGAGAAGAAGTCATCGTCCAGGGTTCCGACACGGGTGAGGTGGAGAAATGGGCGGCGGTGGCGACGAGGAGGTAGGCGGTGGTGAGGGTGAGGATAGGGATGGACATGGTGGCCGGCGAGGTCAAGGCGTGAGAGGAGGGATTTAAGAGAAGGGTCACGGTCGATGAAGGAGGTGAGAACGTAGGTCCCATTCTCGACGAGGGAACGGAAAGAGAAAAGAAGCAGAGATAGGAGGAGAAATGTGAAGAGATTTGCGGAGAAGGAAGCTGCGGCTTGTTTGAGCAGATGCGACGTCGTTCGTAGATTGTTGATGCTCAGGCGGGGGTGATCGGTCATCGCGAAATCGGTTTGCTTTCTTGATTTTCTTTTCTTGTTTGTCGGAGAGAGCGCCGATTCTTGCTTGCGATCTGGAAGTGGTTTTTTTTTTTTTTTTCCTTTTTTTAAATTTGTTTTTGTTGTGTTGTGAGAAATGGTTGAGGAGAGGAACGTCTGATAGCTTCACGCGATGGTTGAGGCAGTGTTCAACACGCGTTTAACGAGCAATGGTGCGATACAATAAACACGGAAGATTCAAGTCCGCGTAGAACAGAGCAAAATGATGAATGCGATACGGAATATTTTCCTTGATACTACAGAGCAAAATGATAAAGGGTACTCTATCCTTTTTTTTTTTTTTTTTTAATTAAAACACGGAAGATTCAGTCCGCGTAGGAACAGAGGCAAAATGATGAATGGCGATACGGAATATATTTCCTTTATACTACAGAGCAAAAGATAAAGGGTACTCTATCCTTTTTTTTATTTTTTTGTTAATTATATGTATAATATATCCTTTTTTTTTTTTTTTGTTAATTATATGTATATATTCAATTGATTAGTTATATTTTGGAGTAATATTTCATTATTAATAAAAAAATATTTATTTATCTTTTATATTCGAATATCAAGAAAAGATAAAATTTATGAGATAATATTATTTTTTTAGGTAAATTATAATGTAGTTATGATTATGAGTTTTATTTTGCATTAAAGCAATTAATTTAAATATTTTGATCAATGTTTTTCTCATTATTGGACAATAATTAAAGATGTTGAAACTGATACATATTATGTTTTTTCCTTTGTGAAAGGAAATAGTTATTCTCATAAGTCGAGATATATATGATATATAGAATTAATATGTAACAAGTTCACTGAATTGATCTACATGAAACTTCAATATGGAGAGTTACTTGCATAATTAAAATAGGATCCATCACCTTAAGTAAATTAGAAAAAATATTCTAATTGTTTTCTATTAATGTTGATTAAGAAATCATTACGCAAGTAAATTAGGGAAATGTTCTAAATATTCTCTATCAGTGTTGATTAAAAAATCTTTACATGAGGTAAATGAAGTTAATAAAAAAAATTTTAAATTTCATTTAAATGATCAAATAACTAAGGTTAAAAAAATAATATAATTCAATAAAGAAGACACACTCCTAAATCAGAATATTAATAATAAAAAAATATTAATTACATTGATGATCCAATTCAAAATTTTTGAAAAGGTAAAATTTTGAAACTGATACATTTTGAAATCTAGTCCAATTCTAAAATTGACTGATACATAAATTTGGGTCGGAGAAGATGGTTTTACAATTTTTTTTAATTATACATTTAAAAACATGTTATATGTAAATAACATCGAGTACATTCCTTTCCTGAACAGTAGCAAACCTCGCAAATAAAGCCAACAACTCATCAACAGTGTACAATCAAAATCTTCTTCAACACAACCTAAACTGTCCCTTCATGAACTGCACTCTTTTTATTATCAAGTACAACACATAGGCTGAATACAACGAATGCAGCATCCTTCATGATTGATGGATAATTTTCTAAAAGGTCTATAAGGGGCTTTAGAGCACCTAATCTTTGCTCCACTTTAAATATTTCAGTGAGAACAAAAAATAATGAATATTGCACTAAAAGCCTGCAAATCAGAAACCAAAAAAGGAATTGCGAAGATTGAGTTTTAACCTTCCCAGTAAGTAACCAAGATAATTGGATCATCACGAGCTTACTTGAATTAGCGCATTTAAATTTATCAAGAATACAAGTGACAGTGATTTTTGCAAGTGTAAGAAAATCGCAACAAGTAATATAAAATGAGTAGAGTATCGTTTCCGCAGAGATTATATACCAAGTATCAAAATTATGTTAACTTATTATTATTTAAACGGCAATAAGGGAAATTATTTTGGAAAATTATTTTAAGAAATTAAATTAAACAAATAATAATAAAAAAAAAGAAATCAAGCATCAATATTTGATGAAAAGAAATTAAGGATTTAAATCTACTAAGGAGTTTGACTTCACTTAATTCTATCCAATTTATTTTATTAGTTTGATAATCAATTTTAATGGGAAAATAACCCTAAAATCACTAACAAGCTCTCCCGATATATTGTTAGCTATTTTAACCCGGTCTAATTACCTATTTTCCAATAGCGCAATCAAACATGCGCAATCAAACATGAAATTAAATCATTAAGTTTTATGGTTTGTTTATATCATTTTAACATAAGGTCATTAACTTAATGAAAACCCCGTGGGTCAAATCATATAGCTTCCGCATCAAGTTTATTATTCTCATTAATTTATTATCCCATTCATAATCAAAAAACCCTTTTTCCGATAGTGATTAATGAAATAAATAATATCAGAGGAAAACTCTGCCTGAAGCCATTAAGTTCAATAATAAATTAGATCAACGAACAAGGAAAAGCACATATAATATTTATAAATGGAATCAAATTAAGCTACAATCAAATCTCTAGTATGAGAGTTTTAATTCACAATAGTAATTAATATAAACTCAATTAAACTTGTAAAATATTCCTCATAATCAACATGAATATTGAAAATAAAACAAAAATAGTATAGAAATAAAAACTAGTTAATGTTGGCTTGAAGCGGCTTCTTTAAATCTTGACACAAATCTTGAATACTTGAAGTCATCCCGACACCCAACTAACTACAAAGGACCTATAATGTGAAGGGTGAGGCCAACCAAGAATGGCTTAGGGCTATTTTTGTGTGTAAGGTAAGCCCACTCATTATAGCTCAATTATTAAATATATAATTGAATTTTGATTTGATTATGTGCTCCTAGGCTAATCTCAACATGGTATCAGAGCCTGGGACCCCGAACCTGCAAGACGGAAGTTCCTGTGTTGGTCGTCAATATTAAATATATAATTGAATTTGATTTGATTAATTGCTCCTAGGGCTCAGATTCTCAACATGGTATCAGAGCCTGGGACCCGAACCTGCAAGACGGAAGTTCCTGTGTTGGGTCGTACCCTGATGGACTCATGTGTTGGGCCATCGTATGCTTGTCAAGTGGGTAGTCCCACTTGAGGGGGAGTGTTGGAATATGTGGATAATCCCACATCGGATAAATACAACTAACTAAAAGGGCATATGATGTGAAGCGTAAACCAACCAAAATAGTTTAAGCCATTTTGTGTTATTTTGTGTTAAAGGTAATTTTATAATTGAATTTGATTTGATTAATTATTCTAACCACCGTGCTAGTTGATGAAAAGTATTGCTTATCCTCTTCTAAAAAGAGACAAAGATACTTAATTGGCACTGTTTGAAATTTTGGATTTGCCTCCGTTTTTTGATGATTTGTTCCTTGGATCAAATTTTCATTGGGAAAAATCTGCTTATTCTTTTAGGAGAAGTGTGGTTCTTTCTGAATGTAGGAATTGAATGCAATTCTAAAATAGTAGGATATCTTGCATACTGTCATTTCTTTTTTGTAATTAAGCATCCAATGCTAGTTAATTTCCTATTAACATAAAGAACCTCCATCACAACCATTTGGGTTTTTCCACTTGATTTGTATTCTTCACTGAGGATCATCATGTTGTGTGTCCATAGATCTGAGAATTTTCCCATGCAACTTTGATTGATGTCCTTGGTGCCTTTTTTTGTCATCTAACACCTTCATCTTCTACGAAATCATTGAGGGGCCGTTGCATGGTGCAAGTACAAGTTCGATCTGCAACTATTGCAAGTATGATTTTGAGAGTGATCACTGCATCCAAAAGTGCTATACCATAGAGTTTAGCCAATATTTCCTTCCTAAGATTCTACTTTGATGAAAATTGGAACCGTAATTGGATGATTCCCCTCCTTTGTCAGTTTAGAGCAAATGTTTAGGCGGCATGCGGCGTCTAGAAAGTACACAGAATTATTTTGGACGAAAAGGGTAGAATTGAGTTTTGATAATAATATGATATATTTAGGTTTAATGTTGTATGCTGGTGATAACTGGGACTTCGTTTACTTTGCAGTATGGATTTTGATTTGAAATCCCAGTCTCACTCTTGTATTGCAAAACTCTGTGACAAGTTGACTGACATCTCAGTTCGCAAGGTATTAATTTACTGCACCGTTTAGGTGCTCTTTTTCTTTGTAACTTTTTGTACATACATTATGATGCTTGTTATGCCTAAACCTTTGCCTATGATTATTACAAATGGATTGTTAGAGGAAAAAAAAAAGCTCGATGGGGCCATTAGGATCTAATTTTGCAATTTTTTTTATACAAATGAAATTGTATGGTTGGATAAATTATGTCCAGTTGGTTTCTTTCTTGAATCAAGAAGATGAAGGATAGAGAATCACTAATTGATGATCTTGTTGAATTATAGCTATGGAAATTGGAAACATGATTGTAAGTTTTTGCTCTTGAAATTTCTACTGATTACAGGTGTGGTAATGCTGAGCTTTTTGTATAATTCTCTAATGCACATTGATTTTTCTTTTACTAAATTTTTTTGGGTATTTTTAGTTCTATACCTAACTTGGGAAGCTATGTGGAGGTTGTTCAAGCACAAGAATGTATAGCAAGAAGTCCTCCTAGAGCCAAGACTGCAGTTAGTGAGATAACGAATGGCATTTCAGTCAGTAAAGATGCGGTGAGTTTTTTTATTTGTCTTTCCTTGAAAATTGAAGACAATAATCCTTGTTTTCATGCTTCTGTTTATTCTGATGGTACTTTATTTTTTAGTATTAAGTGTTTAGAGCAAACACTATGACTTGTTTGATGTTTAAACTATTATATATTGTGCCTAAGTCCTGTGCACTTCTTTCAGTTGGTTATCTTATTTTCTCATATGTTGTACATTGGCCAATTGATACACAATGTATGACGTCACAGTTCATCCAAAAAATGCAACTATTAGTTATGGCCCAATTAACACTCATCTTGTATACTTATTTTAGAGGTATTTGTTTTTGTCTATTTTTCCTGATATTTTTCTTCAGGGTAGAACAGAATCTATATCAGGGCTCAGCAGGGAACTCACTGAAGAAGACAGTGATGTTGCATGGGGAGAGGAATCCTATCCACGGCCTAAAAATGGTGTTGAAAATAATGGATGTGCCATCTGCATGCTTGGTGGAGAACTCCTGTTAGTTACCTGATTTTAATTGATTTCTTTCCAAATATGTATGACAAAAACTGGAAGTTATAATTGACATGTTGGGCGTGTGAATGGTGGTGTTAATTTGCACATGTTATTCTTACAGCCTGCAGTTTCTCTGTTCTGGCATCTCACTTCCTCTCTTTCTTCTGTAGAAAGAAATATTTTCCATGACAATTGTTATATGGTACATTTACTCGTAATCTGCCAAAAATATCTGGTACCAGGTTTTTGAAATTTTTTGCACCAATGGAAATCTTTCCTATTTTTTCTCATCCACGTCTCTATTGTCCCTGTGCTCTAAAACTTAATACATAATTTAAATAACATGAAAAATCCATTATCTTTCCATTTTTTCTATTCAATTTCAGATGTTGTGTTGGAAAAGGATGCCAAAGGAGCTATCATTTATCTTGCCTTAACCCTCCTTTGGTGACTGCCCCTCCTGGAGTTTGGCACTGCACGTTTTGCGTTGAGAAAAAGATGAATATGGGCGTCCATTCTGTCTCTAAAGGAGTGGAGTCAGTATGGGCTGTTAGAGAGGTTGCTTCAGATAATGAAGGTACCATGTGAAATGTTTTTGGTATATGTTTGAACTGCTTTCTTATCTTCTTTCTTCTCTTCTTTCTTCTCTTATTGTCATAATTACTTGATGATCAAATATGTAGTCTCTCATAAATTGTAATGACAACTCCATTTGATGTTCATAGGAAAACAGAAACACAAGGAATATCTGGTCAAGCACCAAGGTCTTGCTCATGTTCACAATCTTTGGATTCCAGAGAAAGAGCTTCTTCTTGAAGCTCCAACAAGGGTTGCAAAATTTAATAGGAGGAGCCAGGTTTAGTAAATGCTCATGATTTTCTGGAAAAACTGACTTGTGCTTTCCCTTTTTGACATCATTATATTTAAATTACAGGCCACAAGTTGGAAAACAGAATGGTCTATCCCACAGCGTTTGCTGCAGAAACGACAGCTGTCATTTTCAAAGCATCGTACTAATGGGTGGCTTGTGAAATGGACTGGTCTTAGTTATGACCATGCAACATGGGAGTTGGAGAATGCTTCATTTTTGACATCACCTGAGGCTAGGAAGCTTATACAAGATTATGAAGATGGCCATGCCAAGGCAGAAAGAAAAGATTATGAAAATTGCCATGACAAGGCAGACAAAATGCAAAGTCTTTCTCAAGCCAATGAGGTGCTTTTCTAAGAAATACCAACTCTTAGGCCAATGATGTCTGTGTTAGTTACCTTGTTAGTTATTATGGAAATTTTACATCTTATTGCTGTGAAATTTTATCATCTATTTTTTGCAAGAATCCAGTGCCTGAGGTGATGTTTTGTGACCTGTTAGCATCAATCATAATTCTTTGTCTAGCAAATGCCACCATTTGCAATTTGTATGTATTTAATAATTTCAATAATTATAACACCAAGTAATCCGCTCTTATGACAGGAAGGAGAACTTAATATTTCCACATTATATGCTTATCAATCTAGAAAGGCCAACTTTTCTAGATTGTCGCAGTTGTCTTCTGGAGATTCACCTGGAGCATATAATCATTATCTGAAGTATGTGAACAAACTTCGTGAACATTGGTATAAGGGTCATAATGCCATTGTTTTTTATGATCAAGCAGATCAGGTAGGTGCTCCTTGAGCTATTTAATGGACAGCTGTAGATCTGCAAGCATCAAGAGTTCGTGTTATTAGACAAATGAGAAAGCATACACTCCAATGGAGTTACTCACATAATAAATGTTATACATCTTAGGCTTAGTTTTTTGTGTGTGACGAAGGGGCATTTCTTCTATGCTAACTTGAATCATATTTGTTAAGGTGTAGTTGTGCTTTTGTTAGCAATGATATCTAAACTGGAACTACCTGAGGATATTCTTGAACTTGTGAACAATGAAATTTTGGTTCGGGGATTTAATTTCTACTCATCTGTAACTGGTTGATGTTGCTAAAACATACGATAAAGACACATGCAATGTCTCGACGTGTGTTTGTGGGAGCATGACTAAATGCATTCAACCATAAGATTCATTGGCCTGAAGCAAACTGATCAGCCACTTTTATGAATCTTCACCAAGAAATCGACAACTTTTCTTAGTAGATATTATGATTGCTAGTCATAGATTTAGAAGATGCAAGGATGTCTTAGTGTTTTTCCTCTTCTCAGTTAGTGTTTACCCTATCATTTCCAGGCTACCCACAGGATAGTGACTATGTCAGCATGAAAAAAAAAAAGTTTACATTTGTATTTTATTACATCTATGTGATAGACTTGCATTGTATTAAAAATAAACTCCTTCGTTACAATTTGCAGGAGAGGATTTTAAAGGTGATCTTATTTATTCTATATTTGCAACATATTGTGCGGAGGCCTCTTCTTATAATCTCCAGTGCTAATGCGCTCTCTGTGTGGGAGGCTGAATTTTTACGTGTGGCATCGTCAGTCAACTTCATCGTTTACGAGGGGAACAAAGATGTTCGGAATAGCATCAGATCACTGGAATTCTACAATGAAGGTGGTAAAATAATGTTCCAAGCACTGTTAACCTCTTCCAGAATTGTTGTTGATGTACCTCTTTTTCTTTTTTATATTCTTTGTAACATTTCACGTTCTCCATGATATCATGGACTTGAAATATTTTTCTTATTTGATTCTTCCTTTTTGTAACAATATATAGTTTACAAATTGCATTAATAATTGTCTAACAAGTGGAGAATTTATAAGTTGCACTGGACATAATTTTCTGCCATTGAAAGATTATATGATTGGTACAATACTAAGAACTCTAGATTCATTCCCTCTTTAATGCAGGATCTGGAATTGTTAAAATCCATAGCATGGAGAACAATTATAATTGATGAGTGCCAACGATCCAGTATCTCAAGAGATTTTAAACAATTCAAAATGATAGCGGCTGATATGAGGCTGCTCATCAGCAGTCAAGTCAAGGTGTGCTTATTTCTAAATGCACAACTTTATGCTTCTTTGTCTCAAGTAACTCATTTACTGCTTGTGTTGCAGGATAATTCTGCTCATTACATCAGTATGCTTTCCCTTATAAATTCTAGAGAAGATGAACTGAATAATGGTAATATGAAGATTCATGATTCTGCTGATGTTGCTAAATTGAAGGAAATATTGGCACCTTACACAGCATATGAGTGCAAGTCAGACTCGTTTTGTTATGAAGAATATTGGGTACCTGTCCAGCTTTCCAATGTGCAGCTTGAGCAGTATTGTGCTGTGCTGCTTTCAAATCCAGTGCTACTTTTCAAGAATGACACTGTGGATGCCCTTCGTGAAATTATTATTTCAATTAGGAAGGTCAGACCTTACCGTATAATTAAACAAGGATTTAGCTGCAATTTAGTGTTATTACACATTTAATTGGTATTCATTCTAGCACTATGGAAACCATATCAGCAATGAGATATATTACTGCATTGGTTTTCTTCTTTGCAGTGCTGTGACCACCCTTATCTTTTGGATAAGTCTTAGCAAAGTGTAATCAGAGAAGGACTTCCCGCTGAAGAGTATTTGGATGCTGAAATACAAGTGAGTGGAAAATTACTACTACTTGAAAAAATACTACTCGAGATGAAAAGCCGGTTCTAAGAGTTTTAATCATTTTTCAGGTAGATAGTTGCATTACATTAATCTTTTTTTTTTTTTTTCCTTTTTATACTTTCTTTGGAATTGGGCCTCAGTACTTCCTATGTTTCCTTGTTCTTGACTTCGTTTGGATTTATTGGAATCTACATTCGTCTTTGATATATATCAACTGTCTGAGCTATATGAAGCATTAGGTTATTGACAAATGATATGGCAATCAATCAGTGGGTTTTTTTACAGCGAATTTTAATTTAGAGTTTATGTTTTTTATGTTGTCCTTTTTAAATTTTTTGATTTCATAGTCAATAGGTTGCTCTGGACGGGATTCTGTTGGAGACATTTTGGAAGAATTTGTTTGTCAAAGATTTGGTAAGGATTGTTGGGTGCGGATTGACGGTAACAGTGGAGTATATCGTCGTTCAAAGAAAGAGCTTATTGAAGAAAACCAAGTTAAAAGTATTCCGTCTATACTCACGTTACACCGTTGAAGAAAGAGCTTTGATTCATGCAAAGAAAAGTGGAAGTAACGAAATCAATGTAGATTATATGAACCGGGATTCTTGTTATTCACTGCTTGGCTGGGGTCTGGCGCGTCTCTTCAATAAGCTTGATGATTTTCATCAATGCAAAACATTGGCCTCTGGTTCAAAAATATATTCTGAATGGCCATTTTTGGATAATGTGCTCCAGGAGTTGTTGGATCAATTGCTTTGCAACAGAGAAGATGAACCTAGCATCTATTCTTTCATTTCAAAGGCACAACAGGACGCAGGAGCATATACGAGAGAAATTTCAGTTATCGATGAAAAGGAAGTTCAGGACACTGGACCACCAGCTCTTTTCTGGATAAATCTTCTTGGTGGGAGGCATCCTTGTTGGTGTTTTCTTTGCCAGTCATCTACAAGAATCAGAAGAAAAGTTAATTATGTTGATAACTTGTCAAGCGAATCTGAACTTGAAAATCATGTTGTTGCAAAGAAGCGCCGAAATGTGCCCAACAATCAAGGGGATCCCATCTATCAAAAGTCAAGGTTAAAGCGTAAAAGAAGTCTAGTTGTTGCAGGCAAGGAACACGAAATTACTGGTAATAATCCATTGACTGCCACGGTTGGTTTTCTTGTTTTATGTATTGTGCTCTTTTATAGGCACCTTCCTGCCCCGAATGGGACTGGGAAATCCAAATGGCAATGTCCACTTTTTTATATTGTTCAGCAGGTAAAAGGTACAAGTCATTTCTGGTAGCTGACTCTTCAACTATGCATCCTGTGGCTGATGATATTAAAGGAGCGCCAGAAGTCAATGTGGTTGAATTTGAGAAAGAAAATGTGCAGCCTGCTCTATTGAAGAGCAGTCAACCCTCCGTAAAATTAGAGATAACGGAGCTTTGTGATGTTCTAAAACTTCCAGTATGCCCTTCTGCACTTATTGGCGTGCTCTCCAGGGGCCCTACTTATTCATGTGCTCTGATGACAGTTTTTTTACCATTACTTTTATAATGAGATTATTCTCTCTTTCTTTTGTTGATAGATATACTTTTGCTGCTTGATTTATTTTGGCAAAGCATATATCGATTAGGCAACAAGACTGTATGAAGATTACTACCTTTCGCTGTAGTTGAGCTGGATGCACATGCATGCATGCTTGTGTACTCACACAGGAATGTGCAATCATATGCGTGCCCACACTGGGGGCATGCAGCAAATAGAATTTGCGTTCAGATTGATTGTTGTTTTTTGTAGTATTCTATTTACTTAAAAGGAAAAATGCACAATTAATTTTTGGTAAATGTAAAAAGGGATGCAGGAACTGTTTCTACCATCCATAATCCTAATTACAAGTTGAGCATGTAGATATGTGTGTGTGCATACAAGGTCTCCCAATGCAATTTCAAGAAATCGATATTGATAAATGACAATTTATTCTGATGGATACATACCAATAGAGTAGACTTTTATGAAGAATAAATATGCTGCAACTTCATTGCTAGATATGACAAATTTTGAGAAGGATACTATTTGTATATTCTAATATGATTTATATGATGATTGATTTGCCTGGCACAATAGAATAGCTAAAAAACCTGATACTTTGACTTTTCCTGCAGGAGAATGTCAAGGCTACCTGTTTGACATTCTTTGACTACATAATGAGTAATTACAATGTCAGTTGGGAGACTGGTGATACATTGGAGGCGTTTCAGATATCTCTGGTTAGAATCAACCTAGTGTTACGGTTACTTTTCATAATTTGGTTGCCTAAATATTTAGCTAATCATAAATTTACCAAATATTGCCATCAGAAATATAAAAGACTCCTGCCCCTGACCCCTTACTCCAACCCCAAACAGGCAAGGAGAATAAGTTTTTAAGCAATCTCAGAAATTTGAACGAAGTTATAAATTCCAATTCCTACTAAAATGTTGCAAGCTTTCAAAAGCAATTCGTTAACAGAGATTGGTTGGCTCCTATCGCAGCTATGAACGATGGAGTTTTTGTCGGCTTATAGTTTTATGAGTTGGTGACTAAAAACCAAACACAGAGCATGGTAAGACTGTGGACACCAAAGAAATCCTTTGAATAACCAGAAGCGAGGTTTCCAATTTTGATGTTAGCAGCTGGCTAAAATGGTCCACATATCAACCCCCAGCACTTAGACAAGAAAAGTAAGTGCATTAGTACGTCGTGAAGGGAGTCTTCAATGGCGATGCCTAATGCTCGTATATAGTTATTGAAGATTATGGAGGGTGATTCTTGACCTCAAGATTCTATGATTTTCTCTTTTTCATTTTATCTCTTGATTCAAATTCAATATTTCTTGTCATCTTCCAAATTCATTAAAAAAAATGCTTGAATTAGATTAATTAACTCAACTATTATAACTGTAAATCCAAGATCCTTCTCCTAAACTTGGAAAAGGGAAAACAAGAACTACATGTTAAAACACTTTCAGATTGTCTCTTGCATTGAACTTTCAATTTGATTTGCTTCAAATTGTTTGATATCCCCTTCTGAAAAACAATTCAACAGTACTAATTTACATGCAAGATATTAAAGATTGAAGATGGAAAAGGGGAAACAAGAACTACATGTTTAAAACACTTTCAGATTGGTCTCTTGCTATTGAAACTTTTCAATTTGATTTGCTTCAAAATTGTTTGATATCCCTTCTGAAAAAACAATTCAACAGTACTAATTTACATGCAAGATATTAAAGATTGAAGATAGAAATGCATTAATTATTGATTGTTATATCACAAACTTTAGTACATCCCATCATCAAACTTTTAAGTACATAGAAGGGACTGGGAAAAGAAATTTTGAACTGCAAAAGAAAACTTTAAAAACACAAAAATTTAAGAAAAATACACTTAACAAATTGGAAGAGGAGCACCATTCCATTCCTTGAGACATTCCATCATTGGATCAATAATCTTTCCTTCACACATAGCAGTGAAAACCTTGTCAAACTCCTCTCCAGGTGACCGGACTTTCTCTCCGGTGAGCAATCCACTACCTAACTCCTCCCTCACAAACTTATACAAAGGATACAAACTTATACAAAGGATAAAGACCTGCATTCCTTAATCTTATTGCCAATGTGCTGGCACTTGCACTCTCATATGCTTCCTCTTTGCACTTTCAACTTCTTTAGGCAAAAGGGTTTTTTCAAATTCTTCCTTCAAAAGCACCAATCTTTTTCGAAAAAGAATAAAACTGAAGTGCTAGCATTCTTTTCATTTTCGGGCCAATTCGCCAAGGCATGTTTCGACAAGAACTTGCCCTTAGTTTTTGCATCAAAGGATATTACACTACAGGGGATCATCAAGTATAGGCAAACACTTGTTCGCGATCGATTCAGCTTTAGGCCAATCTTTCCCACAAAATCTTTGAAAGGATGAAGTTCTCCAATTACAACCAGTAGTTAAAAACTCTTTTTAGCTACTGAGGTTACGGTTATTTTTAACTTGCATGCTTCAAAATTCTCTTCCAAAATGCCTCAAGTCAATAGCTTGAACATAGTGCTACTGAAAGTTGGAAAAGAAAAAACAATAAGCTCAAAAACATATCAATGGCTTCTTTGAGTCTTTCTCCTTTTTGAAAAGAATTAACCCTAATGAGTTTTCACATTCTTGATTATGCTGCCTCTGCACTTTGGCAACATGGCTAGTAAACTGGATTAGCAAGAACTTTGAAGCTCAACGAACAGTATGAAGCCATTTGGCATTTCAGCTCCTCTTGAATCCATAATCCAAACTCGGATTCTTCCTCCAGAAAGAGATTTGAAAAGGCAACCCATTATTGTAAAAAATCATTTACGAAGCTCACTAAATTGAAGGCAGACATTAACGTTCCCAAATTGAAGCAATAGCAAACGTGCATTATGGGCCATTGAAACGCCAATTGGTTGTGCCCTTGAAAAGTTTTCCACTCATGTAAAGCCTTGTTTTTCTTGAAAACATCAATCAAGGATTATCATTGACAGAGTTTAAATCTCTCTTTCAGATTGATTTTAGTAAGAAATCGAAATACTTCGTATTTGGAGGGGCCTAACCATTGAGGAGAAGTTCTTTAAGCATAGAAGATTCTTTTTTTTGGTTTCTGCAATGGGATGCAAATTTTTCATGTGATTGTTTAAGCAGGCTTTTAATGTAGGAGCCTACCATCTAAAAATATGCTCCCATTTAAGCTGCAGCTTCCAATTTGAACCAGGATGGTGCTTCAATTTAAATGTGTCAAATGATCAGTAAATTAACAGGTTTTCCATTCATAACTTCGGGAAAATTTGCTGGGATAATAATTTCCTGACAAGACAGCAAGAAATTTTGGCTTCAAATAGAACCATAGACGCCAACCCAGAACCAACTGCTGTGCCATTAACAAGAAGCAAGAGCCGGTCCTTTAGGCTGTAACTCAAAGAATCCAGAATGCAAATACCAGCAAGGCAAACAACTCTCAACAGCATCTTAAGATTCTCCGGTAGGGCCATGGCTTTGGAAAACTTAGGCCGGCCGGTTTAATAAATCCAGCAATATAAGAATTAATGGTAACTAATCTCTGAAAGCAGTGATTGGCCCCGGAGAGGCAAGCATGGGAAGTGATATTGGTGGTTAAGGAAGTTTTAGTAATGGCTTCTCAGATTTCAAAATCTAATGCCTGAGTAACCTTGAAGAAGAGTATCTTATTCCTCATAGCATTGTGCTCTTGTTGCAGAGTGGAAGGTATGTGTGGACATGTTTCTGTTCATTGCCCAAAAAATCCAGCATATTCTCACTAGCATTGCTGCTCTTGTTGCAGAGTGAGGTAATGTGTGACATGTTTCTGTTCCATTGCCAAAAATCCCAGCATTCAAGAATCTGCAGGAACAAAATTTTTCATTATCATTTAACTAATTTTATTTTCTCTTATTGATAAAAGTGAAAATGGTAATTAAATTAGACCACCAACCAATTGACAATTGACCAATTAAGTATAGAATATGAGTTAAAAAATTACTTAAGATGAGTACAAATTTGACTAGTCTACCAATAGAAGTCCAAGAAACAAGCATATCCACCCATCCCAATAGTGTTTTTGGATTTAACTAATGAGAAAAAACAAATTGGGTGATCAAGATTTAACAAATAGCAATGCTTCAAGAAATCTCGTCCAAGTCCAATTCTTGACAAGAAAACAAGGCCTGCAGGCAAGAAACATTTAACTTGAACGAGTCAACTCGGACTCAACTGCAACATGTATAATTGTACTGCTGAATTTTGACCATTCTAATGAAAAGCCAAAATATATGACAACCTCACAATTCATCCATCTACTCACTGGGTCCACTGGTCCGAGTCACCCTCACCCACCATGAAAATCACCAAAAAAGAAAAGAACTTCACTAAGACAAATATCGTTGTTGCTTACCTAATAAGCTCCCTTTGCAGAGCAGCACCTTGTTTGGTTCTTCTATGGGAAGTAGCTCCAAAACCAGTAGTAACACCATAACTATCAGTTCCTTTATTCATACTATCCATAACCCAGTCACTGCTAGCTTTAACACCGGCTCGGGCTGACTCAGCAAGCTCCACCTTAACATCGGCATCATGACTGGCAATAGCAGCCACCTGAGCTACAGTCAAGGTCTCGCCACCTAACTTGACCAAAGGTTTCCTATATTCACTCACCATCTTCTTCACTTCATCTAAATGGCTACCTTTCATTGACTCAGCAGCCACTCCCCAACTCAGTGGATCACGAGTTATACACAGACCCTCTAAAGAACCATTCTGGTGATCATTTCCGATAATTGTTGCCATTTTTAAGGAACACCCAGATGGCTAAAACTAATAAAAAGCTTAACTGAGAGAAGGGCAATGGAAGACAGTTGTAAACAGGAAATCCTGAGTTAGATTATGGATTTCCTGAGAGAAAGGGGAGGAGATACTGAGGTTTAAATAGAAGTAGAAGGAGAAAAGGCTTAACGTTTCGTTTTGTGCATGGGGTACGTAAGCATAAGGAAGGCAGAGGGAGAAAGAGTGGGTTGGTTGAAAATTCATAGAGAAGGGTAAATTTGACTCGTGGTAGGGTCGTGGTTGGTGGCAACTCAAGAATATATATATATAGGTCTAATTTTTAAAATTATATTTGTAAATGCCAGACATATTTATTTCTAGTAAAATTCATGTTAAAAATAGAAAATTTGACACAAAAATTAGAGAAAAATAGTGAGAGAAGAGTTTCTTAATCCTAACTAGTTGGCAGTGTTGTTTGGTGAGCATAGACTAATTTTATTCACCAACAACCTCTGATCAATTTTCTTGTTTCTCAAGGTAGGTAAGAAAGACTACCAGGTAGGTAAGAAAGACTACCGTGTCTATTTCGTACTCTCTCAACTACAGTTGTTCTCAATATCTTCTAGATCATAGTTTAGTCTCTAGTGAATTAAAAAAATTTTTAATTTTTTTTACATTAGGAAATGAGACTTAAATTTATATAAATTTGTGAAATACTATTATTAAAGTGTCATAAAAATTTTTAAAATAAGTACAGAAAAGTTGGGTATTTTTTCAAGTTATAAATCCTGGATCTCAATCATTCAAAGCCAATGTGGTTAACATCCATTGAATCAGAATTTGGAATTATTCTCTGAATCTTTGAGCAATCAAACTCTTGTTTTTTTGGCCAAGTCAATATATTTAACATTAATATTATTTAAACAAAATTTTATAATGCGAAATATTCTATATAAATATGATGCCTCCTAAATATTTTTTCGATAATTCAATTACTTAATTTAAGAATATTTTATTTATCCACTGTAAAATCTTGAATCAGAGGTACAAGTGAAAGCAGATTCTAACAAATAGATTAATAATATTTTCAGCTTTTAAAAAAAAAAAAACTTTCAATAATTAATGTTACTAATATTTTAAAAAATGAAAATAAAAATATACAATACCCATAAATGCCTTTATGTCATACATATGTCAACATTGCAATTCCAAGTGTCACTTGTGGGTCCACAGAGACCAGAGTTTTGATTCTGCGCCATACTTCTCACCTGCCACACTGACTCACTGAGTCCAAAGCCACACTCCCAGTAACTCTAAAGGTCCCACTTTCACATGCAAATCAGTGGATAAGATCAAATTCAAAATTACAATATAGTCCTTACAATTTAATAAAATTGACTCTCTAATCTCAAAACTTACAGACCATACAAAAAATTGAATCATAATTTAATACATTCTATAAGAAAAACTGGTTAATAATAAGAATAGCTTTGTATTTAATGGAAAAAATATAAATTTTGTTGAAATACAAGATTGATCACAAGGAATCACTCTCCCTTGCAAAACTGCACTTGAAGTTTGGGTGCGAGGAAGTTGAAGCAAATTATATTTATTCCATATTGAAGAGTATTAAGAAAAAGTTTGGGTTCCCTGTAGAAAATATAAAGATGGTGAAGGAATCAATTAATTCAAAGAACTTTAAATGATCGGCTTGTAATCAGCAAGGTCTGGAAGAAGGCAAGTTAACAATAAGCTTCTGGAGCCAGAATCTTTCCTATGAACTAATAGATTTGGAGGATAGAGAGATACCAATGAGTTCAAATCCTATGACCGATTCTAAATCTACTGAATTTAAGCCGCATGATTTGGAAGAAGGAGAGATACACATGGGGAGTCCAAGAGACTGAGTGGTTTAGATAAATTGCTTCATCTGGAAGAAGGGGAGATACCAGTATGTTTGAACCATTCAAATGATACTATATCAACCAAATTTTACAAGCAAGATTTCGAAGAGGGAGAAATACCAACATGCCCTCAGATTAATGGTTTTTCAGATGAATTGATGGATTTGGAAGAGGGAGAGGTACCAGCGAGCCCTCAGAGTCGGAATCTCTTTGATAAAATGGGGGTACATGCTACTGTGAAACAGAGATCTGCCTCTGAAATGTTAGATGGTAAACTTAAGGAAAAAGACGATGATTCTAATTGTAAAATGGAAATACCACAGTATAATGTTGAAACTTCACAGTTGACCTCAAGGATTGCGGAGGAACAACTCATAGCTGATGAGATGGTTCAAGCAGAGAAAGCAACCGAGAAACCAGTTACGCCATGGTTTCCAGAGTCTGAGTTGAGATAGATAATGGCAACCTACTGGTGTGGCTACCGTGCATGTTGATTCCCAAAACGGCGTTCCTAGGACTGTGCCATATTCAGCAGACCACTGTGAAACCTTACTGATGGTGCCATCAGAAGCTTCTGATTTTTCTTCTATTCAGAATAAAATCTTTGAAACTAGTGGAAGGATTACGGAGGAACAACTAAAAGCTGATGAGATTGTCCATGTAAAGAAAGCAACTGAGAAACCAGTTGCTCTAGTGGGTAGTCTCTGTTCGTCAGGCTCCAAGTCCAAGATAGATAATATGCAGCCTACTGATATAGCCATGATTGGTGTTTCTGGAAATTGCATTTCTGAGGCTACGCCATCTTCACCTGTCCACTGTAAAAATATAAGAATGGTGTCATTGCAACTTTCTGATTTTTCTTCTAATGAAAATGAATCCTGTAAAACCACCGCAAGGATTGTCAATGCTGAAGAGATCGTCCAATTAGAGATAGCAACTGAGAAACCAGTTACATCATTCGGCAGTCTCTGTCCATCAGACTCTGAGTTCAAGGTAGACAATATGCAGCCTACTCATATGGCCACCAGGCATGTTGGTTCCCAAGAGGGCATTTGTGATAATATGCCATCATCACCAAACCACTGCAAACCTGTAACAATGCCATCACAACGTTCTGATTTTCCTCCAAATGAAAAGAAATTATGTGGTTCACCTGTGGTAACAGTAACTGGTGCCATAGAGTCTACTGAAGAGGATGATGAAGTGGAAGCCACTGTCTCAAAAAATATGGCATCTACTTGTAGTGTACAGAACAATGAAGTTAACAGTTCTACCCTCTGTCTCAACAATTGTTCTCTCGTTTTAATTTCTACAGAAAAGCAGAGACCTGGTAGAAATGTCCAGATAATTGACTCTGTTGCAAGACCTGATGATGATCCTCAAAGTACAATCCCTGAAGCAATCATGGGTAATGAGCCTATGGATCTGATAGTCACACTTTTCCTGTCCGAAAACGGTCTCTTGTTATGAAAAGACCGAATGTGCCTGAGGTGAGGGAGGACAGTAGAGTAGTAACTGCAGTAGAGTCTAATGAAGAGAGTGACGAGGTGGAAGTAGTTGTTTCAAAAAGTTTGGCATCTACTTGTAGAATTCAGAACAATGAAGTCAATGTTCCACCCGTGGTCTCAAGGATGATGCGCCTGTGTTAACTTCAGTAGAAAAGCAGAGCCCTGATAAAGATGTACATATAATAGACTCTGCTGTAAGACCTTCTGATGATCGTCAAAGTACATTCTGTGAAGTGGTCATAGTTGATGAGCTGATGGACCATTCTAGTCATGCTTTTCCTAAATAAAATCAGTCTCTGGCTATGGGAAGAGCAAATATGTCTGAGGTTGGGCAGGACAGTAGAGCCGTTACTCCTGTTTGTACAGAGAACCCTTCGTTGGAGTTTATTGGGACCAGCTCACCTATGGTGCATCCAGATACTAGTGCTGTACAAAGAAATGCAATCCCACTGAACCAGGTTTGCAAATTTTCTGGATTAGTTCCATTTTACTTGCTCATTCCATCAGTTTCTGGATGTGTTTTGATGCTTTAATGAATCCTTGATAGTAAAAATATAAAGTTGTAAGTTACGATAAATAAACATAAACATGCTAAATGTATGAACTGTACCCATGTTCCAGGAAATATTCAATTTGACAAAGTTTTCTTGACATGAAAATAAAAACAAAACCTAGCCCAGTGGAAAAATCTCTTAACCTTATGGAGTACTGAGGAATTATTGTTCAGTTAGGGAACCAGGTCGCGACATGACATTCCAAGCTTCCTCATTTTGCAGTTTCCTCTTGAAAAATCCAGTAAACAGTATTACTACACCTTGAAGACTATCTGGAAGGTTATCAGTTCAGTTGCCATTTAGATAATGTTGCATGTGTGGTTACCAGAGATATGTGTAGAGGAGCTGCTACATTCTGTTTGCAGCCCAATAAGCTTTAAGTCTTAACTGTAAAATTCTGATATGCTATAATGAGAATTGGTATCAGTTTTATTAAATTGCACATTAATTAAATTGTTTGCCATACTGGTTGAGGGTAAGTTGCTAATGTATATGCATCTGTACGTGATCAGTTACTTCCTTTTGACCATTTTTTAACTGCATGCATGACCTGAGGTGTTTCAACTTGTTAAAGTTACAGCTACAGCTATTGATGCAAGTGTTGTTGACAATTTTTGGAGGTATTTTGTTAAAGTCATTTAGATTTTGTTGTATTTTGAAGAGGTAGTGAAACTACTTGCTTTTAGGTAGGGTTGGTTTGAACAACTATCCTTGACTTATGGAAGGATTGGGTGAACAAACTTTTAGACTAGATCTACTATAATTTTACATTTGGCTGTAATGGGAATTAAATAAGAAATTAATTGTTTCTCACACATCACAAAATCTGCAGCTTTTCTCTTTTTCTGCAGAATTTCTTCTCTTTCTTTAAATTTCCTGCTCTTCTACAAACCCACACAACGTGGGTACTCAGAGAACCTTGTATCTCAAGGGCTTGTGTGTGTTTTAGTGAAGTCATAGAGAAAGCACCAAATAAACAGAATTTTGAAGTTTTTCTTGTTTATTTTGCTTTTCTCAAATGGTTTTCCAGCGCATGTCTTTTCACCACTCATTTTAATGGGGAAAACTATCATTTTGGGGCTGTGAAGATGAGAGCTTAATTTCAAGGGGTCTTGGCATTATGGCAGTATGTGAGGAAAAACGAGTATCCAATCTTAATCAAATCAACCTTAGCAGATTAGAACAACATGAAGAGAGGTTGCCTAAGGCTGCAAAAGCTTCTGTCCTATATCATGCAGCTTGTTGAGCAATCCGCTATCTTCACCAAGATTTGACATGGAGACAGAATGAAGCTTGGGAGAGTTAAAATTGAGTATCATGGATTTGAAAAAACTAGACAGATGAGATTATCAATTTAGAAAGAATCTTGAAATGTTGAAAATGAAGGAATTGAACAGGTGAAAGATTATGATTGATGAGTTTTATGAAAATGTAACCCAAATTCGATTGTTGGGAGAAGAGTTAGAAGAGAAGAGAATTGTGGAGAAAGTTATGGTGGACTTCGCCTGAAAATTTTGAAGCCAAGATTTCTTCTCTGAAGAAGACTTGGGACTGTCACATATCTTGAATGTGGCTTTTCATGCTCTACAAGCTGTAGAACAAAGGAAAAGGCCTATAGGGGAAGAAGAAACCATTGGAGAGGAAGGTTTGTTAGTGACTCTAAAACAAAAATGCAAGAAGGAGGTTCAAGAGGCAGCAAACTGACAGGAAAACAAAATGAAGAAGAATTTCAGAAAAAAAATTGGAGGAAGGGGACAGTTTCCACCTGTCCACATTGCAAAAAAACAACCAAACTGAGAACTACTGCTGGTTCAGACCTGGCTCAATGTAAGGTGTGTCAGCATTTGGTACCCGAGAAAGTTTGTTCTACAAACAGAATCAGCAACACAGAGCCCATCATCATGCATCAAGTCAACCGAAATTCTTGAAAAGGTATGAAGACAACATATTTGCAAGTAATGAAATTGAAAAATGTGGTGTCCAATTGAAGCTAAAGAAGCATGGCCTTGTTTGATTGTGGCTGCACTAACCACTTACACCCAACTTGGTCGAATTTCGATAAGCTTGGATACAAACCTATTCTTCAAAGTCAGACTTTGAGATGGATAGGCTTGTTGATGTCAAAGGAAAGGAGATGTGATTGTACAACTCCTTCAGTAATCAAGCTTGTTTCGCGATGTTTCTTTACCGTACCCGGAACTAAATCAAAGCTTGTTTTTCGGTTGGTCAACTTGCTGGATAGAAGAATTACAGTTTGACTATTTAAAGATATTTGTGGAAAGTGATCTTCTGGGCTTCAAAGTTATTTTTGCTGTCAAAATGAAACGGAGAAGCTTTCCTCTAAGTTTTAGAACTTCAAAGAGAATTTGCTTGAGTCATAAAGAAGAAGTCTGAATTTGTGGCATAAGAGACTTGGGTCACACAATCCTCAATTATTAAAATTGCTTACAATCAAGAAGTTAGTTGTTGTTTGCCATCTATAGTTGAAGAAGACAGAGTATATGATATGTCAGTTAGGCAAACTCAGCCAAACACCATTTCCATCTGATCAAGCATGGAGAGCTTCTATGAAACTTGAATTAATACACACTGATGTGTGTGGCTCTATGAGTGTCTCATCTTACAATGACAGCAAGTATTTTCTATTGTTTATTGATGACTACACCAGATTATGCTGGGTATATTTCCTCCAATTCAAATCTGAAGTTTTCAAAATGTTCTTGAAGTTTAAATCAATGGTAGAGAATCAAGTTGGCTCCCCAATCAAGATTTTAAGATCTGATAATGGGGCTGAATTTACATCCAATCAAATCAAGCAATATTTGCAAGAAGCTGGCATTCACCATCAATTAACAGTAGCTTACACACAAATGGTGTAAAGTGAAAGAAAGAATCGATCTGGTGATGAATATGCGAGTGTCTCTTTGGTTTGAGAAAATTACCAAAGGTTTTCTTTGGGCTGAAGCTGTTAACACTGCTGTATATCTTTCAAATTCGGCTTCCAACCCAAAGTATGATGGAAAAACTCCTTTTGAAAGCTGGGTTTTTGGGTTAACACATCGGTTGGTCATCTCAAAATCTTTGGAAGCATATGTTATCCATTTATTCCAAATGAAAAAGAGGGAATCTGGATCAACGAAGCCTGAAAAAAAGTGAATTTAGTAGGTACAGCAGTGAATCAGCTACGAATTTTTGAATCCTGTTACTAACAGGTGTTGTCAGAAGGAGTGTCAAATTCGATCGAGAAAGGTGAATGGGATTGGAGTAAAATGGAACAGAAATTCTAAATATTCTTGATTTTAGCAAGAGCAAGATATTCAGTTGGAACAATGAAGAAGAATCAAATGAAAGATGATTAATGCAATTAGAGGATTAGATCTAGAGGAAATTTAAGCAGATCGTAATGTTGTCTCATTGATACAACTCAGTGGATGAAGCTTAAAATTGTCCTGAGTGGAGAGCTGCTATGGAGGATGAAGTTGAGATGGATTATGAAGACGAACATGATTTTTAGTTCTAGGACCAATTGAATAAGGCATGTACAGTTGGAACTAATGGGTATTCAAATTGGGATTAAATTCTGTGGCTCCATCAATAAGCACAAAGCAAGATATGTTGTTAAAGGCTACGCTCATCAGCAAGGGTTGGTTTTAAGCTGAACTCTTTGCACAGTTGGAGATTTGACACTATCAATTTGATTTTTGGCACTAGTAGGAAGTGAAGGTTGGCAAGTCTTCTCAATTGGATGTGAAATCAGCTTTCTTAAATGGTTCTTTGAAGGAAGAAGTGTATATTGAAGCGCCTGAAAGTTTTAATTGATTGGAAGCATAGAGTGTGTTTGTTGAACGAAAGCATCTCTGGTTTAAAACAGGCCCTAAGGGCCTGGTATCCAAGATTGATATTGACTTGGGCTGAATTGGGTTTTTAAACGAAGCTTGAATGAGGCACACTTTACGTAATCAACAAGGAAGTGATGTGCTTAATCGTTTCTCTGTGTATGGTTGACGATTACTTGTCACAGGTACATTTACAATTAATTCAAGAATTCAGATTGAAGATGAGCAGGTTTTTTGGAGATGAATGATCTTGGCTTAATGTTTGCTATTTCCTTGGGAATTGAAATTGCTCAAGATTGAGCAAGGGATTTTTATTTTCAACAAAAGAATTTGCTTGGGAGCTGCTTAAAAGGTTGAACTTAGCAAATTTTGCAAACAGTGAGTACCTAACAGCCATGGAAATAAATTGCAAAAGGATGGATGGTTTTACACTATAGATGCTTCACTTATGGAGCATGGTTTTCTTTGCTGTCATTTATCTGTAACAAGACTGATATCATGTTTGCAACAAATTTACTGTCGGATTCATGGAATTCTCCAACTGAAACCTCTTTACAGCAGCCAAACCGAGTTTTCTGAGATATGTGCGAGGAATTCTGCTGAATTTGGTTGTTTTATAGAAGATTAATGGTGTGAAGTTTTTTGTTTGGGGTTCTCAGACAGTGGATTGGGGCTGGTATTGGACGATATGAAGAGAACTACTGGTTTTTTGTTTCTTCACTTTGTTTCTGCTGTCATTTGCTGGGGAACCGAGAAAGCAAGCTTCAGTTGCTTCATCAACTGCAGAGAAGCAAGAGGTATGTTGCAGCATCTGGCTGCGTAAAACCAAGTTATATGGTTGAGCAGGTTTGTTGATCTGAATTTTAGCAAGAAATCAACTAAATTATTTGTGACACAATCAGCTGTTGTATGGTTAAAATCCAATTTCCATGGAAAAAAGCATATAAATCAAGTATAGCAATTCGTGAAGCTGAAAAGGAATGAATTAAGCTATTTTTCATTGCAATTCTGAAGACAAATAGAGAATTTTTCCAAGGCATTGCAAAACCAAGTTTTGAATTTTTAGGATAGACTTGGTGTTTTGTCTCATCTTTGCATCAAGGAGGCGTGTTAAAGGGTTTACGGCTATCAGCTATTTGATGCAAGTGTTGTTGACATTTTGGAGGTATTTTTGTTAAGTCTTTAGATTTTTGTTGTACTTTTGTTGAAATCAAGAGGTAGAGATGAACTACCTTGCTTTTAAGGTAGCGTTTGGTTGAAAACTTCCTTGACTTATGGAAGGTTTGGTAATTGTTTCTTCACACTCACAAAATCTGCAGCTTTTTCTTTTTCTGCAGAATTTCCTTCTCTTCCTTAATTTTCTGCTCTTCTAAACCAACACAACTGTCTAAAATTCAATTTTCCCCCTTCAGTTTTGAGGTTCCAGTAATCAAATTGATGGAAGCTTGAACATCTTGTTTTCGTAACATTTAAAATTGAGTTTTGAGGATGATGTCTCCTTGCAGATACCAATACCTACAGCTTCATCTTCCTTGGCACATAGTTCACCTGATACATCAACGTTCATAGGAATTCAAAATCACCAAAGTAATGCAAGTCATGCCTCAACTCAAGAAGTTCAAGTCTCAAGACAATCATTGTCCAAGGGCCCGATAGAATTTGCTAATGCTTGTGTCCAAGGTTTGCCACTGCCACGACCAAGAAGTACGCAAAGAATTGGAAATGAAACTCGTGTTCATGGGCCTAGAACAAGAACAAGTATGAATGATCCTTCTTTTCACACTAACTATGTGATACCTGATATTCCTAAGCTTGCTGGTTCTGACCCACTTCCAATTGAAATAGAAAGAATACTACGGGATGAGAGGCACGAGCTCAGGATGCACGAAGATATGGTTTGTTCAAGATACCTTGAGAAATTTGTACCATGCTTGTTCTTTCAATGGATATGTTTTCTAACTTCTTGTTATTTGAAATATTCACTAGGTACTGCATATCATATCTGAGCGAGAGAAGGAAATGCGAGAGATATTCAAGAAGTATGAAGTGTTACTTCAAGATGCTGAGAGAGCGGTACATCAGAAGATGGAGGATCATAGAACAAATTTGCAATATGTCTATCTAAGTAAGCTACTGGCTGAGACATTGATGCTGAAGCATCAGGATTATAAGGGAGCTGTGCCACCAGATACAAGACAAGGTATATAAATTTGGAAAAAGCATTTTAGATCTTCTCATTTCCGTTTCTGTTATAGTTTGAGGAGTCGCTCATTCGAGGTAATCCCTGCTATGAATATTGTTCAACTGCTCTTGAAGCTTGTTAACCTTACTTCAAAGTCCATGGTAATTTTAAAATTTTTATTCCCTGGCAACTCAATGGTATTGAAGTTGGAAAAATAATTTCAGCATACCTTTGGATTTCAGGTAAATGGTGAAAAGAGGCTTTTTATGTTGAAAATTTACCAGAAGTTGAAGTCAATAATATACAGTCAAGTTGAAATCAACAATTTATAGACAAATTGAAATCAATGTTATCGGTATATTAGGTTGTATAATTGGTAATTGTATAGGGAAGTATAGGGGTAATTACTATATAGTTCCTAGGTTTTTGTTTAACACACTAGCAAGGACATCGGTTTTCAAAATTACAATATTTAATCCATGCATTATAATTCTATTATATTATAAGGTCAAATAGTTAGTTTTTCCATTAAGTGATTGTGAATTATCAAAAAAACCCTTAAGAATAATTACTATATAGAGACTAAATAATGTAAAATTATAAAAATGGAGGTCCTTATTAGTATATTTCACCAAACCATAGGGACTATATAATAATTATCTGTAGGGGTACTTTTAATATTTCAATCACTTAATGAAAAAACTGATGGTGAGACATTATAGTGTAGCATAAATATAATGCATGGACAAAATAATGAAATTTTAAAAACTGAGGTGGTTGTTGGTGTATGTGGGCAAAACCTCGTGACTAGGATTGGTATTCGTGCATTAAATAATGGTGGTTTAAACTTCAAACCCGCTGGGACTTGGCTGAGAATGAAGGTTCTGTACTTAGACTGGTAACGGGCTGGGCTTAGCCGAGCATTAAAATTTAAACCAGGTAATGAACGATGGAGTTTTTGTCGGCTTCATAGTTTTATGAGTTGGTGACTAAAATACAAACACAGAGCATGGTAAGACTGTGGACAACAAAGAAATCTTTTGAATAACCAGAAGCGAGCTTTCCAATTTTGATGTTAGCAGCTGGCTAAAATGGTCCACATATCAACCCGAAGCACTTAGACAAGAAAAGTAAGTGCAGTAGTACGTCGTGAAGGGAGTCTTCAATGGCGATGCCTAATGCTCGTATATAGTTATTGAAGATCATGGAGGGTTATTCTTGACCTCAAGATTCTATGATTTTCTCTTTTTCATTTTATCTCTTGATTCGAATTCAATATTTCTTGTCATCTTCCAAATTCATTAAAAAAATGCTTGAATTAGATTAATTAACTCAACTATTATTACTGTAAATCCAAGATCCTTCTCCTAAACTTGGAAAAGGGAAAACAAGAACTACCCTTTCAGATTGGTTTGAAATTTTGTTAATTCTTGTCTCTTGCATTGAACTTTCAATTTGATTTGCTTCAAATTGTTTGATATCCCCTTCTGAAAAAAATTCAACAGTACTAATTTACATGCAAGATATTAAAGATTGAAGAAAGAAATGCATTAATTATTGATTGTTATATCACAAACTTTAGTACATCCCATCATCAAACTTTTAAGTACATAGAAGGGACTGGGAAAAGAAATTTTGAACTGCAAAAGAAAACTAAAAAACCCAAAAATTTAAGAAAAATACACTTAACAAATTGGAAGAGGAGCACCATTCCATTCCTTGAGACATTCCATCATTGGATCAATAATCTTTCCTTCACACATAGCAGTGAAAACCTTGTCAAACTCCTCTCCAGGTGACCGGACTTTCTCTCCGGTGAGCAATCCACTACCTAACTCCTCCCTCACAAACTTATACAAAGGATAAGACCTGCATTCCTTAATCTTATTGCCAATTGCTGCACTTCCACTCTCATATGCTTCTCTTGCACTTTCAACTTCTTTAGGCAAAAGGGTTTTCAATTCTTCTTCAAAAGCACCAATCTTTTCGAAAACTGAAGTGCTAGCATTCTTTTCATTTTCGCCATTCGCCAAGGCATGTTCGACAAGAACTTGCCTTAGTTTTTGCATCAAAGGATATGTAGCACTACAGGGATCATCAATATAGGCAAACACTTGTTCGCGATCGACAGCTTTAAGCAAATCTTTCCCACAAAATCTTGAAGGATGAAGTTCTCCATTACCACCAGTAGTTAAAACTCTTTTAGCTACTTGAGTTACGGTATTTTTAACTGCATGCTTCAAATTCTCTTCCAAATGCCTCAAGTCAATAGCTTGACATAGTGCTACTAAGAAAGTTGAAGACATAAGCTTCAAAATATCAATGGCTTCTTGAGTCTTTCTTGAAGAAATTAACCCTAATGAGTTCACATCTTGATTATGCTGCTCTGCACTTTGCACATGGCTAGTAACTGGATTAGCAAGAAATTGAAGCTCAGAACAGTATGAAGCCATTGCAATTTCAGCTCCTTTGAATCCATAATCCAAACTCGGATTTCTTCCTCCAGAAAGATTTGAAGGCAACCCATTATTGTAAAAATCATTTACGAGCTCACTAAATTGAGCAAACATTAACTTCCCAATTGAAGCAATAGCCAAACGTGCATTATCCATTGAAACGCCAATTGGTGTGCCTTGAAAGTTTCCACCATGTAAAGCCTTGTTTCTTGAAACATCAATCAAAGGATTATCATTGACAGAGTTAATCTCTCTTTCAATTGATTTAGTAGAAAATCGAATAACTTCGATTTGAGGGCCTAACCATTGAGGAGAAGTTCTTAAAGCATAACGATCTTGTTTTGGTTTCTGCAATGGATCAATTTCATGTAATTGTTTAGCAGCTTTAATGTAGGAGCTACCATCTAAAATATGCTCCATTATAGCTGCAGCTTCAATTTGACCAGGATGGTGCTTCAATTTATGTGTCAAATGATCAGTAAATTCAGGTTTTCCATTCATAACTTCGGCGAAAATTGCTGATAATATTTCTGACAAGACAGCAAGAACATTTGCTTCAAATAGAACCATAGAAGCCAACCCAGAACCAACTGCTGTGCCATTAACAAGAGCAAGACCTTCTTTAGGCTGTAGGGCCAATGGCTTTGGAATTAGGCCGGCCGGTTAATAATCCAGCAATATAAGATAATGGAACTAAATCTCCTGAAGCAGTGATTGTGCCACGGAGAGGCAAGCATGGAGTGATATTGTGGTTGAGGAGTTTAGTAATGGCTTCCAAGATTTCAAATCTAATGCCTGAGTAACCTTGAAGAAGAGTATTGATTCTCACTAGCATTGCTGCTCTTGTTGCAGAGTGAGGTAATGTGTGACATGTTTCTGTTCCATTGCCAAAAATCCCAGCATTCAAGAATCTGCAGGAACAAAATTTTTCGTTATCATTTAACTAATTTTATTTTCTCTTATTGTTAAAAGTGAAAATGGTAATTAAATTAGACCGCCAACCAATTGACAATTGACCAATTAAGTATAGAATATGAGTTAAAAAATTATTTAAGATGAGTACAAGTTTGACTAGTCTACCAATAGAAGTCCAAGAAACAAGCATATCCACCCATCCCAATAGTTTTTTTTTTTTATTTAACTAATGAGAAAAAACAAATTGGGTGATCAAGATTTAACAAACAGCAATGCTTCAAGGAATCTCGTCCAAGTCCAATTCTTTACAAGAAAACAAGGCCGGCAGGCAAGAAACATTTAAGTTGAACGAGTCAACTCGGACTCAACTGCAACATGTATAATTATACTGCTGAATTTTTTCACCATTCTAATGAAAAACCGAAATATATGACAACCTCACAATTCATCCATCTACTCACTGGGTCCAATGATCCGAGTCACACTCACCCACCATGAAATAACCAAAAAAGAAAAGAACTTTAATAAGACAAATATCGTTATTGCTTACCTAATAAGCTCCCTTTGCAGAGCAGCACCTTGTTTGGTTCTTCTATGGGAAGTAGCTCCAAAACCAGTAGTAACACCATAACTATCAGTTCCTTTATTCATACTATCCATAACCCAGTCACTGCTAGCTTTAACCCCAGCTCGGGCTGACTCAGCAAGCTCCACCTTAACACCGGCATCATGACTGGCGATAGCAGCCACCTGAGCTACAGTCAAGGTCTCGCCACCTAACTTGACCAAAGGTTTCCTATATTCACTCACCATCTTCTTCACTTCATCTAAATGGCTACCTTTCATTGACTCAGCAGCCACTCCCCAACTCAGTGGATCACGAGTTATACACAGACCCTCTAAAGAACCATTCTGGTGACCATTTCCGATAATTGTTGCCATTTTTTAGGAACACCCAGATGGCTAAAACTAATAAAAAGCTTAACTGAGAGAAGGGCAGTGGAAGACAGGTGTAAACAGGAAATCTTGAGTTAGATTATGGATTTCCTGAGAGAAAGGGAAGGAGATACTGAGGTTTAAATAGAAGTAGAAGGAGAAAAGACTTGAAGGTTTCGTTTTGTGTATGGGGTAGGTAAGCATAAGGAAGGCAGAGGGAGAAAGGGTGGGTTGGTTGAAAATTAATTGTGACCATTGATTTATGGTAATCCAACGGTTATAATTCGTAAATAGTGATGATTAGAGGAGAAGGGTAAATTTGACTCGTGGTAGGGGGGATGCATGGTGAGGGTCGTGGTTGGTGGCAACTCAGAAAATATATATATATCTATATATATATTATATATATACATCCAATGGATTAGGTCTAATTTTTTCAATTAAATTTGTAATTGCCAGACATATTTATTAGCTCTCTGCTGTTATAAGAACTCTTATATGGAAACAATATCTGCAGCTGATTTATTAGTTAATCCATTTACAAAAATAGCTTATTTTGTATAATTTCAATTTCTTGAGTATCTGTCTTACAACGTAAGATACTATAACAAAGTTTTTTTTTTTTTTTCCATATAGAAGATAATTACTATGCACTCTATCCTCGTGTATAAGTTCATTTTTCTTTTATATTTATCTCAAAATAAAGATAATTTATTGTTTAACTATTTAATATACCTATATTTAATATACATCTATATTTCCAATTATATATATTACAATCATTAATTGAGGATATTTTAACAAAAAAAACTTAGTAAAAATATAATTTCACTATATTAACAAGTTTTTCTTAATCTATGTATAAATCAAACTAGACATATATATGGTACATAATGAATAAATTATTATTACTTTCTCTGTCCTATAATTTTTGTTTAAAAGAGTTTAATTAATATATTTAAATTATAATTTTTACTTTATTTTTTCCTAATATACTCTTGTGTTATATTCCATTAAAATAAATTATTCATATTAAATTGTCCTGAAAATTAATCAAACTATAATTAAATATCTGATTAAATGTAAATTATCTAGAGCATTCCAAACATAGAAAAATTTTCTTTAATCATTCAAGATTTGTGAGATGCTTCAACTCGATCAAGATAGCATAAATTGGCAAGAATTAAGGAGCAAATAGTTACACATCTTAATTTAATTCCTAATTAATTAATATTTTTATTTATTCAAAATAAGATACTATACTTACAAAACAATGGAAGTAATTTTCTATTTGCAATTATATACTTAATTGCAATTGAGGGTGATATCATTACAAAAGATCGAAATTAAGTTAAAATTGATAAAAAAGTCAAAATAGAATGAAATTATAAAAATTTACAAAGTTCGAGGTATTTGAATACATTAGACAATTAATAGTCGATATCACATTATAATTTAGTTCAATTATTTAATGTAATTTATAATTATCATCGGCAGTGGGTGAAGAATAAAAATAAATAATAATAAAAAGTATGATTAAAATTATTATTACTAAAGTTATTTTTTTTCCTTTGAAAAAAAATAATAAAAAAAAGTATGATTGTTTGTCATTTTATATCAAACAGATCCAATAGGAAACTTAGTTAATGGTTTTAAAAATCAGACAAATAGTTGCAATTGGATAAAAAAAAAAAAAAATTGTTTTTTAAGTTTTTTTTTTCCTTCTCAAAAGGCCAAATCGCAGAGGACTTCGAATCCTATCATTCTTCACCTTTTTCAAAAATGATTGAAAACAAAAGCTGACATATTATTCAGTTTGCTGTGCAATGCACAGACTCATAATTATCATTTCAGAATAATTTTTTAGGAAATGAAATTAAGAAAAATATAATTTTCAAATCTTGATTAATTAATGTATTAAAAACAGATATTAGAAAAATAATTTTAATATGTTAATATTGATATTTGAGAATTAAAACATATATATGCCTTGAACTTTAATATCACATCAATTCAACTAGTGGCTTTGTTTAATTTTATCAGTCATTATTTTGAAATCTTGTTATCTAAAATTATCCGTTTTCGTTTAGAAAATTAAGGAATATTAATTAATTTTTCTAATTTTACTCTTATCTTTACTAATTATAAACACAATTACTATTAGAAAATTATAATCTTGTTGATTGAAGTACTTAATTATATGTGCATAAATATATATTAAATTCATGGAAATTGAGAAAGAATAGTTTTTTTTAGAGAAGCTTTAATTACAATATTATTCAAAATAAACTTATTTTAAACTCAAATAAGTTCTACAAATTAGATATATGGACTTATAAATGAACAAGTATTGAATTGATTTCATGCAAAATAAATTAATGTGTGCTAAGTTTAATACTAATTTAATTGTAAGTGTTTAATTATTATTATTATTATTATTATTATTCATTTTTCAATAAAAATATTGTTAGTAAACTGATATAAAAGGATAAAGAACTCCTCATAAATATAGTAATTAATAAGAAGTTAAATTGATGGTCAATACATAAACAGTAAGATGTCCATTCCTCGTTGTTATGTAGTAAAAGTTATCACATTAGTAATCAATATTATCTATATTGAGCCGCATATATTTTGATAAGTAGAAATAAACTGCATTTCAAGCAGACTTTTCCATGAATCAAAAGTATTTATATATCGAATATAAAAATGCGTGTGTAAAAAAATACAAACGAGTAAATAAATGTTTCTTTTACGAGAAAATGGTTTTTTTTTTTTTTTAACAAAAAAAAAAAAGGATTACTAAGTGTGTTAGTCATTATCCCGTTGGCTCGGGCCGTTAGTTAAGTGTTGACGTCCCGATTTAAGACAACTCCATAAGACGCATCGAATCATAAAGTATTGATGGCTACAGGATTGTAGCTTTGCAGTCCTTAATCTACGACAATAAAGCTCAGCATAAGATAGCCTATAAAATGAGTCGTGGTTCCTAAACAGTAGAATTAATATTTAGACATTATACATAACAGAATGCTGTCGCGAAACATCAAATTTGAATCAAGCTGGCAATGCTTTTGCCACCAGGCGAACGGCTCGGGTGGTAAAATGGTTGTTGGAGCTTAGTTTATAAATTTATAAATTGACTACATTTAGGAAAACAAAAGGAAAAAGTAATGATAAGCTTAAGGTATATATAATAATGGGAATATGTGATAGTTGATGACTACAAATACAATGCATGCGTGACACTTAGTCACCATTATAATTTTATTTTTTTTATTTGATTTATATAAGAATATTAATCAACTAATACCACTATTAATATCTGGCTTTGTACTAAGTATAGGGAGTAACAATTGGTAAGATTTAAGACCTAATGTGCACTTTTTTTATTTATTTAATAAACCTTGTCTGGGAAGTGGTAGATGATCTGCCCACGGTGGAAGCTGATTAGCCGCCTTTATAAATTGAGGCAATAGTTACTACGTTCTTTTTTTTACCGTGTTCAGTAACATAATATAAATATGAATTAATTTTTGAAAGTTAAAATAATGTTTTATAAGAGATTAACTTTTGTAATATTTAACGTTTTATGAAAATCTATTAAAACAGTTACTAGCTAAACGCATACTAAAATAGTTAATTTTGCGGCATATACATGAATTAAAATTGTAGGCAATTGAACTTGATAATGAGACATTATAAACCGAGAAAGATTCCATTTTTCAAGCAAAACACATAAGAGATGATATGCTCATGTGGGTTGGGTTGGTATGCATTGGCTGTTTGTCTTCTAGTAATTTGAACAATTTTTAATTGGGCAGCAATTAATATTCATAAGCCATATTCTTAATTAATTATTTTTAATTTAAAGGGCTAAAATATACTATAAAATCTCGAACAACTCAGACTTCAGACACATTGTAGATTCCTGTGTTCTAATTTGTTGGTTACAACTAATTAAGGTTTTCAGTCATAACGTATATAATGAAATAATGTGAAAAAAAAAATATAAATAATACATAATTGAGTAATGCATACATAACAAAACTTAGTTTGAGACACGGTGTTTAGCCGACGTACATATAAAACTCGGATAATCATATTCCTATTTTTCTGGAATTAGTTTTAATGAGTGAGTTAAGTTCGGTTTATTTTTTCAGAGTTTTTATATTTAGAATTCATAAAAGGGCGTGTTATCTGACTTTGGTATTTATTCAACGTCTTGAATAAAGTTGATTCCAACTGATTTACAATTAAGGCTGAATCGTTTTTATTGTAATTTGAATTAAATTACCTATTAGTTTGATAAGCAATTTGGATTTCAAAAATTAAAACTTCAAGACATAATTATTATGCATAAATTAAAATTAATTGAAAGTAATATTCTAATAATTGATGATGCAATATGACGGTGGTAAATATTTTATGGTGAGGTTGTAGTTGGCATATATCCATAGATCTGAATTATATCTAATAAAAAAATTGTTTGAGCTTATTATGTTGACTCCATAGTCCAATAATGGTTAATTAAATATTAATCAACTTAATTAAAAAAAAAATTGGCTTCTTTTGACTGGACAATATAAACGTGCAATTTAGCAATTATGTGCATGAATGTAGCTTATTTTCTACCTCTACACCAAACCACTAATCCTATATCCAATTATCATTTTAAAATTACTTTTTGACCTTTTCTCTATAAATGCTTGGCCTTGGTGCAACATTTAATTTTTTTTTTTTTAACAAGATATTTAAAATCAACTTATTTCCTTAAATTTCAATTCTAAATTATTTTTAAAAGAATATTTTTCGAATTAACTTAATGTGTTTAAAAATATTATTTCTTAAAATTTTAAATATTTCGAGTAAAATTCATGTTAAAAATAGAAAATTTGACACAGAGAAAAATAGTGAGAGAAGAGTTTCTTAATCCTAACTAGTTGATAGTGTTGTTTGGTGAGCATGGACTAATCTTATTCGCCAACAACCTCTGACCAATTTTCTTTTTTCCCAAGGTAGGTAAGAAAGGTTACCGCCCCTTATTCGTTTTCTCTTAATCACATTTATTTTCGGTTGTTATTTTTATTTTCTCTCGATTATAATTATTTTTACTTTCCTCTAGATCATAGTTTAGTCTCTAGTGAATTAAAAAAATTTTTAATTTTTTTTATATTAGGAAATGAGACTTAAATTTATTTAAATTTGTGAAATACTATTATTAAAGTGTCATAAAAATTTTTAAAACAAGTACAGAAAAGTTGGGTATTTTTTCAAGTTATAGATCCTGGATCTCAATCATTCAAAGCCAATGGTCAACATCCATTGAATCAGAATTTGGAATTATTCTCTGAATCTTTGAGCAATCAAACTCTTGTTTTTTTGGCCAAGGCAATATATTTAACATTAATATTATTTAAACAAAAGTTTATAATGCGAAATATTCTATATAAATATTATGCCTCCTAAATATTTTTTCGATAATTCAATTACTTAATTTAAGAATATTTTATTATAATTTAGATAATTCAATTACTTATTTATCCACTGTAAAATCTTGAATCAGAGGTACAAGTGAAAGCAGATTCTAACAAATAGATTAATAATATTTTCAGCTTTTTTTCAAAAAAAAAAAACTTTTCAATAATTAATGTTATTAATATTTTGAAAAATGAAAATAAAAATATACAATACCAATAAATGCCTTTATGTCATACATATGTCAACATTGCAATTCCAGGTGTCACTTGTGGGTCCATACAGACCAGAGTTTTGATCCTGCGCCATACTTCTCACCTACCACACTGACTCACTGAGTCGAAAGCCAAACTCCCACGTACTTCATATTGTAACTCTAAAGGTCCCGCTTTCACATGCAAATCAGTGCATAAGATCAAATTCAAAATTACAATACAGTCCTTATAATTTAATAAAATTGACTGTCTAATCTCAAAACTCACAGACCATACAAAAAATTGAATCATAATTTAATACAATCTATAAGAAAAACTGATTTAATAATAAGAGTAGCTTTGTATTTAATAGAAAAAATATAAATTTTGTTATACGAAAATTTATTATTTCAATAATTACAAATAAATATAACTAAATAATAATTGACAATAAAGAAAGAAACAGAAACTATAAAATCTAACTAACCCATACGAGTAAACAATACTATCCTGCATCAGTACAGCATTCATGACACTTCTTTCTGTGCATCAATGACGCTCAACAATGCAATAAATAAACATTTCAAGGTGCGGATGGGCCATGAAGAAGCTACCATTAAAGAGGATAAGGTTGCTCCACGATTCCACTTCACTTATCATACACTCTGATTAATAGTTTATTTCTGATTAGGGACCTGATTGTAATATTTCAGGGACTTATGTTGTATTTCGATAAGATATGCTGAGGTATTAGGAGATCCCGCTCACCTATCTCTTCCAACCGTTGTATTTACCTTATATAAACCTTTCTCCGTCTTTGGAAAAAGGGTTGATGTCACTTTAATCAATCAAGCAATATATATTCTGAGTAATAATCTAATATTGGCTTTACATCTATCAATTACCATTTAGAAAAATTATCATTATTACCTTTTTTTTTGTTTTTTTTAATAACCAAGACGTGTGATTTCCGACTTTTCTAATAAAAAACGTTTCTTGAGAATCGAATTTATGTTTTTTCTGGATTGAAGTTACTTGCCATCTCAATCTAACGTCATTCTAAAGACACTCTTAATGTGTTAATTATCATTATTATTATTCAATTTATAGGATTTGCATTATTATATGCAAAGATTAATTAATTTAGGATCCAATTATTGTAATTCTTTTCTGTTAAAAACAATTATGGTAGGCAAAATTTGTTAAGGAGGTAGTTGGAGCAAAAATGAGATGTTGACATGGACAGCTAAAAATATAAATGGGATGGTAGGTTTGGAGGAAACGTGGTTCATGTGACTTCTTCCTACCACTTGCGTTATATTGGCTCCCAAAGGTGTAATCTTTTTTTCTTTTTGCACTGTTTATATATATATATATATAATGAATGGAGCGGTAAGCGAGGCCTCGACAGCCATTAAACCTTTTGATTATACTAAAAGAAAATAAACCTCAAACAATGCTTAATGTAACTTTCATGTGCCTTTTTATTTAAATAATTTTTTGTTAAGGACTACGTAAAATTGAGCCAAACGTAAGAGATCAAATAGATTAAGTAATAAAATAATCCAGTTGGAAATTAACAGTAAGCCAAATTGAGTTAATTTTATTAAATCCTCCATTAATTTTCTACACCACAAAAATGAAGCACACTGCATAGTTGCACAGTCTTTGCACAACAATCTATCATTGAAGTTACAGAAAGAAACACATTTTACAGTGGAAGCAAATGCAAAACATAATCATTTGGAAACAGAAAGAAATACTAAAAAGGAAAAAGGAACATGTTTATAGAAATACAATACTAATTAGATTGAGATGGTTTGTTCCCCGGTGAAGATTGAGGTTGAAGAGGAGGTGCAGGGGGGCCATAATACTGAGGCAATCGAGCTGCTTCTCTTCTGCCTAAATTTCGACCCACAAGGTAACAAGCAAGTGCCACTATTAAGATGAATAATATCAATGGCAATGAAACCACAATTACATAACCCATTTTTGGCTTTCACTCCTCCTTCCCTGCAGCCAAAAAAAGAGAATTTTATGAACTAATAAGTTTGGTTCAGTTAGGGTGGCAACGGTTCCAGAACCAAACGGAAACCAAACGGAAACTAATGGTTCCGGTTTCGAATTGAAACCAGCTGATTCTCAGAAACACCGGTTCATGATTTTAAAAAACTTAGAATTGGAACTGAACTATAACCTTCCGGTACGGTTTTGGTTCTGACCCGTTCCAGTTCTAAAAACAGAATTTAGCCGCCCCTGGGCTCAATAATGTTAGATTTATCTTAGACTATCAGGCTCATTTCTTTTTTGTACAATAAGGGAGCAAAGCTCAAAACACGACAAGCAGAATCCAGAGTACGAAATTTCACTAACATCATGCAACAACCAAGAAGATACTCTCTTCGTCCCAAAATATAAATCGTTTAAGGTTTTACACGATAAGCAATGAAAGCAATTAATTCTCCTAAAGTATATCAAAACTAAGAGTAAATTAATCAAACTACCTTTTATCTCACATCATTATATTGTATCTAGAATCAATAAGAATAAAATTGAAAAAAATATCACTTGCTATTACTTAAAATGCTCAAAATAACTTATATTTTGGGACTTATATCTTGAGACAGAGGGAGTAAACCCAATTGGGTTCCTAAGAATATAAGTGCCCAATTAATTTGATAAACCTTAAAGTACATAAAATTGATTACAAGTAGATAAGAATTTAAGACAATGTTTTTTCTTGTTTTTCTTTTTTTAACCTCGTTGAATCCATGGTGAACCAATTAGGCTATGAATAATGTACTACATGAGTTTCTAATTACTGATTGCAAATAGGGACCAAAATGAATGAATAATAATGATAATGGTAACAAATAAGAAAGCTTAAGCCTTCTCAATAATTGATACTAATGATGATGACAAGATGAAACACATCCTTAAACTTTTCTTTTAAAAACAAAATATAAATTGTTTTGGGTAATTTTTTTTTTTTTGAAGAGAATTGTTTTGGGTAATTATATTAAGCCAAAGCCAAGAATACCTCAAGTTAACTTATTTGCACTCTTAACCACTATTTTGATTACAGTATTGAAAAACCCATATTCCTAAATTCATCAAATCTCGACTGTAAAAGGCAAATATAACTGAATTTCTTCCAAGAATTATGGTGATGAATAGCTATATATTGATGTCTGTTGACATACAGAAAGCAAAAATCAATCTAAAAAATTAATTTCAATCAGAAGAAAAAGCTTACCTCCTCGTGATTCAGATGAAGCAGATTTTGTTGGGTACGGTGAGAGAGAGTGGGTTTATTTCAACTGTCAAGGAAAAATATTGCGAAATGGGAAGAAAACTAAAATATTGAGGAAGTGGCTGGCTGGCTTATTTTGGGAGAAAAGGCATTCGACGTGGCATCTCACGTATCACTATGGTGTCAAATGGTGACGTGAAGGAGATAGCTTAAGCTGTATCGATCACTTGCTACTCCAGTTATTAATATCATTTTTTTTTTTTTTTTTGTTTTCGATTAAAAAACAAATGTTTTCGAAATTATATTTGTATTGTTGTTTTAATAAAATTTAAAATTGTTTGCGATCCAACTATTACCTTATTGGTTTCAATTTTAATTTGACATAATATAAATTGTCTGATCCCAATCCTATTCAATAGGTTAAAAAAATATAGTAGATTTAAGTTAAGAAAAATTATCTTTACGATTGACAGGATTTTGATTATCATTATTCTTTTTTTGTACTAAAATTTGAATACTCAAGATAGGAGAACACAATGCTTTTTACAATATTTGAAAAAAAAAAAAAAAAAAAAAAAAAAAAACTCAAAATACAGAGGAGCAGGTTGTCCATCATAGATCAGAAATATTACATTTAAAACTTTCACATCAATTAGTTCTGAGCTGTTGGATCATTCAGGAATTCAATAAAACAGAATTCTATTAGCAACTTCAATAAGCAACAAAAAAAAAGTCAAAACCAAATTAAATAACTGTTGCAAAAGTTACAAACCATATACAAGTGACTGAATCCCATCTACATTTGGCAGCAGCTTCAGCTTTTAGTTTCAGTTTCAACAGCAGATTTTAGCTGAATAAAATCCAACTAGTACCCTGTTTTATTTGTGCTTTTCTAGAATTAAGAACACTAAAAACATAATCAGTTCTGTCAATGTTGTGAAACTAATATATACCATTTAACAAGCTCAACTAGTTTCCCAATGCAACCTACATTTCCCTTAACATTGACAATTTTTCTGAAATCAGAAATGCATTTTATCAACTTTCCACCTTCCTACCCATTTTCTTTAATTCTGCTGCAATTACATATTCCCGTAATCTTTATCCTATGTATACATAACATACAACCAAGTAAAATTTGCAGCACATAACTTTAATACACAAGAGATCGGAGAAGGGGAGAGTTGAAGAAAAAGAGCCCCACAACTGAACACTCCTGATCTTATAGAGTATTTAAGCTGCTTTTCAAAATTAAAAAGCCAAATATTTACCCAGTTGAGGCAGAATGACGACCCACGCCATGAGCTGTGAGGAGTTGACATCACAGCCTTGCTTGATCTAGACTGCTCATTTAGTTCCAATTGGTTTGTTGGATAATCTGCGCTTGTAACGTTTAAGCACAGAAGCCAAATTTTCTTTTCCCTTTGGAAAAGCTACATCTCCAGCAGCAGTGCCTGATCGACCCTTCCGACAAGATATGGCAATCTCTACATCCTTTATCAAGTCAAGAACCATCGCTCCAGTTGTGCATTTCCCACTTCCTGCTCCTGATTTCACAGCAGGGGGCAACATTCCATTTGTAACAGGTGATCTTGCCTTGCGCTGGTATGCTGCAGAGAGTTGAAGGCAGAAGCATGGGTGCATTGGACTGCGGGGTTTTGAAAATGCCAACTCCACGATCCCCTGCTAATCAGAACATAATGTTGTTACTATACAAGTACAAGAAGAAATGGCGAGGCCAATATACATAATACAAGAGTGCAGTTCAACAGCCAAAACCTATGTAGAAAAAAGATGTCTTGCTAATTGAAGATGCCAATCAATTTGAAATGATGGCGGAAAGCCTAAATAGAGTTCAAACATGATGAGATGATTTCATCGTAATAATAAAGGCCAACATCCGCACTAGCAAGGAATGATTTGGCTTGACATGAAAACATAAATGTAAAGAAGGCAGAAAAAAAAGCAAAAACAGAAACACATCCGTTCTTTCTTGTATGTAACAAGCAGGAAATAAGACCAAACATCATTTCACACAATTCAATCACACAACAAAGGTTTCAGGATATTGACCTGAAGACGATTTAGCACGTAAGTGTATTTGCCCCACAACTCTGGCCGGCTTTCCATGAGTGACAAATCAAGAATCCGGTGAACGCACCAGACCCCAAAGCTTATAATCAAATCTGCTTTCCAAACGCAGCCCTCCCCACAATGAGGAACTGAGGAAACCAGAGTGTTGGTTATGCCTGCCTCATCATTCTTCAATGCAGAACCAGACTTCCTATCAGAAAATGAATACTGAGGCTCACTCATGTGAGCCACACGGTTTATCTCTCTTGTTTCAACTTCATACAAACACATCTCCCTTGCAGCTACACGATCAATTAGATCTTCATCAGCTCCATCATTTTGCCCGAACAGCCAATCAGACCCTTCCAATTTCAAAAGCTTAACAATACAACTTCTGAATGACTGAAGAAGATGGGCCTCCAAATCCACAAGAGAGACAGTTTCTCGAGTGATTGAATTTGACCTATTTACTCCACTACCAACAGCACGACTTTTATCAGCAACGCCAAACTGCTCATATGGCTGTTTGGACCAGATGGATCCATGGTCCGAACTTATTGGAAAGGAGAAAGCACCCCCATAAACTTTTGATACACCGTCAAAACCCAACTGACTTCCCATTCCTGATCCAGTATTTGAATAGAAAGAAGGCTCGTAACTTGTTCTGCCAACAGATGCTCCAAATCCAACAGTATTGTCCCATTGAGTACTCTTTTCAGACATATAGAGATCCCTATAAGGACCAGAAATTCCTGAAATGTCAGGCAAACTGTGGTACTTCTTTGTATTGGCTGACATTCCTGTGTTGTCAACAGAACCAGAAGAAACATCATAGTATGATCTTTCAGATTGTAGTTGGCTGTTTCCAGATGCAGCAAAATTCTGATACCTTGATGTTTGAGGAGTGCCTAATCCATTTTGCAACTTTTGCCCCCAAGCAACTGCAAGTGGATCCCTATAGTTTCTAGGGCCCAAGGATGGAGATATTGGCGCTGGGGACTCCATCTGACCATTCATGCAATTGGAACTTCTATCCTTAGCAATTCTATTGACAATAGATGCAATCTGGTAACCATGGACGGTAGCTGGCTGATTATCCCAGCCATCAGAAGATGGTAGAGTGCGTACACTAGAACACCGCCTCTCTGTAGCGTCAACAACATTGCGGCCGGAACCTTGCACATATGCATCCAGCAATTGCATATGGCTGGACCACAAAGAGGATGACCCCCTTTGAACTCCATATGATGAGTCAATACTGCTTTGCACCCTCAGCTGCTTGGGGGAATCGCATAAACTTGTACTGATCAAAGGATCAGATCCTCTACCAGTTACAGGAGGGAAATATCCACTAAATTCCTTTCCAGTAGCATCCACTTTCAGTAAGGAATGTGCAAGTTTTGAATCAGCCAATAACACATCCAGTTTCTTGTTCTTTGCTTCTTGAGTTGCTTGCCCATGAAAATCATACAATTGCCCCCAAAATTCATCAAGAACTGCAGCCAATTGACGCCTCGCAGCACGCCCCAACCCTGCTAATCTTGAGAGACTTCCAGCACCATTTCCACCTTCATCACTTTTTCCACTTAGACTCCTAAATGATGGCGGACCATCATATGTCACAGACGAGATGCTTCCTGGAACCATTTTGGATGATTCTTCAGATTCCCAATTATCTCCCTCATCATCATCCTTTTCAATCTGCAAATCTCCCTCTATTTCCACAGTCTTTTCAATTGGTTCCGTTGACTCCGTCTTAAACTTAGCTGTATCTGGTGGATCTGCATCAATAACCTCATTAACAGCATTTGATACTGATGTGTCTATTATAGAGGTCGGCTCCTCTTGATAAGATACTGGTGGAGGGCTATGAAAATTAACATCAGAATGTTTTTCCTCAATAGTTGTCAGATGAAGTTCACGATCAGATTCCATAATTGTCTCAGGCAAATCCAGTCCAGCATTTGGACCAGTTACACCAGAATAACTCTCAGTGGAATTATATGGTGCTGGTAATGGTTCCTGATTTGGAATGGATTCCTCACCATCATGTACCGATTCAGTCAAAAAAATTTCTTCTGCCTGAGGAGATAGTTCAGGTGCATTTGTTACTTCGCAATTCCATAACTGAGCATCCAAGCGAGTTGCAGATCTCAACGGTGTAGCTGCTAACCAAAGCATCAAACAAAATGATGAACAAGCAGTGATGAGAAGTGCAACGTATGGGACAGATGCACTAGTGCCCGTGTTCCACCTCAAGTTACCAACCCAATCACTGTCCCCAAAAATCATTTCTACCACAAATATAATCTTTAAGCCTAACAATCCCATGAAAATAATCAGCACTATGAACTCCAAAAGCTGAGAAATTTTGTAGACACCCATTACTAGCCTTGATGACGCAACTCGGAAAAGCGGAATCATTGAAGACGGAAGCAGTAGAGCTATCACAACTTGTGTAAAAATAAGCAACTGATATATTCCTTCAACTCCTGAAGTCCATACACAATAAAGAGCTGGAACAATGGCCATAATTCTGATTGTAGCATGCTGAAGCCAATTAGGTAAATCTAGTCTGAGGAAATCATGTAAGACTACTTGCCCACCAAGGTTCCAGGCTAATGATGTGACTTGATTTGTAAGATATAAAATGATTAAAAAGGCAAAGGGTGCCACTGGATTCCTGAACACCTGAATTAATCATTTGGGAAAATCAGACCTGATAAGTACATACTCTAAATGGAAAAGTACATACTCTAAATGGAACCAAATGTTGCATGCCAAACAAATTTTTTAAAAGAGAAAAGTAATCAGGACAAATTGCTATGATAAAGGAATAGTACCTGTTCCATCAGTGACATTGCATCGGCAAAAGTAAGCAACACAAGGCCAGTACTGTTGAACACACTTGCAGATGAGTTCATAAGCACATAATTCACCAGATAAATGCCACTGAATATGCATACAATGGCAAAAAAATGGTTATAACACAAGGCATCCTTGGAAATATTTTGTCGACCCTGATACTGCTGCAAGAACATTAAGCACACCCAAATTTTAGAAAGCTGAAAAAAGTGAGCAAAGAAAAAAAAATCATATCAAACTCACGCAAGAGTGTGTGAGCATGAAAAGAGAGCATATAGACTAACATCAAGTAGCCAAGAAGTTGGAAAACAGTAAGTAGCAATGACCAAGCAATCCATAAATCATACTCCAGGGTTGCTTGCCATCAAAGCCAGGAGATCAGGACTACTGCTGGGGATATTACCATAACACATCTCTAGAAGCCTGTTTACTTTAGTTATTCCTAAATTAGCTGCCAGAATACTTTCAAGCCAATTCAAGGTTACAAAGTTTCCAAAACAGGTTCTATGGTAACTTTCCTCAATAAGTACCAACCCCACCTCGTGAAAAGGCTACGCGTTAACAAATGTTCTACGCAATTGTCTCAGAGGAAATATGATTGTTTTTGAATTGTGATGACAATGATAATGATATAAGAATAGCACCCAACAAAAACAATTGATAGTTATGTCACGTTAGACAGTACACAATATTACATGATCTAAAAATCAACTCTTAACTTTGGGTCCTCTTTCACCCATACATTTAGAGCCTTCATTAAAAGTAAACACAGACCTATCCTAGAATCAAAACATGTATGCCCATTGCACTCACACCAGATTCCTAGAAAATCTAAAGGACAATTACTACACACAAGATCTATAGCAACAAGGTGCTGATTCGTGACCAGAACTAAACTTATATGGTAAATTTTCATTTCACCAAATCCTATGAGAATAATAAGCCTGTTAAGCATTCTGGCTATGTCAGACAGGAAAAAAGTAGGAGAGTTCAAATAGGCGTACAGTTCTTCTGTAAATAAGGAATACTAGATAAGTCAACATAGACCATTCAACAATCTAGCACAATGATATTGATTAATCATACAAAAGCAAAAGGCACAAAAAGGTGTCACTAAGAGAAGGTAAAAGGAGAAGAGAAGTACCATTACAAAAGAGGAATGGAGATAAAAATTATGAGGCATGATATTCGCTCCAAGAAGGCTCATCAGGGCAAATGCACTTTCCTGACTCAGATTTGTCAGCATCCCATTCCTGGAAAGTGAGATTTCTGTTTGACTGGTCAGCACTCCAAGAAAATAGAAAAGCACTACAAAGCCTGCAATGAATGTGCATGCAACGGTTGCCTTGAATCGCTCCTAGAATATAGAAAACTAATTAGAATGTTAAGTATCTAATATAAGATAACAGAAATGATTGAGCAATTAACCTTACCAGGAAGGTGGCGAAAAGTGGAAATAAAACAGCATCAATGGCAGTTAAAAAAACACCAGTGGACAAGTCCACCCCGAAGAGAAGATTAAGACCATGTGCAATGCCAAGGATCTAGTGAAATCAATACCCATACATTAGGGACTAAACACAAGATTAAAAGTATTATAATCAAATTTTCATTGTCTTGGGTTAATAACGTAGATATCTTTGGAAAATGCAATTGGTCGTATATATTAAACAAGAATGAGAAAAACTACCGTGGTCAGGTCCAATGCAATAATAGAAACTGCTGCTTGGACTCCAAGAAACATGCATGTGAACTTGTCATACTCATCACTGCAAATCTATGCCAAGGAAAAGAAGAAAGAATACGGTTGATTAAACTTCGTACAAAATATGTGACAGAGATAGTCAGAGAGCAGTCAATAATAAACCTAGAAATAACCGTGCAACCAAATACACCAATCTATTTTTCATTTCCAAATTTTTATAAATATATTGTATGCCAGTGGAAGAAATTGCTAAAGACAGACTAATCAAGAACAAAAAGTAAACAAAACAAAATGAAAATTCAGAAGGCTATGACCGGAGTAAGGCAATTATGGCCTATAAACCTAGTATGATATCCTCAAATAAATAGGCAAATACCTGGGCAAGATCTCTTCCAGTGACCACGCCAATTCGAGCTGAGAGATATTGACATAAAACAGCAGCAAAATTGAAAATAAGCATAGGCACTACCAGATCATACCCAAAACGTGCACCTCCTTCAATGGTTGCTGCCCACTTCCCAGGGTCAACATATCCAATTGCAATCAACAGTCCAGGTCCAACAGCCGGAAGCAGACGATGAAGAATACTTGGTGGATGGTTAGTATTGACAAACTCAGTTTCCATGTTATCAATTGGTAATACAAGCAAAACGCAAGTACCAGAGCAATACACTACTTAAATAGCACCTCCAAGCAACACAATCCCCCAATGAATGTAAAGCTAAATCAATTACATTGCTATTAGTTGCTTAAATCAGCATATCTGAGAGCGTATCCGCCTTTCAGTAAGCATTCAATGAACACTCAGTTGAATGGGTATAAAATGGTTAAAGCCAGAGTCAAACCCATTCTCTTTGAAGCACTTCACAGAGCAGTACACGTATGTAAAACAACAGCATAAATTGCTTGGACTTGCAGCCCTAGAAAATGCACTTGTAAAAATCAAACCAATGAAATCTCCCCATAGAAAAATTATTAAAACGGTCTTGCTACCAGTAAACTCCAAAATCAGCTGTGATCATCAGATACCAATCGAACTCTTGCATTTAAATTAAGCTGCATGCCATCATAAAGTGATTGCAATGCCCTGCTACTAGCAGCACTAGTCATCTCCTGATCATGCGTACCTGTTTAGTCCAATTCATGTGAAACTTCCGCAAATTATTCAAATTCTAATCTTCTTTGATGACCAATCCTGATTAAGAAACCAAAAAAAAAAAAAGTTCAATACTAACAACCAAAATGAAAGTACATATTAGAGTTGCACTTCCGCACACAAAATCAAGATGAAGTGACTGAAGTTACTAGATCAGCATCTAAAAGGAGAATACTAAGCCAAACCATCACTTCTCGAGCTAACAGAAATGTGAAAATATGCAATTGGGATTTAAGAGTAATCAAAAAATCAAATAAAGTAAAAAGTATTTGAGCATCAATCAATCTGAGGTCAAAAACAAGATAAAAGTCGAACAGAGGATCAAATAACAGTTGGAGAACGACAAAGATAACCAACTAGTATCACGAATTATAGTGTCCCAACAAGATTAATTACATAAAACACAAAATCTAGAAAGGCACATCACATCTTGACTTCGCTTACTCCAAACTAACATCAAGATTAATCTCAAACAAATTCAAACTATTCGTAAAACAACCAAAGCTATCGTCTAATAACAACCTCAAAATCCAAATCTCAAAATTCGTTAAATGCAAAAACCCAACTTAAAACTCATGTCAGATCTTACCCAACAAAACAAAAGGATTCAAATTAAATATAACCCCTAATCTTTATCAGCATAAAACGATAAGGAGAAACAAAAACCCCAAATTCCCAACTCAAGGAACATAATTGAAAACAAAATAGAAAGACCTAGCTTCAAATACAAAAATGACCCGCAAACTCTAGAAAATTAGTAACCCACCATGACAGATCTGAACCATTTCTTCAAATTTCAAGGTTAATTTAAAAAACTCAAAAGCTAAAAAAAGAAAGTCTTCGTAGTCAGGTTTAGGGCTTTTCGTATTAGGGTTTGAACAACAGATCAGTTTTACCTGCTCTCTCTATATCTATCTATCTATCTCTTCTTGTCCTTCTCTATGCAATCTCTATCTAGCAGCAAACAAGTAGATCTCAAAGAGACCTTTAAGACAGGCCAGGCAGTTAATAATAACAAAGCTTTATTCTCTCTCTTCTTTTTTTTTTTTTTTCTTTTTATTTTCCAGAGAAAAGAAGTTCAGTTTCCAGGGAAAGATGTAGAGAGAGAAATGGAGAGCGAAAGTGAAGATAAATTATATAAATGGTGTTTGTTTAGGTTGGCTCCCCTTATTTTATATTTATTTAATTTAATATTTCTTGAAAAAAAAAACTAAAAACAATAAATAAATAAATATTATTTCTCTTATCTTTCTCATTTATGGGCAAAAAGGGTCACTTTCTCCCTCATGTTCTCTTTTTCTTATATATATGAGTGTTGTCTTTCTAATTTTCCTTTTGCACTAAAGTTTTGCTTTCATGTGTAGATTTTGCCTGTTTTGGGAAGCCAGATCATTAGGTTTTTTTTTGGCTTGTTGCCTTCTTTCTCTTGAAGAAACTTGGGATTTTACATCATTTTAATCAATTCATGGACTTCTTATTTATACTAAATGTATAAATTTATACCTAAACATTACGATAAAAGATTAATAGAAATTTCCCTCGATTTTTACTTTCAACTTAAAATTACACTTACCGAATATTTAAAATTATAAAATTGCAATATCTAAAGTTACAAATTGATATTTAGTCACTTGTTATTACAATATTATAAATTGAATTGTTGAACATATTACCTAAAATTATAGGGCGCGTATATGGAAATGAGACTATTCTTGTCTATTCAATAGCAATTACAACTTATGAACTTGTATTTATTAAATACTTGTGTTTTTTTTTTTTTCCATCAGAAGATATGTACAAGAATATTACACTTAACACTGTCGGTTGCCGTTACATCATTATCAAAGCTCATTAAGAGCATACTAAAGCTCATCACCAGCAAATCAACTCGTAAGGGGCAAGAACACTTGTTATTTGGGGATTAAAAGTTGCATTATTTAATAGATAATTTTTACCTAAAATTGACAGGGCCACGATGTTTTGAGAGTTTGTGATTGCCCCTATAGATTGAATTCTTGATCTGCAGAGCACGTGTTTCACCGCTTAAGTTACCATTTACGAGGAACATCTTACATCTTTTGATATTAAGTAACTCTTTATGAATATATGGGCAGCTATTAGCTCGAGATAGTGCTTAAATAATTTAAATGTTTTCTAAATATTATAATTCTAATAAAATTAATTAATTAATTGGAATTGTTGAATGTAAAATTCTTTTAATTGAAAAACTCTCTTTTAAAAATTCATAATATTGTTAGCATTATCTTAAAAAATAAATAAATATTTTAATGCAGGATGTTTGAATAGAATGGTACTTGAGGCTTTTATGCTATGTAATGTATGTCATAATCACTTTGTATTTCAAAAGTGATTAACCCACGTTCGTTTTGTCTCATTGTCCAATCTTTGATATGATGTTAGTTTTGTCATATTCTCATTCTTTCAATATCTTTTCTCTTGTCAAAATTTATGAATTAGACTCATGATTTAGCATTCAGATTTTCTATTGATAATTGTTATTATTATTAATTTTTTTTATTTCATAATAAAATGAATAAATTAATTTCATGCATTATATTAAAATTGATAAAAGAAAAACTATAATTCAAAATTTGTGTATTAATGCACATGAAATTCATTATGTAAAGCAATTTCTTCGTATTTGCATAATTTATTAAACATAAATTATGTAAATTTTATAAAATTTGCCATTTTATATTGAGGAGGATTATAATTCAAAATTTTTATTAAGTTAGAAAATAAAAGTAATTATTTTGTGACTGTAAACTCTATTTTTTTTCATCGAAAAATCAAATGGACCGAAAAAATATTACGGGCTATACTCAAATCTAATTGGATCAAATCTGATTGGCTAGATGGAGAAATTTATAATAATAGCAGGATGGACATGGATTGTTCTCTTAAATAGATAGCTTGGTGTAGGCATAAGAGAAATAAATTAGTTTATTTCAATTGTTTGACCGAATCAAAACATCACACGTCTGCATTTCAGGATTCTGGATCACAAGCAGTTAATGAAAATTGGTCCCATCAATAATCTCAATATTTTTTTTTTTTTTAGAAGAAATCCCTTTCTAATTTTAGTACTTGTGGGGATGGGCTTCTTGTCTCAGTCCTAATCTCCAACTTCATTTTTTTTTTTTTTTTTTTTTCATTTTTTTTTTTTTTTTTTTTCAAAAATATTTAATCCCCAATAAGAAAAAACCATGTAGATATTAGTATTTTTTTTTTTTTAAAAAAAGAGAATAAGGGGAGAAAAAGGAAAATTAGGAACCAAGTTCATTTTTTTTTTTTTTTTTCAAAATATTATCCAATAAGAAAAACATGTAGTATTAGTATTTTTTTTTTTTTAAAAGAGAATAAGGGGAGAAAAAGGAAATTAGGAAAATCAAAATTGATGTTTTTAACTTTTATGGGTTTTGTACAAAAGGAAGAGAATAAATTTCAAGTAGAAAAATTTTTCTCCTTGCACTTCTCAAATTTTTCTTTCCAAAATAGTGAGAAAAATATGGGGGAAACTAACATTTTTTGTGACATCCTGACCCGGCAAAGGGATTTTAAGAGTTCGGGTAGAGCAAAGTTTCTGACTAGCTTCTAGGATGGCAGACTAGCTATAAGTAGTGAATGGGGAACAAAATAATAAATTGAATCATATATCGAAAATGAAAAAACTAATCATCAAAAACACATTTAAATAAAATAACATGGAGAGTTGGAAGAACTTCAAATTTAAGCGTGCTCACTTAACGAAACATAAGATGCGTGACCTCTTATTTCACTTGCAGGATAAAAACTATGCGGATCTTGTCAATTCAGTATACGATAAAATTAGTTTGATTCAAAGCAGATAATTCTTCTAGTGGTTGGAATCAGGCGTGATACTTTTATTCACTTTCAATTGAATTAATATTTTTGTACATAAGAATTGGTCTCACGGTGAGTATACTCTATCTTACAATTCTTCTTGAATTTGTTTTCTAAAAATGGCCAATTAGGGACGGATTTAATCCTACGATTGGAGGTCACTACCCCTAAATTTATTAAAATTCTACTTTTTTTTTTTTCCTAAATCTTTATTATTTTGTTTTTAAATACACACATTTATCTTTTCAAAATTTTAAAATTTAACTCTACTTTTTCTATTTACTGGGAAAAATTTATGATATTACATTAGTAATGAAGTTGGAATCTTCTTTCAAATGCACACAAGTGACAATAGGAAAAGGGAGAAAAAAAAATACATAAAAAGGACAAACAATTCACTGCCATTCTGAGGTCATCATGGCCAAAATACGCCAGCCAGCAGATAAGAACAAGGTTTTCCATGTTCAATGCATATGTCACGTGGCTATACAAGTATCATATGTATTTATATGTGTGTGTGTGTGTGTGTTTGGGAGAAAAGAAAATGGAATGATGGAAAGCTAAGGAAAGTTGGAAATGGAAGAGAGTAGATAGAAGGGAATAAAAATGTATTTTTAGTATAAATTTTGTTTAATACATGTTTTTTTTTGGCTAAGAAATCAGCAAATCAGTTCTAAATTCACTTGCTCAGACAGCTAGCTTTTTATTTGGTTCTCTGGATTGGAGTCATGTCTATCCAATTTTGATTTAGGATATTTTATTCTTTGATTTCATTATTATTTAAACGGCAGTTTCATTAAAAAAAAAAAAGTTATATTTGAAAAAAAATTAATAATTTAGATGAAAGTCAAAAAAAAAAAAAAAAGAAAAAGAAACAAGAGGGAAAAAAATAAAGCTAAAATGTATACGTTTCATCTGAGATATAAAAACTAACTACTAGAAGGAAAAAGAAATTAAATTGTATATATAATAAAAAAGGTAATCTTATTCTTAAATTGAGATTGCTTATTGAAAATGAGTTCAAGATTTCTCCAAGTCAAGGGGTCTACGAGGTAGATTCAATTCCATTTGTCTACTTATCTATTGACTTTAATCTATTCAATGATTGTAATTTTATATTAACGTATTGATCTGAATAGAAATGACTCAGATCTCTTAAATAAGAAATCGAGTATTCGATCATTATGAATAAAAAAAAAATCCGAACCGAAAGCACTTTTCTTTTATCAACATAACATGATAGAAATTGATAAACGATCTCTTAAATAAGAAATCGATTATTCGATCATTGTGAATAAAAAAAATCCGAACCGGAAGTACTTTTCTTTTATCGACATACATGATCGGAATTGATAAATGATAATACAATTGCTGTTGCTATACGTAATTGGTGCTTGAGAATGCTGCCGCCTTGAAATACCCAAATGCTCTTATCAAGTGCATTATTAAATTGTGTTTAATTTAATTTAATCATGTTTATGGCTCCCAACTACGTGACTTATATGACTTACTAATATATGATTTTATGAAGTTTGAAACATTATAATCATAATATATGATTATTAATTTTCTTCCCTCAAAAATTTGTAAAATACTTCTAAAATTTCATATTTTTAATCGGTTAAAACATATATCACAACGTTCATCCATACTAAAAATATTATTTAATTTTAAATTTTAAATTCCTAACAATATATATATATAAAGTTCGCTTGAAAATACAATTATTTTTAATTATCCTAACATGTTTTGAACTTTAATTCATAAATGAATTGAATTTATCCACAACCTTCATTTGGTTTGCAACATAATATTAAAAGGGAAAGAAATATAATAATCATTTCATGAGAATAGTTATTTCTAATTTTAATAATTAAAATGTAAAATAATAAATTTGTAATATTAATTTTAGAATGATTCCAAGAAAATTAATAATTTATTACATCCTAATTAATAACAAAAAAAAGAAAAGAATTTTTATTAATTAGATTAATTTCACAGAATTTGAGAGAGTACTCAACATGAGAATCAAATTAACAAACATAACAGCAAATATTGAAATAAAATAATATTAGAAAGAATAACATGTGTACACGTCATCACCCTCCTCCTTTCTTCTCTCCACATGCTTCATCCACTCGTTGCCAATTCAATGCATCAAACGACAATTTATTTTCTCTCCATGTGTGTCTATACATATATTTTCCTATATTCTTCTTAATTATATTAATTAATCATTATTAGTAATAGCAGAATAATATTTAATTAACATATACATTGAACTTCAATCATGCAATTGCAACCCCTAAAATCAAATAATTATATACTAATAATTGCTAGTGAAATTAAATTATTCATCAACCGTCACTTAACCACTGTTTGGCAGTTGATAATTAAATGACACATACAGGAACTGAATTCCTAATATAGCCAACATGGTCCAGTGACTTCTAAGCTGCCATGAAGCTAGTTTTTCTAATTTTGTTTATTAGTTTTTAGTTTTAGATTGTTTAATAAGGGTAAATTGGTACATGTACATTCATTGCATCTTGTCTATATGTTAATTTTTTTTTATATAGAAAGAATTGCTTTTTCTTTCTAATAATTAGTAGGTTTTGTAATTTCTAATTCACCTATAAACAGAACAGACATACCTATATATAATAGGGTTGGTATATAAATTGATTATAATGCATAGACAATCAATATTTAATTAACAGTTTAGTCATAGAGTTACGATTTATTCTGAATTATTTGAGAGTCGATTTAAAAAAATTCATTTAATGAATTAACTTCAAGTTTGTTTATTAAGCTCGTTTAATAAAAAAACGGAACTCAATAATTTATTCATTGTATCATAGACACATTAAATTCGAAAATAATGAATTTGGTTAATTAGTCTTCTAATTGAGTAATTAATTCATACAATGACCAGACATACCCTTTTTATTTTTTCTTTTCTTGTGGCACAAACAAAAACAGGAAAATTTAGGCTGTTTTTCCATTTTTGTATATGAAAATTTTCTAATAACTTGGATTCCACACAGCCTCCAATAATATCCCATTCATAGCTTTTGAAATTTGATTGATTCCAAATTCTAGATTGACATTTTTTTGTCCCCTTTCTTTTCATTGAATAAATATTTTTAAATTAATAGTTTTTCCCATTTATATAATTCACTTTTATTATTAACATTGTATGCTACATATGACTTTCGCTTTTGTAGTTGAGAGAATTCGAAATCGTAATCGAAATCTCTTGTTCTCTGCATCTTCTATGAGAAATAGGAAGGTCAATCAAATAATATCCGATCGGAGGTAACATGATTAATTAATTATGAAATAAATACATTTTGACACGTTGGATTTTTGGTATGTAGCGATGGAAACTATTTTCATTTCTTAATTATGATGTGTAGTCAATTCTGTAGGACTTTGGTAGCTAATTATTGGATTATCAAAATCTTTAATTAACATTTGAATGCCTTTTCTTTTTCCTAAATCATGTTCAAAAACATTGAACACATTATAGGCACGTACATGTACATGGTCACCTTTTTTGGGTACATTTCATCTCTGCTACACTAGACAACATTTTTTGTACCCATGTGACCATTTTTATTTTTTTGCAACCAAAATTGAAATTTACCTATTATGGTTATTTAAATTAGTAAAAGTTAGGTTTATTTAGTTTTAATATTATTATTATTATTATTATGGGAAAAGGTAAGTTTGGTATTACCTATGTTTGGTTAAGTAGTTGCATTAGTGTTTTTTTTTTTTTTTTTTTTTTTTTTATACACGTAGTAATTGTAATACTTGATTTTATTATTAACGAATTATATTTTTTTAAAAAAATATTAATGTAATTTTTAAAATAATTTAACTTTAATTATAGTTTAAATGCGCATTTACATGGTTTTTGAAAATAACACCAATGCTATTGAGATGGAATTTATCAATTATTTCGATTTTATATATAGATTTTTTGATCCTTATGTATATAGCTGAATTTAATTTTCTTTATTTTCAATATTTTAATTTTAATTTCAAATCTCACCATTGAAATTTGAAATTATATTTTCCAACAAATAACCAAAAAATTAAATTTATAAAATCCGCGTGAAAATAATGGGCTGCGGCCCGTGGATCATCAAGATCAATAACCCATAACTGAATAACCAGAAACAACTTTTGGAAGAGCTGTTAAACCGTAAACTTGTGAAACCGCGTTCTACTTTGAACACGTGTACTCTGTTTGTCGTTTCGCGCTCCTTCTGTCGCGTTTCCAGTTTCCTTTTCCTTAATTTTTCTTTTCTCGTCACGATAAATAGTAATTATTAATTTGATTTTATTACCATTAAAATCTCAAAGTTCACTTTAAAATCATATTTCATAATTTTTGTTTAGCATTTTTGGATTACTGCGAGGAAAATGGGAATTTTGAGTTATTTATTGGGAATCATTGGATTTGGAATTGGAATCCCAATTGGCATTTTACTGGGTTTCTTCATATTCATTTACCGGAAACCTGAACAAGTAAAGGTATAAACCCATTATTTTCTTCATTTTTAATTATTTTTATTAATGAATTATTAATTAAATTAATTTTGTTTAATTTCCATACATGTTACTTCATTTTCATTGCCATACATTTCATAAATATTCGAAATATTATTTCAAAATTTAGCTTTTAGCTCATTATTAAAAATTGTTGGCTCGATAGTAATTGCTGCTAGCCGATTATAATTGTTAAACTAATAAGTCTTTTAAGTAATTATTCAATTTATTTTAACCGAGAATTTAAACTCGTAACCTTATCCAATACCATTGAATCGAAGTTGTTCAATTTTTTCAATCATTAGAAAATTAATAATGTCTTAATGTTAATAAACTCTTATGCTTATGAACTACATTTGCAGGATCCTATAATCAGACCACTCCATGAGTTGGATACTGATTCTTTACTCGACCTTTTGCTAGAGGTTCCTATGTGGATGAAGCATCCCGATTATGATCGAGTAAAAACCCTAATTTCTCTCTCTTTTTTTCACTTAAAATAGGGTAAATATTTCTTGTTTAATTATTTCTTTAGTATTTTTTTTGCAGATTGACTGGTTGAACATGTTTGTATTAGATATTTGGCCTTACCTTGACAAGGTGATAAGAAATTTCACAAACATATACTTATTTTCATTTTGCTGAAAAAAAAGAATAGAATTATATTTCAATCAAATTGACATTTTCTGAATTTATTCATGCTATAGGCAGTATCTAACTTAATAAGAAGCATGGCGAATCCTATGTTCGAAGAGTACGTTGGCAAATTCTATATAAAGTCTATAGGTTTTAAGTGCTTGAATCTTGGAAATCTTCCTCCTACAGTTCATGGTAAGTATAACTTAATTGTAACATTAATGGGACTTAATTATACAGTTTTTAGGTTCCTGATGGAATTTCTGCATGCTAAATTAATTTATTAAGCCCCTAGTTGGGAATTTAATTCTTTGTTTCTTGATTTAACAAATAGGTATCAAAGTGCAGGAAACAAATGAGAAAGAATTAGTAATTGAGCCTGCAGTTCGATGGGCAGGGAATCCTGACATAACCCTTGAGTTGAAACTTTCATCTTTACCAATCACAGTACAGGTTAGATAATATTGGGAACTATATTATTCTTTTTAAAATGGATTTTTTTTAAGCCATAGTCAAAAAACCTGTATCTGTTCAACATCTGTAATTGCTTGAGTTTGTTTTTAGTTAAGTAATTTATATTCTTGTACACAGTTGTTGGATGTTCAAGTACTTGCAGCACCGCGAATAACCTTGAAGCCTCTAGTGCCTGCTTTCCCTTGTTTCGGGAGCATATTTGTTTCTTTGTTGGAAAAGGTAACAATGGATTACCAAATTTTTGATACTTTTTGGATTTTCTTTTGATTTTTGTTGAAGAAAATAGCTATTGAATTACAGCCGCGTGTAGATTTCGGGTTGAAGATACTTGGACTTGATGTTATGGCAATCCCTGGCTTGTATCAATTTATTCAGGTTCTTCCACAGATATACTTAATATAGAATTTTAAATTTTTGCAGCTTTGAGTCCTTTTTAGATAGTAATTTTCCTTGTGAATATGGCTTGAGACTTTTTTTTTTTCCTGAAAATTGCCAACAGGAATTGATAGGAAAACAAATTGCTAGTCTCTATCTCTGGCCAAAAATCCTTGATATACAGGTTCTTGATGATTCGATGTAAGTTTTCAGCTTTGTTGCATTTCTTAAACTCGCCTAAATAAAGCTTTAAAAGATCTTTAGGAGAGATTAGTAATGACAAATCTTCTTTTTGGTTTCAATTTTTAACACCAGAGGAGCCACGAAGAAACCTATAGGGATTCTGCATGTGAAGATCATACAGGCACTTGAACTTTTGAAGATGGACTTGTTGGGAGCTTCTGATCCTTATGTGGAGCTCAGGTTGTCAGGAGAGAGGCTTTCAGCAAAGAAAACTTGTGTTAAGACCAAAAACCTTAATCCTGAGTGGAATGAGCATTTCAAATTTGCTGTCAAAGATCCTGAGTCTCAAGTCCTTCAATTACACGTTTATGATTGGGAACAGGTAATGAATAAGCACTTCCTTGGAAACTCATACTTCATCAGGAAATTATCCTTATAGAGAACAAGAAAAGATTTTCCTATCTGTGAAGATTTCTGTATAGTTATTGACAGTGTTATTTGCAGGTTGGCAATCATGATAGGTTGGGAATGCAACAAGTTCCACTTAGATTGCTTACTCCATATGAAACTAAAAACTTTACGCTTGATTTGGTTAAGGATATAAATTCTGACGATCCCCAGAATGGAAATTACAGAGGGAAACTTGTTGTGGAGATGACATTTAGTCCTTTTAAGGAAGATAGCGGAAGATCTAGTGAACATTTAGAGAATTATGTAAGGAAGAGAAGTGAAGATAGAAGTATAAAAGAGGACATTTTTGTACATAGAGGTGGTTTGCTTCTAGTTATGGTCGAACGAGCCGAAGATGTCGAGGGAAATTATCATAACAATCCTTATGCATTGGTTATATTCAGGGGAGAGCAGAAGCAAACAAAGGTAAATAATCTTCCTCAACATATTCTCATTAGAACAATGTGATTAGGGGTGTAAATAAGCAGAGCCGGCCTGCAAGTTGTTCGAGCTCGGCTTAAATCGAGCTCAAATTCAGCTTGTTAGCAAATGAGCATAGCTTGAATCTAAAGATATTCAATTTACAAATTCTTCGAGTCTCAACGAGCTATCGAGTTTTTATATATACATATATATAATATTTATTTTAAATTTATTCGAACATCGAGTCTTAAACTTAAAGCTTTTCGAGTTGAACTCGAGTTTCAAACCGAGCTAAAGCTCCTAAAATTTTCAGGCTGGTTAAGTTTCGAGCTGGTCGAGTTTCGAACCGAGCTTGGAGGCTGACGGGTTTAAGCTCAGCTCGGCTCGACTCATTTACACCCCTACTTGTTGTGAACTTGGGTATTCGCAATCCACACGAGTGTACATTTCTTTCATTTTCTCAATGGCTTTAGACCCTAACTAATATCTAGCTTTGCAAGAAAGATATCCAAGAAATCAGCAAGATTTATGTATCTTAGTTAGCTTTTTATTTCTTTTATACTAATGTTTGTGTTAATCATTCAAATCACTTTCTCTAGTTTATTAGGAAAACAAGAAATCCAAATTGGAATGAAGAATTCCAGTTTGTGCTGGAAGAGGCACCTCTAAAGGAAAAGATCCATATTGAAGTCATGAGCAAAAGAACAGGATTCAGCTTTCGAGCCAAGGTAGTACTTTTATTCATTTTCTTCTATTCATTTCCTAATCAATATTTTTTCTTACAATGAACTAATTAATAATGTAATAATTTCTTCTTTGGTTTCTTGCAGGAAACACTAGGATATGTGGATATTAATCTTATGGATGTGGTTTATAATGGTCGCATCAAAGACGAATATCATCTTATCAATTCCAAAAATGGAGTTATAACTGTTGATATTAGGTGGAAAGGTCTCTAGTTAAGGAGCAACTTGTAAAATCATTCTTTTATATCATTGTGGCCAAGTGTTTGTCTTGGGAATTTTAATGTATAAAAAGAAATGTGTTGAAACAGAATATGTATGCGTAGTTGCAGACATGTTCAAAGAATGAAAATGAAATACCCAAGTTCAAGTTCACATCTTGCCATTAAACTTATGAAATTATATCCCTACTCAGGTTCTCGGTTGTGTTCGGCAACAGTTTTTTAAGTAGTCAAAACGCTAGACGTTACTTTTTACAGTGTTCGGTGATATAGTCTTTGAACTAGTTTTTAAAAGTTAACACATCATTTTGTGAAAAGTTAACTCATGTACGTTTAACTTTTGATATTTCATGATAAAATACTAAAATAACGAATATCTAGACACTCTACTAAACTAGCTAACCACTACCAAAACATCTAATTTTACCAAAAAGACCCATGATCTTGTAAATTTATGAAACACTCAAGTTCAAGTTTGCGTTTAGAGTATGTTGAGATCAAAGCACAGGCTTATTCTAAACTTCGAAGTCTTAGCATATCTTGTCTGAACTTTAAAACAATCAATATTTTTTAAGGAATGAACTTCAAAACAATGAACATTTTTTATCTCGTTGGCCTTAGAAACAACAGAAGATAGAGCAGTTTTTGAACTTTTCAATCTTAATTTGAGTTCTTTCTTTCTTTTCAAAAGCTGATCAAGTCATAAACCAAAATGTCTTTGCTTCAACAAACCAGATTATAAATCAATATAAGTTATATCATGCCTGGTGATCAATGATACATGCAACCAAAAAGACTTTCTTTTATTGAAAGATTGTTAATAGCCATTATTCTTTCCCATATGCTACGAATGGGGGATAGACGAAAATTGTAGTTTTATATTGATTTATAATCTTTGTTTAATATCACAAACTTATTTCAGCATCTGATAACTCGGGTCCAATCAACATTCAACCATAACTTTAAAAAAAAAAGTACATGTTTACAAATTCCATACAAAAAAAATATATTCTATGAATCTATTTTGTATTTATTAAATTAAAGAAATGTGTTTCCAAGGAGGAAACAAAGTTTCTATGAAACTTAAATCTTTTTCTACTAAAAATCTTTATTATAGGATTTATTAATTTCCCCTGTATATTCATCGACAGGAGAAGTTGAGAAGTTGATCGAGTCTACTCTTTTGGAAGAACAGTTTCATGCAACCCGGATACTAAGCTTCTGACCATCTTGGCAATGCCCGGGTTTTCCGCATATGAAGTAATATTCGCCTGGTTCCATCAGATTGACTATGTCTTCTCCAGACTCATTAGTTGAAAGAGGAGACAATGCATTGCAGGATTCGAAAGATTCTTTATTCACTCTTAGTACGTCGTGTTCACCTTTCTTGTAATTAAATACTTCATTTACACATTAAATATTTAAATTAGATATGATCCGAAGGTGGATTACACTTCTTGATTATATATAAAAAAAATTTAAATCCCTCCAAGAAAAAAAATTCTCACCTAGAACGTCTCCGATGGAGAATTCCTTATCTTTAGCCCATGTTTTGTAGCAAGGACCAACAGCCCAGCCCTTAGCATCACCGACCACGAACTCTTTGGCGGAGACGCAGCCCAGCCCTTAGCATCACCGACCACGAACTCTTTGGCGGAGACGGAGACTGCACAGAAGGTGATTGCAACAAAGATTAGAAGTGCTGCATTATTTTGCAAAGCCATGGATATGTAAATGTGAAGAGATGGATTTGAATAAGAGGATTGATTGTGTGGGTGATTGGTACTTAGAAGCTTATTTGCCGCCTCTATTTATATATAATTGGTTAGGTACACAGGAAGAAATTTGGACCGGATCCTATGCTCATCCAAAGAATATTTACTTTTTATTGTTTTTGACTAATAAGCATCCATTTTAACCAAATTCAATCCTCTCTTCATATGTTCCTCAAAAAATCCTATTCATACGGATAAACCATCAACAATTTAGAACAAATAAATTGATTGAAAGAAGCGGTCTTATGTCCCAGATATTTTCGTATTTTAAAGTTTATTTCTTCAAAGACTAATGAGTTTTTAGTTTTTTTAGGATTGATATTGTTGGATTATTTGGTTTCATAGAGGCTAAGTCTTGTGTACGAGTTTAGTTCTCTCCTTTGAATTCAGTAACTATAGTAGAAGAGAAAGCCATTTTCTTACAATGAACTAATTAATAATGTAATAATTGCTTCTTTGGTTTCTTGCAGGAAACACTAGGATATGTGGATATTAATCTAATGCATGTGGTTTATAATGGTCGCATCAAAGACAATTATCATCTTATCAATTCCAAAAATGGAGTTATAACCGTTTTATATTAGATGGAAAGGTCTCTAATTAAGAAGCAATTTGTAAAATCATTCTTTTATATCATTGTGGCCAAGTGTTTGTCTTAGGAATTTTAACGTACAAAAAGAAATGTGTTGAAACAGAATATGTATATGTAGTTGCAGACATGTTCAAAGAATGAAAATTAAATACTCAAGTTCAAGTTCTCATCTTGCCATTAAATTTATGAAATTATATCCCTGTTCAGGTTCTCATCTTGTAAATTTATGAAGTTATTCCATTTAGAAAATAAATCCATAGATTTGATGTAAGGAAACAAGCCTTGGAAATGGTGATATATTTTTAATAGATTTGATGCGCTTTGTCAAAACCTGTTGCATATTGAATTTCAGCTTATTTTTAGAAAATAAAATTGCTTTGCAGATTATTTGGCGAAGAATAGTGTTGAAGCATCTAATGATTTTTTAGCTTGGTTTTGATTTGTTAGATTGTTTTAATATTGTGATTCGGAATTTTTTTTTCTATCTTCTTATCTCAAAAAGATATGAACCTTATATAAGTTGAGGTGTTCCAGATTTTTTTTACTTAGCATTTTAGAGTTAGGTTAAGTGTATTTGGAGGAACCTGATCTTTTAGGTTTAAAACCTTAAAAATGCTAAGTTTTTTCTGGATATAAATTAATAAAATAAATATATATTGCTGATAAAAAAAAAAAAGAAAATGAATCAATAACATTTTTAATTCAGTAAGTGCAACCAAAAAGATTTTAGAGATTTATGTCTATTAGTTCCATTTTAACTTTTTATTAAAAGATTGTTTGTTGAAAAAAAAGAAAGTATTATTTTGACATTATTGGTAACAAAAAAAATTGAAATATTTGTTTATTGTTTTTTAGCTTTTATGATTATGATACGTACAATTAATCTTATATATATTAATAACTTTTATATTTTATGAAAATAGAAATGAAGAAACGTGGAAATGCAAAAACGATATGGGAAAATGATATTGAAAATATAATTTATATTAAAAAACGATACTTTATAAGGGAAACGGATAGGAAAAATATTTCTGAAATGCAGAAACGCTCATGACTAGGAGTTTCGTACATCATAGATGACCTTTAATCAATATTGCCCATATATATTTTACAAGTTTTCTTTTGTAAAATTTACATAAACACCATAAAGAAAGAAGATTTGCTTATTAGATACTATTGATTGAGGTTTATTTGGCTAAATCATATTTTGCTTGACCACAGGAATTAATTATATACACAATTCTTCATCAACAAATTAATCATGAAACTTCCTGAAGTTTGTTTGGTTAATATCCTTTGATTGTCATTATTTTCCTCGTTGCCGTGAAATTAAAAGGGTTAATTACTTTTAATTTGCTTAATATCATAAACTTATTTTTACCATTTAACAAGTCAAGTCCGATTAACATTTAAACCATAATTCCAAAAAAAAAAAAAAAACCAATAAAAATTTTTATTTATTTACTAAATTAAAGAAATGTGTTTCTAGGAAGGAAACGAAGTTAAATTTTTTTCTACTAACAATCTTTATTATAAGATTTCCCACGCATATTCATTGACAGGAGAAGCTGAGAAGTTGATTGAGGCTACTCTTTAGGAAGAACAGTTTCATGCAACATGGATACTAAACTTCTGACCACCTTGGCAATGCCCAGGTTTCCCGCATATGAAGTAATATTCGCCTGGTTCCATCAGAGTGACGAGGTCTTGTCCAGAGGCATAACTTGAAATACGAGATGATGTATCGCAGGAATCGAAATTTTCTTTGTTCACTCTTAATACGTCTTGTTGACCTTTCTCGTAGTTAAATGCTGCATATCCACATTAAATATTTAAATTAAATATGATCAGAAGGTGGATTATATTTCTTGATTATATAAAAAAAATTTAAATCACTCAAAAAAAAAAAAAAAAAAAAAAATTCTTCTCAAAAAAAAAAAAAAAAAAAAAAAAATTCTTACTTAAAAAAAAAAAAAAAAAAAAAAAATTCTTACTTAGAATATCTCCAATGGAGAATTCCTTATCTTCAGCCCATTTTTTGTAGTCAGGACCAACAGTCCAGCCGTCAGCCTCACCGACCACGAACACTTTGGCGAAGGCGGAGACGGAGACTACACAGAAGGTGATTGCAATGAAGATTAGAAGTGCTGCATTATTTTGCAAAGCCATGGATATGTAAATGTAAAGAGATGGATTTCGATAAGAGGATCGATTGTGTGTGGGTTATTGGTACTTGAAAGCTTATTTGCTGCCTCTATTTATAAATAATTGGTTAAGCATACAGGAAGAAATTTACGCTCGGAGTCTATGCTCATCCAAAGGATATTTACTTTTTATAAATTTTGTCTAATAAGCATCCATTGTGAAGGATGCGGTTTCGGGTCCAAGTGGTTTTCGTGTTTTAAAGTTTGTTGATATTGTTGGGTTATTTGGTCTCATAGAGGTTGAGTCTTATTATGTACGTACTCTTCGTCTCTTTTGCTGTACAAAACATGATTAATCTAATCATGATTTTCTTATTTTCTTTTTTTTTTTTCTGAAAACTATAACCATTTTTTTCTATTGATTCTAATTCTTTTTGTTTTAAAGTTTTTATTCCCATTGGACATGTCATGTCGGGCCGGTCCATAGGACTAGCAACCAAGCGAGCGACCTATTAGTGGTGACACGGCCCGCATAACAATTGAATTATGCTTGCCCTACGTGTGGCCGGTTCCAATTGCCGCCAATACTCCTAACCAACCACAAACTCTTATTTAAGAAAATACTTCACTAGAGCATGTCCATAAAACCATAGCAACGGAGCAAACTAATGAAATTAAAAAAAATATAAATTTTAGTTTTATTGATTTGGCCATAGGCGGCGCCATATAACTAATATAGTAGGTAAATCTCATCTTATTTTGAAAAAATTACGATACAGTATATATGATTTGCGAAATCTAATTAGTTCGTCTCAACATGCTTTAAAATATATCAATTTTTTCCTATATTTTGCTTCCATTTATATTACTAGGTTATTTTATTCAATTTTTTTACATTTTTTCCGTGAAATCAATAAGAAAATATATATGTCACAGGAGAGTTACTAAAATATTATACTAGAAAAATTACTGTACAGTTTCTATAGTTTGAAAAACATAAATAGTTCATCTCTGTGTTTTTTAAAATAAAAGGGATATATATTTTTTTCATTTCATAAGATAAGATACTTAACGGAAAATATGTAAAAATTGGAAAGAAAGATTTTGTAATCTGACAGAAGTAGACTATAAGGAAATTTTAACATTTTTCTAAAGAACATGGAAAGATTAGTTGTAATTAACAAACCACATGAATCATACTGTAATTTTTCTTTTTATTTATTTGTCAATTGCTAAGGTTATCCTCTACCTTTAAAACCTAAAATCAAACATCTACTTACATAGTAGTAATAGCAAATACTATTCCTTTTGCAAGATTTATTTGTTACTGTTGGTTCTTTTTTGAGAAAAGAGCAAACGTATTTGCTGGTTGATAGGTTGAGTTGGAGAATTGTGGGCGTGCTAAGCGTGTGAAGTATACCAATTGAAGAATTAATATCGCGCTTGATCTGACTTCTAGGCTGTAGGTTTGGATCCAAGGTAAACGCTTCACCGGTTGTATAGTTTAAAATAAATTTAAGCAAAGAAAATTGTAAATAGAGTTTTATTGCTTGAAAAGTAAATTTTGATAAATTGCATTGAAATGAAAGCTTGTAATTACATGAAATGTAAATAAATTGAGGTTAGGAAAAATAAAGACAATGCTTTGAAAATTAAATTGCTTGACTTGTTGGAGAGTTTGATTTGATTTGTTGAATTCATCGGAGAATTTGATTGGCTGGGCCATTGTTAGGGTTCCCTTGCTCTTTTTATAAACTTCACAAGGGATTACTAAAAGGATCCACTGATACACGTTTACATTAGTTCTATTAGCGTCTCACCTTCCTGCACGTGAACTGCCACTTGAGGAGTGCTTGAGTCACGTCTTCTTTATCTATTTCTTTTTAATTAATTAATTAATTAATAGAAATTAATTAATCAATTAATAACCCAAAACAATATTAATTGGGTTCCAAAAAAAAGTGTTAATTGAGTCTCAATAAAATTCAAGCCCAAACCCAAAATATAAAACCAAATTTAAAAACTCATAAAATGAGTTCAACAGTTACTTTTTCTGCTTCTTACGACAAACAAACTTGTCAGGAAATAATTATTTCATTTACATAATGACAGACAGAATTAGTTTGCTTCCTCATCAAATTACTCATCAAATTCTTTCTTTCCTTTCTTTCAAAGACCTTATTCGAATTCGCGTTCATCCCAAAAAATTTAGGGATGCTTTCTTTTCCAATCCATACATAACTATTTATTCACAGATTGTTGATTATCACAACTATGATTGTTATCATTCAGTGGCGGATTGTATTGAAAGCTATTTTGGTTCAACGGATGTTCAATAGAATTCGATATTGTTGTATCCGATGGCGATTTTATTATGACCAGCCATCCTTATATCGTGTTTTTACATGGTTAGGTCACGTACTCTCTTCTGGTGTTGAAGAGCTTAATCTTGATTTTTTTTACAATAATGCAAAAATCAAACCATGTTATTTGCCATTGTTCTGAATCGCTATTGTCTCTAAGTTTGAATAACGATCATGGGGTTTGCCGTTTTAATGCCTCATTTCCTTTCACTAATCTTGAGTCCTTGAAGCTTGCAGATGGATTTGGGGAATGGATTTCATCTAGTCGAAGCATCAAGAAATTATGGCTTGAACAGATAGATGGAATAGAGAATATCAAAATCGAAAGTTGTTCTCTTGAGATTGTAATTGATGAACATTGCTTTAGATTTTTCAATCTTAGCATATCAGGCAAGAGAGTTAAATCCATAAGGGTGAGATTGGAATTTGAATATTCAAAGCAAATGGAAAAACATTCACTGGAAATCTCTGCCACAACTTGTCATTTGTTGATCAACTGGAGAGGGTAGAGCTTGAGATATTTAATGGAGGAAATGAATTGGAGATGCCCAAATATTTGTTGAAGAATGCTAAATGTTTAAAAGAGATTGTTATCTTTCATTACTCTTCTTTCCCATTTTATATAAATGAGAGATTAGAAGAATTCAAAATGATGGCTTCTACTATTTCTGTTGCTACTGCCATAGTTTTCAAGACCAAAATACAGCAGGAGGAACAATTTCATGTTGGCTAGTATCACAGAGAATTTATAAATAACCTCTCTGCATACCTTGCCTAGTGATTAATTTATCATAAATGTAATCAAAAAGATTTTAGAGATTCACATCTATTCGTTTCATCTATAGGTTTTGATATATATATTTTTTTGAAAGGATATAAAGATTTTCTTTTATCAGCAAAATATATAAAGATTTTCTTTTATCAGCAAAATTAAATATATTATTAAGAAAAGATAAAATTGCTAGTAGGATGAAAGGATATAAAGATTGCTAGCAACGATTATTCTTTTCTGTGTATGAGGATAGAAGAAAATTGGAGACTCTCAACATACATAGAAAAGTGATGGTAATTTCTATAGTTACAAGTTATTCTCATCAAAACATAATTTGATCCTCAATATACAAATTACATTCGAAGTGTTATTGTTGGCATTTAGCTGAAAATTGCCAATGTCTTCCAGGGAGCAAACAATGTCTACATATTGAAACTTAAATCTTTTCTACTAACAATCTTTATTATAGGTTTTATTAATTTATTTCCCATGCATATTCATCGACAGGAGAAGCTCAGAAGTTGATCGAGTCCACTCAGTTTCATGCAACTTGGACACTAAGCTTCTGACCATCTTGGCAATGCCCAGGTTTCCCGCATATGAAGTAATATTCGCCTGGTTCCATCAGATTGACGATGTCTTCTCCAGAGTCATTAGTTGAAAGAGGAGAAGATGCATCGCAGGATTCGAAAGATTCTTTGAGGATTCGAAAGATTCTTTGTTCACTCTTAGTACGTCGTGTTCACCTTTCTTGTAGTTAAATACTTCATTTACACATTAAATATTTAAATTAGATATGATCCGAAGGTGGATTACACTTCTTGATTATACAAAAAAAATTAAATCCCACCAAGAAAAAAAATTCTCACCTAGAACGTCTCCGATGGAGAATGCCTTATCTTTAGCCCATGTTTTGTAGCAAGGACCAACAGCCCAGCCCTTAGCGTCACCGACCACGAACTCTTTGGCGGAGACGGAGACTGCACAGAAGGTGATTGCAATAAAGATTATAAAGATTAGGAGTGCTGGCATTATTTTGCACAGAAGGTGATTGCAATAAAGATTAGGAGTGCTGCATTATTTTGCAAAGCCATGGATATGTAAATGTAAAGAGATGGATTTGGATAAGAGGGTTGATTGTGTGGGTTATTGGTACTTAGAAGTATTTGCTACCTCTATTTATACATAATTGGTCAAGTATACAGGAAGAAATTCGGGCCGGATTCTATGCTCATCCAAAAAATATGTGCTTTTTATAGTTTTTGACTAATAAGCATATATTGTGAAGGATGCGGTCTTAGATTTCAGAGGTTTTTGTGTTTTAAAGTCTCTTTCTTTATAAACTAATGAGTTTTTAATTTTTTAGGATTGATATTATTGGATTATTTGATCTTATAGAGAGTGAGTCATGTGTAGAGTTCAATTCCCTCCTTTGAATTCAATACCTACAGTAGAAGAGAAAGCCATTTTAATATGAAGTCGTGGTACAATATTTAAAAGACTTAGTTGTCCTTTTTTTTTTTTTTAACGAAATAGAATCCATTTCATTCATGTAACATATTGAAGACTAGCATAAGAATAAACCCCTTTTGATATAGCATATTGAAGACTTGGTTGTTTACATAGCATTTTGTTATTTTATCTAATTGTCATTCTGAAATAATAAAAATCCTCATTTTTTTCCTTTTCTAACAATTAATAATTTCATAATAAGCTTATTGCATTAATTATAAAATTCCTTAGTTTTATTTTTCAATAATTAATAACCCACAATAAATTTATTTCATTCAACTCAGTTATGTATGTACGTACTCTTCATCTCTTTTACTGTTCAACAGGATTAATCCAATCATGATTTTCTTATTTTCTTTTTTAATTATGACCATTTTCCTATTGATTTTAATTCTTTTTTGTTTTAAAGTTTTACTCCCATTGTACATGCCATGGTCGGCCGGTCCACAAGATTAGTAACCAAGCATGACCCACCCATTAGTGGCGACGCGTCCCATATAACAATTGAATCATGCTTGCCCTACGTGCGCCGCAGAAGCAAACTAATAAAATAAAAAAAAAAAAAAATTCATAAGTAAATCTCATCTTATTTAGAAAAATTACAATAAAATCCCGTGGTTCGCAAAATATATTTAGTTTGTCTCTACATTTTTTTTATAATATATTAATTTTTTCCTATATTTTGCTTCCTTACTACTAGATCTTTTTATTTAATTTTTATATCTTTTCCGTTAAGTCAATAAGAAAATATAGAGGTAAAAAAAGATATACTAAAATATTATACAAGAAAAATTATTGTACAATCTCTATAGTTTGAAAAAAACCATAACTAATTCATCTCTGTATTTTTTAAAATAAGAGGAATATTTTCTTTATTTCATAAGATATTTACTAGAAAAAATATAAATATTGGACGGAAGAACCTTGCATTAATGACGAAGGAAATTATAAAGAAATTTTAGTGTTTTTCCTAAAAGACAGGAACAGTATTAAACTATAATTAACAAACCGCGTGGATCTACTGTAATTTTTCGTCTTATTTATTCAACGGTTGCTAAGGTTATCGCCTACTTTTAAACCCTAAAATCAAACGTCTACTTACATTGCAGTAATAGCAAATAGCAATTCCTTTCGCAAGATTTATTTGTTACTTTTTCTGCTTCTTAGGACAGACAAGCCTGTCAGTCAATAATTATTTGATTCACATAATTAGTTTGCTTCCAGATGAAATTATTCATCGAATTCTTTCTTTCCTATCTTTCGAAGACCTTGTTCGAATTTCCACCCTTTCAAAAACATCTAGGGTTCTTTATTTTTCCAACCCATTCTTAAGTTGCGATTCACAGATTACTGATGATCCTTCTTCAGTGATGGATTCTATTGGAAGATACTTGTTTCAACGGAATCTCAAGAAAATTCGATATTGTAGTATCCGACGGAATTTTCGACATTACTATCACTATGGTTGTGTTTTTATATGGTTATCTCACTTGCTCTCTTCTGGCGTTGAAGAGCTTCATCTTGAATTTCCCTACCTTGACAATTTTTTTTCTTTGCCAATTGATCTTTATCGTTCTGAATCACCATTGTCTCTGAGTATGAATATGGATAAAGCGGTTTACAGTTTTAACGACTCAGTTCCTTTCACTAATCTTCAGTCCTTAGGCTAAATTCAGTTGAAGTTGAAGATGGATTTGGGGAATGGATTTCATCTAGTCGAAACATCAAGAAATTATGCCTTGAACAGATTGATGGGATAGAGAATCTCAAAATTGAAAGTTGTTATCTTCAGACTGTTGACATATTGAGTTATAAATCTTTCCTTAGACTTTGCAATCTTAGCATATCAGGAATGAGAGTTAAATCTATAACTATAAGGTGGACATTTGAATCCTCAATACATAAATCACTGGAGATTTCTGCTCCAAATCTTAAAAACTTCTTATGGAGTGGAAAATTTCCTAATTACATTTGTCTACATAATTCGGAGCAATTGGAAAGTGTAAAATTGTTCCTTGAATCGGCCAAAATAGACAGTGGTCGATTTCCTTCCACTTTTCTAAACGATCTAAGAAGCACCAAAGACATATCGGAGAATTGGGGGAAAGTGTTAAAATTGTTCCTTGGAACGGCCAAAAATAGAACATGGTCGAATTTCCTCCACTTATTCTAAACGATCTAAAGAAAGCACCAAAAAAGACCTGCATCTTTGTGAATTACTGTTACCTTACTAAAAAGCAATTTTGTGAATTACTGTACTTACTACTACACTAAGTAATTCCAGGTAAGTGGAGGGAGTCACAAATGGTCCACTTTTTAAAACCCACTTTGCCTAGACAGAATTTTACCTAGAAGTAATTAATTAGGACAATAACCACCAAAAATATTTTTGCCCAACAATAACTTATTAAATAAATTAAAGACAAAAAGCATATAAATAAAAGAGAATACCAAAAAATTTAACGAGGTTCGGCCCCAATTTTTGCCTACGTCCTCGGACACTACTAAATTTATATTCACTAAAGAAATTAATTACAAATTTTGAAGACTGAGGAGAGAAAAACTTGTCTAACCCACTTAGAATTGGAAGACAAAAGTTTTGGAATGATTTTAAACTTAAGGAGCTAGGGCTCCTTATAGCCAAAAGGCTCCCCTATTCTAATCCTAGTTTCCCGAGGTGGGATTTTTTGCCACATAACCAATAATCTCCACCTTGGCGAAAATTTCCCCACCAATGCAAGCTTCTGCTCTTTTCTCTTCACAAAGTTTGTAATGTCTTCAAATGTGCTTGGGCAATGCCAAGCTTCAAGTTTTTAACAATATTTGATCAAGTCAAACAATGTTTGATACTTGACAGCTGTCACCACTTTTGTCAACATATCATCAGGATTTTTCAGCAGTCTGAATCTTCTTGGAGTTGAACCTGCTTTCTCCATAATTTCTCATGAACAAAATGAAATCGAAGATCTATATGCTTCGTTCCTTGCATGAATAAACTTGGTTCTTTGCCAAGTGGGAAATAGCACTTTGACTATCGCAAGTTTACAACAATGTTGTTTTTGCCTCAAATTCCCCAATTCATCCCAAGGCAATCCTGAAGCCAAATGCCTTCCTTAACAGGCCTTCTGTATACTTGCCATGTACTCTTGCCTCTGTTGTAGACAAAAGCCACTGTTGACTGTAAAGTAGACTTCCAACTAACTGGTGCTTTTGCAAGAGTAAACACATAAACCAGTATTGATCGACGTTTATCCAAATCACCGGCATTAACAGAAATCCAGTATCCGACTATGCGTTGACCACTATTCTTATCCTGCCATCAAAAATTCAATCAACATCACGGTGTTCTTGAAGGTTACCGCCAGAATCCATTCACAGCTTTGGCCAATGCTCCTTTGCCAGGGATCCCTTGCCAGGATCATGCATGTATCTGCTCACAACTCCAACTGCCTGTGAAATGTCTGGTCTTGTACACACCATAGCATACATCAAGCTACCTACAGCGTTTGCATAGGGAACTTTTGACATGTATTCCCATTCTGCATCATTTTTGGCGACTGAGCTGCACTGAGTTTGAAATGAGGAGCAAGAGGTGTACTAACAAGCTTGGTTTTATCATCCATTCCAAAACGCTTTAGTATCTTTCTCAGATATTGCTTCTGATTCAGACAAAGTCTCCCCAATTTCCTATCACTAGTAATTTTCATGCCGAGAATCCTCTTTGCTTCGCCCAGATCTTTCATTTCAAATTCTTGATTCAACTGATTCTTCAAATTCTCAATTTCTTGTTTATTCTTTGAAGCTATCAACATATCATCAACATATAAAAGTAGATAAATGAAAGAGCCATCATGTAGCTTGCGCAAATACACACAATGATCGTATTTGCTTCTTGTGTACTTCTGTCTTTACATAAACTTATCAAATAGCTTGTACCACTGCCTTGGAGATTACTTCAATCCGTAAAGCGATTTCTCAAGTTTGCATACCATATTTTCCTTTCCAACAACCTTGAATCCTTCTGGCTGAGTCAGATAGATTTCCTCTTCCAGATCTCCATGTAAAAATGCAGTTTTTACATCAAATTGAACTAGTTCCAAATCAAACTGTGCTACCAAGTCTAACAAAATCCGAATGGAGGAATGTTTTACAACTGGAGAAAATACTTCATTATAATCAATTCCCTCCGTCTGAGCGTAGCCTTTAGCTACCAACGTCTGAGCATAGCTTTAGCTACCAAAAACCTTGCCTTTTATATGAACACTGTTCTCTGTCAGAAATCCAATCTTTCTTTTGCATAACCCATTTGCATTCCTATGCCCTATCCTATTGCCTTCTTTCCCTTTGGTGGATCAACTAAGTTCCACATCTGATTCTTATAAAGGGACTTCATTTCATCTTCCATAGCTTTTCTCCACTTTATTTCTTCTGAACTTTTAGTAGCTTCATTAAAAGTGGATGGAATGCTATCATCTGCAATTGGAGATGCATAGGCCACCATATCTCAAAACGAGCAGGCTTTCTTATAACTCTCCTTGGCCTATCAAGTGTAATTGACTCAAGTTGCTGTGGAGGTTCTTGGAGTTGAACCTCCTCTTCATCCGAACCTCCTTCTACCTCAGGAGTTTCTACAGGTTCAGTACCCATCATTGGAATTTTTCTATCGAACTCCACCTGTTGTGGAGTATCCTCCACCTGTTGTGGAGTACCATCTGACTGCTCTACCGTCACCTTTTTTAACATGCTAGATTCATCAAAAGTGACATCTCTGCTAATTCTGCTAAAAGATATTTTCTTGGATTCTGTTACCACCATTACTCGATAGCCCTTTAAACCGACCGGTACTTATTCCATGAAAATGGCTTTCTTTGCTCTTGGAATCCAGCTTCGATTCCCTAACATGGATAGTATGCAGGTGGAACCAAATAACCGTAAGGAATTCATAATCATTAGCAGGTTCTCCACACACACCTCTATAGGTGTTTTTTGCCCACCAATAGCAGTGATGGTTAAATCGATTAATTGAGGATTGACATGCATATGATATACCAGCCCAAAAATTTCTTGGTCTAACCAGCATTAAGGACAACATTACACCGAACTTTCTTCAGGCAACGTTCGGTTCATACGTTCTGCCACCCCATTTTTGCTGCGTGTATTTCTAACTGTTGAAGTGTTCTAACAATGCCTTCATCTTCACAGATTTTATTCAAAAGCATTCAAATTTTTGTATTCTCCTCCAATTGTCTGTTCGAGACATTTGATTGGACTGCCAGTCTGGTTTTATCTAACCCAATTTTTTCCACTTAAGAAGAACTCCCTAGCACTTCATCTTTTTGATTTCAAAGTATACACCCAAACCCTTCGAGGAGAAATCATCAACAAAGGTCACCATTAATAGTGTTTTTACCCATCAAAGAAGCTGTTGAGAGGGTCCCCATACATCAGAGTGAAACATAGTCCAAATTTTACCCTTGGGTATTATGGATTTTCCGGTGCCAAATTTCACTCTTGTCGCCCGGTGCATGCTCACAGAAGTCCAACTTGCAGGTTTTGACATTCAATAATCCGATCTGACAATTCTTTTTCAAGGTTTTTCACCTGCATGTCCCAAAACGGGCCTATTGCCCAACAATCTAGTTGTTTCCAACTCTTTGTCATCACTAGAAACAACTGTTGCTGTTCGAATCCAATAATTTATAATTACCCGTGATAGTTAATTACAAATTATTCCTTCTCCGAACTCCTTTCATCACCACAAGTTGACCTGAGATGATTTCATCACCACAAGTGCACCCGAGATGACTTTCATCATTCCATCTTTCGCAATTATAGTGAGTCCTTTTGATTCTAGGACTCCCACTGAAATGAGATTTTTTGTCAAACTTGGTACATATCGAACATTAGTCAGGATCCTGATTGACTCATCATGATTCTTCAAATGGATTGAACCAACCCTTCTGTGAAGTAAGGAACATTATTTGCAGTATAGACAACTTCATTTTCAAGTTCTTTAAAGTTAAAAACCGATGGGGACTCATATGATGACTGCATGCAGAGTCTAGCAGCCATACTTCACCAGAACTTGTCAAATTTGCTGATGAATTGTCTATAGATGCCATGCTAGCTAATGAGAAGTCTGAGTCTTCATCATCACACTCAGCTATGTTTGAATTAATAACAGCTTTGCCTTTGGCTTTTAGCTTCGGACAATCTTTCAATCTTTCTTCCAATGACCTTTCTCACGGCAAAAGGCACACTCATCTTTTTCAACTCTGGTTTTTGAACGGGATCTACTTTTCTTTCCCCCTTTCTTTTGGCTTCGTGAATGGCCTCCAACTACCAAGCTTCTACTTCAGTTGCCTTTTCCTTCTTTTCTATCTTTCTCAGTTCATGGCTGTAAAGATCAGCACAAACTTCACTGAAAGTCACATCTTTATTCCCATAAATTAGAGTCGTTGTAAGATACTCGAATTCATCAGGAAGAGATGCTAGCAACAACACTGCCAAATCTTCGTCTCCAAATATCACATCCAAATTGAACAAATCACCCACCAACTGATTAAGTGATGTGTTCATTCATAGTGATACCAGGAACATAATTGAAGGGATACAATTTCTTCTTCATGAAGAGTTTGTTCTGATTGTTTTTCTTTAAAAAATTATCCTCCAATACCTTCCACAATTTGTTTGTAGAAGTTTCTTTCGAGAAAGCATATTTTTGCTTTCTAGAAAGACACGACCGAATTGTACCACATGCCAAACGATTGATGGTCCTCCATTCACTCTCCTCCATCTCGTTTGGTTTCTCCTCTTCAATAGCAACATCTAGACCTTGCTGAAAGAGAGCGTCCAGAAGTTCACTCTGCCACATGCCGAAATGATGCCATATGCCGAAATGACCGGTGCCATCGAAAATCTCCACTGTAAATCTTGCATTTGATACAACATTTCTTACGAAGGTTGATGCTGTAGCAGGTGTGGTATTCAGGTGTGGTATTTTTCTTTTCCGTCTGTTCATTTCTGCTTTAAAAATATTTTAATAGCTAATAAAAAACAATTTTCAAAAATGCGGAACAAACCAAGGAAACCTTTTTTATGTGGCAGATCAGACTATGCCTGCAACACGACAGTGAATACTTAGTACTTGGCTCTGATACCAATTGTTGTGGAATTGGGCTTTTTCCACCAAAAGCAATTTGTGATATTCTTACTTACTAACTACACTAAAGTAATTCCCAAGGTAAGTGGAGGAAGTCCCCAAATGGTCTCACTTAAAACCACTTTGCCTAGACATTACTTAGACATGCAATTAATCTGACAATAACCACCAAAATATTTTTGCCCAACAATAACTATTAAATAAATAAAGACAAAGCAATAAATAAGAGAGACACCAAAATTTTAATGAGGTTCGGCCAATTTTGCCTACGTCCTCGGACACTACTAAATTTATATTTCACTGAAGAAATATACAAATTGAGAGAAGAGAGAAACTTGTCTAACCCACTAGGCAGGTGTGGTATTTTTCTTTCCGTCCACCATTTCTGCTTTAAATATTTAATAGCTATAAAATCAATTTTCAAAATGCGGAACACAACCAAGGAACCTTTTTTTATAGCCAAAAGGCTCCCTATTCTAATCCTAGTTTCCCGATGTGGGATTTTTGCCACATAACCAATATAAATCACTGGAGATTTCTGCTCCAAATCTTAAAAACTTCTTATGGAGTGGAAAATTTCCTAATTACATTTGTCTACATAATTCGGAGCAATTGGAAAGTGTAAAATTGTTCCTTGAATCGGCCAAAATAGACAGTGGTCGATTTCCTTCCACTTTTCTAAACGATCTAAGAAGCACCAAAGACCTGCATCTTGATGGCAGCATTCTTATGGTGTGTGCTCGTTTCAGAAATGAGATTTTTGCAGGAATTAATTAGAAATATTTGAAGTTTTATATATAGCAAAAAGGTCATATATATATATATATATTTATATATATAATGTGCATTCCTATTTTGCAGGATGAGTTTGTGCATGGCAGTTGCTTGGCAAGTGCAATATATGAAACAAAAAAATTGTTTATTTATGTTAAAAGAAACTTAAACGACAGTTTTTTCTTTCCAGCAATTGTTTCTTTTCTTACAGGGATGCATAATCTGAAATTTCTAAGCATCAAACCAAAAGTCAGTACCTGAACTTTTCTTTTTTTTGAACTTTTCTAGTTTTAACTATTATTATTATTATTTACATTTTAATTAATGGGTTGCTCTTTCAATTGAAAAAGTATTCACTACCCTTTGAAGGATATGGATATGATTTAAGGTATTGGGAATGCCACAACTTGACATTTGTTGATCAACTGAAGAAAGCAAAGCTTGAGATATTTAACGGACGAAATGAATTGGAGATGGCTAAATATTTGTTGAAGCATGCTAGATCTTTAAAAGAGATGGTCATCTTTCAGTACTCTCGTTTGCCATTGCACACAAATCAGAGATTAGAAGAATTCAAAATGATGGCTTATACTGTTACTGCTTCTGCTGCAATTATTTTCAAGGTGAAAATACGAAAGAAGCAACAAGTTCATGTTGATTAATATCACATCTTGTTTTCAAGATAAAAAATTTACAAATAACCTTTGCAATTACTGTTAAATTGAGTTTTGTTTATGATAATATAATGTAATTACATTATATCATGTCTGGTAATTAATGATATATATATAACCAAAAAAACTATATTCATTTATTTACTAAATTAAAGAAATGTGTTTCTAGGGACGAAACCAAATGTACATATTGAAACTTAAATCTTTTTCAACAATCACTCTTAATTTTAGGATTAATTAATTTATTTCTGATGCATATTCATCAACCGGAGAAGCTGAGAATCGGATCGAGTCTACTCTTTTGGAAGAACAGTTTCATGCAACATGAATACTAAGCTTCATACCATCTTGGCAATGGTTAGGTTTCCCGCATATGAAATAATATTCGCCTGGTTCCATCAGATTGATGAGGTCTTCTCCAGAGTTATTAGTTGAAATAGGAGACGTTGGATTGCAGGAATCGAAACTTTCTTTGTTCACTCTTAGCACGTCGTGAAACTCTTTCTTGTAGTTAAATGCTGCATTTCCACATTAAATATTTAAATTAAATATGATTCAAAGGCGGATTACACTTATTGATATATATAAAAAAAATATTTAAATCACACCAACAAAAAAAATTCTCACTTAGAACGTCTCCGATGGAGAATTCCTTATCTTTAGCCCATGTTTTGTAGCAAGGACCAATAGTCCAGCCCTTAGCGTCACCGACCACGAACTCTTTGGCGGAAACGGAGACTGCACAGAAGGTGATTGCAATAAAGATTAAAAGTGCTGCATTATTTTGCAAAGCCATGGATATGTAAATCTAAAGAGATGGATTTGGATAGGAGGTTTGATTGTGTAGATTATTGGCACTTGGAAGCTTATTTGTTGCCTCTATTTATACATAATTGGTTAAGCATACAGGAAGAAATTCACGCCCGGATCCTATGCTCATCCAAAGAATATTTACTTTTTATAGTTTTTGACTAATAAGCATCTACTGTGAAGGATGCGGTCTCAGGTCCGGAGGTTTTCATGTTTTAGTTTTGTAGGGTTGATATTATTGGGTTATTTGGTCTCATAAGGATTGAGTCTTGTATACTAGTTTTATTCCCTCCTTTGAATTCAGTACCTTATACTTATAGTAGAAGAGAAAGCCTGCGTTTTGTAATCAAATTAATCAAATCAAGAGTCAAATCAAGAGAAAGTCTCTTCAGTCCATTTCCCTCTGTTTTTTTCGTTTATGAACACGGGTGTAAGTATAAAAAAAAACTAATTATAAATAGTGTTTAGCTTTCACCTCGATTGAAGTTATCAAGCATGACTTCGCACGACTTCCCTTTCACTTTAGAACATGTTCTATCTTCCACCGTGATACGGATCCACTACCACCAACCACCTATGGGGTTCAAGGGAACAAGGACCACAACAATGACAATCCATTAGCACTTCCTAGTGGACCAATGATTCCAACTACCACCACCCTATGGGGTTCAAGGGGAACAAGGCCATCACAAACATGACAATCATTAGCACTTCTAGTGGACCAATTACAAGGAGCCCGTGCAAACGAAGTATGGAGCAACCATGTCCTTAATACATTCAAGATTAACAGAATCACACAAGAGTCTCCATGACCTTTGCTTTCAACAAGGTTGCTATGAAGAACTTGGAGGAGCACCTAAGTTTGCTCACATTAAATAGAAGCACATGTTTGAAGTGGCTACAGTAACTTTGACTTGAAGGCTTGAAGAAGCACTGCCCGTGCCAAATAGCACGCCCCAGGCCGTGCACCTTAACTGCTCTCCCGAAGGAACACATACAATGCGCCACAGCCCGGTGCCTTGACACGTGGTTTGGGGGGTACCCGCAGGCCGGTGCCCTCTCTGCCCTCTCGCGAGGGACACAGCATAATGCCGCACGCCCGTGCCAATCAGCACGCCCAGGCCGTGCACTTCTCTGCCTCTTCGCGAGGAAACACTCCATACATGCGCGCAACCGCCCGTGCGCGCTTGGCACGCCCTGGACGGGCACTGTCTGCCTCTCATTAGTTAGTTTAGCTTATTTTTGTGTTTTTGCATGCTAATGGTTGGGCCTCCAATATTTCGTCCACCCTTGAATAATTAGCCTTATTTTTGATTGATTTTAGTCAATCTTTAGTGGATTTTTTGGATTAGATCTCCAATCCCTTAAGTTGTTATGATTTATTAGTCTTATCCTTATTGGGTTTTTAGATTTGCTAAATCCTACTCCCTTAGCTAACCTAAATCCTTTAAGGAATCTGGCGCTCTTAGAGTTAGTATAATTAGCTTGTTATTTTGGTAAATTATCAACAATTATTCATGAATTAAAGGACTAACTTCTTCATGCTTAGGCGTGTTCAATGTTTTTAGAGAGTTGTTGAGATTGCAATTTCTTTCTAATTGCATCAAGAATCAAGGTAACTTATCATTCTTTGTGGCGTTTTATCTTTATTCTTTTCAACCCTCTATTTTAGTGTTCTTGCTTCCTTTTAGCTTTGGGTGGCCATAGAGGGGAGTTTATTCTCATAGAGGGGAGTTTATTCTAGATCTTTGATCTCTTCCAAAACTTGTCATTGAGTTCATGAAATTTATTTTCATTGGGTTCCGCGTCACACCGTTACGTGATTCATTGGAGTAATTCTACCAAACTCAGACCAGTCTCACTTTGGAAACCGCCAAACTAAAACTCCCTAAAATGGAATGTTGATGGGTCATCTCTTGGCAAAGCGGGTAAAGCTTTAATAGGGGGGAGTGCTAAGTGACCACTCTGGTAATGTCCTCTGCTTATTCTCTTGTCCCGTTGGCATAAAAGATTCATACGTAGCAGAAGTCCTAGCAATACATAAAGCTTTGGCCCTAAGCTCTTACACTTCCAGATCAAAAGCAACCTGATTGTAGAATCAGATTCATCAAACGCCTTAGCTTGGTTATCGGAAAATTCTTCCCCCGTGGTTTCTTTGGGATGACTTATATGAAATCAAAGGTTTCATTCAAAAATTGCAGCAAGTTACTTTTAGAAAAATTGCCAGATCATAGAATATTTTCGCGAACTCCCTCGCAAAACAAGGAGTTCACTGATCATCAGATTTGGAAGCTATCCTGTAGGATGCCTTCCCAGCATTTAGCCTTGTTTCGTGAATGTCAGCAGAGCCTGTGATCTCCAGTCGTCGTTAATCAGCTTGTGCAGTTCTCTCTTTTTTTTTTTTTTTTTTTTTTTTTTTTTTTTTTTTTTTTTTTTTTTTTTTTTTTTTTTTTTTTTTTTTTTTTTTTTTTTCTGAGCACTTCTTTTGTTAGATCTTCTAGTGCTTCCTCAGATGGTTTTGATGGAAGTTTTAATCCTTTTCCAGTAATGTATCTAAGTTCTGAAGGTTTTTCTTTAACAAATGCAGGAATTTAGGTTGGGACTATGGGGTAGAACCTGTCGGTTCTGGGATTAGTTCCCTGCAATTTTTGAAGGTTTTCCTGCAATTTCCTAACAATAATAAAATACATTCTGCTGAAAAAAAAAAAATAGTGTTTTGGTTAAAAAAAACTGGCTTGTTGTCTTGGTGTACGGGACCACCCATACACCGGACGTAGAAAATAAATTTCCATAAGCTAAACACCTCTAATCCAATCGGCCAATATGTTCAAACCCGAAAATCAGTACTTTACCACTTTTTCTACTTATTCGTAACTTTGGAATCAAAGAGAACCAGGAAATACTTATTTGATTTATAACATAATGATTTAGTTTGCTTCCAGATGAAATTGTTCATCGAATTCTTTCTTTCCTATCTTTCGAAGACCTTGTTCGAATTTTCACCCTTTCCAAAACATTTAGGGTTCTTAATTTTTCCAACCCATCCTTAAGTTGCGATTCACAGATTACTGATGATCCTTCTCCAATGATGGATTCTATTGGAAGATACTTGTTTCAACGGAATCTCAGGCAAATTCGATATTGTAGTATCCGATGGAATTTTCGACATTATTATCATTATGGTTGTGTTTTTATATGGTTATCTCACTTGCTCTCTTCTGGCGTTGAAGAGCTTCAGCTTGAATTTCCCTACCTTGACAAGTTTGATTCTTTTTCTTTGCCAATTGATCTTTATCGTTCTGAATCACTATTGTCTCTGAGTATGAATATGGGTAAAGCGGTTTACAGTTTTAACGACTCAGTTCCTTTTACTAATCTTCAGTCCTTAAGCTAAATTCAGTTGAAGTTGAAGATGGATTTGGGGAATGGATTTCATCTAGTTGAAACATCAAGAAATTATGCCTTGAACAGATTGATGGGATAGAGAATCTCAAAATTGAAAGTTGTTATCTTCAGACTGTTGACATATTGAGTTATAAATCTTTCATTAGACTTTGCAATCTTAGCATATCAGGAATGAGAGTTAAATCAATAACCATAAGGTGGACATTTGAATCCTCAATACATAAATCAGTGGAGATTTCTGCTCCAAATCTTAAAAACTTCTTATGGAGTGGAAATTTTCCTAATTACATTTGTCTGCATAATTCGGTGCAATTGGAAAGTGTAAAATTGTTCCTTGGATCGGCCAAAATAGACAGTGGTCGATTTTCTTCCAATTTTCTAAACGATCTAAGAAGCACCAAAGACCTGCATCTTGATTGCAGCATTCTTATGGTGTGTGCTCGTTTCAGAAATGAGATTTTTGCAGGAATTAATTAGAAATATTTGAAGTTTTATATATAGCCAAAAGGGCTATTTTGCAGGATGAATTTGTGCATTCTTAAGAATGGGTTGGAAAAATAAAGAACCCTATATGTTTTCGGAATGGTGGAAATTCGAACAAGGTCTTCGAAAGATAGGAAAGAAAGAATTCGATGAACAATTTCATCTGGAAGCAAACTAATTATGTCTGTCATTATGTAAATCAAATTATTATTTCCTGTCAGGCTTGTTTGTCGTATGAAGCAGAAAAAGCAACAAATAAATCTTGCGAACGGAATTGCTATTTGCTATTACTACCATGTAAGTAGATGTTTGATTTTAGGGTTTAAAAGTAGACGATAACCTTAGCAACTGTTGAATAAATAAGAGGAAAAATTATAATAGGATCCACGTGATTTGTTAATTATAATTTACTTCCGTGCTTGTCTTTTAGGAAATACATTAAAATTTTTTTATAATTTACTTCCGTCATACTATAAGGTTCTTCCATCCAATATTTACATTTTTTCTATTAAGTGTTTTATGAAATAATGAAAATATCCTATCTATTTTAAAAAACATAGAGATGAATTAATTGTATTTTTCAAATTATAGAGACTGTGTAATAATTTTTCTAGTATAATTTTTTAGTATATCTCATTTGATCTCTATATTTTTTTATTGACTTAACGGAAATATATAAAAATTGGATAGAAAGACTTAGTAATATAATGGAAGCAATATATATATATATATATTATAAAAAAAATGCAGAGACGAATTAGTTGTATTTCGCGAACCACAGAGACTATACTATAATTTTTTTGAAATAAGATGAGATTTACCTATATGTACCGATTATATAGCGCCACGAACATGTCAAACCAATAAAAATAAAATTTAATTTTTTTTTTTTTATTTTCATTAGTTTGCTCCCGCCCCACACCTAGGGCAAGCATGATTCAATTGTTATACGGGACACGTCACCACTAATGGGTCGGTCATGCTTGGTTACTAGTCTTGTGGACCGGCCGACCATGGCATGTCCAATGGGAGTAAAAACTTTAAAACAAAAAGAATTAAAATCAATAAGAAAATGGTCATAATTAAAAAAGAAAATAAGAAAATCATGATTAGATTAATCCTGTTGAACAGTAAAAGAGATGAAGAGTACGTACATACATAACTGAGTTGAATGAAATAAATTTATTGTGGGTTATTAATTATTGAAAAATAAAACTAAAGAATTTTATAATTAATGCAATAAGCTTATTACATAACTGAGTTGAATGAAATAAATTTATTGTGGGTTATTAATTATTGAAAAATAAAACTAAAGAATTTTATAATTAATGCAATAAGCTTATTATGAAATTATTAATTGTTAGAAAAGGAAAAAAAAATGAGGATTTTTATTATTTCAGAATGAGAATTAAATAAAATAACAAAATGCTATATAAACAACCAAGTCTTCAATATGTTACATGAGTGAAATGGATTCTATTTCATTAAAAAAGAAAAAATAGAACAACTAAGTCTTTTAAATATTGTACCACCCTTCATGTTAAAATGGCTTTCTCTTCTACCATAGGTATTGAATTCAAAAGAGGGAATTAAGCTCGTACACAAGACTCAATCTTTATGAGACCAAATAATCCAACAATATCAACCTTAAAGAAAGAGACTTTAAAACACGAAAACATTTGGAATCTAAAACCGCATCCTTTACGATATATGCTTATTAGTCAAAAACTATAAAAAGTATATATTTTTTGGATGAGCATAGAATCCGGCCCGAATTTCTTCCTGTATACTTGATCAATTATGTATAAATAGAGGCAGCAAATAAGCTTCTAAGTACCAATAACCCACACAATCAACCCTCTTATCCAAATCCATCTCTTTACATTTACATATCCATGGCTTTGCAAAATAATGCAGCACTCCTAATCTTTATTGCAATCACCTTCTGTGCATCTCCCGTCTCCGCCAAAGAGTTCGTGGCGGTGACGCTAAGGCTGGGCTGTTGGTCCCTTGCTCCACAAAACATGGCTAAAGATAAGCGCATTCTCCATCGAGACGTCTAGGTGAGAATTTTTTTCTTGGATGGGATTTTAATTTTTTTTTTGTATAATCAAGAAGTGTATCACCTTCGGATCATATCTAATTTAAATTATTTAATGTGTAAATGAAGTATTTAACTAGACAAGAAAAGGTGAACACGACGTAACTAAGAGTGCACAAGAATCTTTCGAATCATGCGATGGCCAATCTTCTCACTCTTTCACTAATGCACTCTGGAGGAAGACATCGTCAATCCTGATGGAACGCAGGCGAAATATTACTTCATTCTGCGGGAACTGGGCATTGCAAGATTGGTCAGAACTTAGTGGGTCCAGGTTGCAATGAAACTGTAGTAGAACACTCGATCACTTCTGAGCTTCTCCTGTCGATGAATAATGTATGAGAAATAAATTTTAATAAAACCTATAATAAAGATTTGTTAGTAGAAATAGATTTTAAGTTTCATATGTTAGACTTTTCCCTGGAAGACATTGGCAATTTTCAGCTAAATGCCAACAATAACACTTCGAATGTAATTTGTATATTGAGGATCAAATTATGTTTTGATGAGAATAACTTGTAACTATAGAAATTACCATCACTTTTCTATGTATGTTGAGATTCTCCAATTTTCTTCTATCCTCATTCACATAAAAGAATAATCGTTGCTAGCAATCTTTATATCCTTTCATCCTACTAGCAATTTTATCTTTTCTTAATAATATATTTAATTTTGCTGATAAAAGAAAATCTTTATATCCTTTCAAAAAAATATATATATCAAAACCTATAGATGAAACGAATAGATGTGAATCTCTAAAATCTTTTTGGATAAATATATGATAAATTAATCACTAGGCATGGTAAATTAATTGCAGAGAGGTTATTTATAAATTTTCTGTGATACTAGCCAACATGAAATTGTTACTCCTGCTGTATTTTGGTCTTGAAAACAATGGCAGTAGCAGCAGCAATAGTAGAAGCCATCATTTTGAATTCGTCTAATCTCTCATTTATATAAAATGGGAAAGAAGATTAATGAAAGATAACAATCTCTTTTAAACATTTAGCATTCTTCAACAAATATTTGGGTATCTCCAATTCATTTCCTCCATTAAATATCTCAAGCTCTACCCTCTCCACCATTAAATATCTCAAGCTCTACCCTCTCCAATTGATCAACAAATGACATGTTGTGGCAGAAATCTCCAGTGAATGTTTTTCCATTTGCTTTGAATATTCAAATTCCAATCTCACCCTTACGGATTTAACTCTCTTGCCTGATATGCTAAGATTGAAAAATCTAAAGCAAAGTTCATCAATTAAAATCTCAAGAGAACAACTTTCGATTTTGATATTCTCTATTCCATCTATCTGTTCAAGCCCTAATTTCTTGATGCTTCTACTAGATGAAGTCCATTCCCCAAATCCATCTGCAAGCTTCAAGGACTCAAGATTAGTGAAAGGAAATGAGGCATTAAAACGGCAAACCGCATGATCGTTATTCAAACTTAGAGACAATAGCTGTTGAGAATCAGGCTCTGATACCAGTTATTGGGCCCTTTTAACCAATTAAGAGAAAATTAACGCAGCGGAAAAATAGAAATGTGACACATAAATTTACGTGGTTCACCCTCAACTGTTTAGGGCTACGTCCACGGGACAAACGGGCTACGTCCACGGGACAAACTCCGAATCATTCTTCCACTATTAAAAATAGTAGGTACACAAAGAGAGTAATACAAAAATAGTGGGTACACAAAGAGAGTAATATAAAAATAGTGACACACAAAGTGTTTCCCAAAAACACCTCATAATAATTTTCTCACAATTTTCTCTCCTTTAGTTTTAGGAAACCCTTCCTAAAACGAGATAACTAACTCGCTACATTTTCTCTCTTCGTTCTGTGTGTATATTGTGTGTTCTGCCTCTGCCTTTATTTATAGGCAGGTTAACGCGTAGAAATGCCATGTACAACTCCTGCCGTGTACAACTCCATTGCCTTCCATTTTTGACTACACGTATTGACTTACACGTAGAGGATGCCGTGGTACAACTCGTTGCCGATGCCGTGTACAACTCCGTTGCCTTCCATTTTTGACTTCCTTTATTTTCCTTTCAAATTTATTGTGGGTCCCACTTGAGTGGGCACCGCACAACAATAGCGATTAAGAACAATCAAGATCAATGGCAAATAACATGGTTTCATTTTTGCATTATTGTAAAAAAAATCAAGATTAAGCTCTTCAACACCAGAAGAGAGGACATGACCTAACCATGTAAAAACACGATATAAGGATGGCTGGTCATAATAAAATCGCCATCGGATACAACAATATCGAATTTTATTGAACTTCCGTTGAACCAAAATAGCTTTCAATAGAATCCGCCACTGAATGATAATAATCATAGTTGTGATAATCAACAATCTGTGAATCAATAGTTACGTATGGATTGGAAAAGAAAAAATGCCTAAATTTTTTGGAAAGAACAGAAATTTGAATAAGGTCTTTGAAAGAAAGGAAAGAAAGAATTCGATGAACATTTTGATGAGGAAGGAAACTTATTCTGTCTGTCATTGTGTAAATCAAATAATTATTTCCTGACAGGATTATTTGTAGTAAGAAGCAAAAAAGTAACAAATAAATATTGCGAAAAGGAATTGGGACGTTTGATTTTAGGGTTTAAGGTAGACGATAACCTTAGCAACCGTTAAATAAATAAGTTTGATTCCCTTTTTTTATGTTTATCTTTCTGAATCACTGGAGATTTCTGCTCCAAAGCTTAAAAATTTCTTATGGAGTGGAAATTTCTCTAATTACATTTCTCTGCGTTATTTGGTGCAATTGGAAAGTGTAAAATCTGTTGGGGCACGTGGGAAATGTCACCTCGGATAAATAAAACTAATTAAAAAGACATATAATGTGAAGGGTGAACTAATCAAAATGTCTTAGGACATTTTGTATTAAAGCTGAGCTTAACTTATTATAAGTCAAATATTAAATACGTAATTGAATTTGATTTGATCAATTTGTTCCTATAGCCCAGATTTTCAACATAGTACAAGAGCTTAGGACCCGAACTTGCATGATGGAAGTTCCTATGTTGGGGGGTTTGTACGCTCATGGACCAGTGCTGGGCCATTATATGCTTGTCAAGTGGGTAGTCCCACTTGAGGGGGAGTGTTGGAGTATGTGGGTAATCTCACACTAGATAAACACAACTAACTAAAAATGGCATATAATGTGAAGTTTGAACAAACTAAAATTGCTAAGACCTTTTTGTGTTAAAGGTAAATCTAACTTATTATAAGTTCAATATAAAATACATAATTGAATTTGATTTGATTAATTTGCTCCCAGGCTCAGATTCTCAACAGAATCTTAAAAAATTCTTGCTTTCTTTTGCATACAAATCAGAGATTAGAAGAATTCAAAATGATGGCTTCTACCATTACTGCTTCTGCTGCAATTATTTTCAAGGTGAAAATACGAAAGGAGCGGCAAGTTCATGTTGATTAATATCAAATCTTGTTTTCAAGATCAAAATTTATAAATAACCTTTGCAATTACTGTCAAATTGAATTTTGTTTATGATAAATTTCTTTACATTATATCATGCCTGTTGACTAATGATATATATATTTAACCAAAAAAACTTTATTCTTTAATTTACTAAACTAAAGAAATGTGTTTCCAGGGAGGAAACAAAGTCTACATATTGAAACTTAAATCTTTTCTACTAACAATCTTTATTATAGGTTTTATTAATTTATTTCCCATGCATCTTCATCGACAAGAGAAGCTGAGAAGTTGATCGAGTCTACTCTTTTGGATGAACAGTTTCATGCAACCTGGATACTAAGCTTCTGACCATCTTGGCAATGCCCAGGTTTCCCGCATATGAAGTAATATTCGCCTGGTTCCATCAGGTTGACGATGTCTTCTCCAGAGTCATTAGTTGAAAGAGGAGACGATGCATCGCAGGATTCGAAAGATTCTTTGTTCACTCTTAATACGTCGTGTTCACCTTTCTTGTAGTTAAATACTTCATTTACACATTAAATATTTAAATTAGATATGATCCGAAGGTGGATTACACTTCTTGATTATAAAGATATGAATCGAAAGGTGATTTACACTTCTTTGATTATATATAAAAGAAAAATTTAAATCCACCAAGAAAAAAAATTCTCACCTAGAACGTCTCCGATGGAGAATGCCTTATCTTTAGCCCATGTTTTGTAAGCAAGGACCACAGCCCAGCCCTTAAGCGTACGACACGAACTCTTTGGCGGAGACGGGAACTGCTTTAGCCCATGTTTTGTAGCAAGGACCAACAGCCCAGCCCTTAGCGTCACCGACCACGAACTCTTTGGCGGAGACGGAGACTGCACAGAAGGTGATTGCAATAAAGATTAGAAGTGCTGCATTATTTTGCAAAGCCATGAATATGTAAATGTAAAGAGATGGATTTGGACAAGAGAGATGATTTGAAAATTATAATTTGCTGCCTCTATTATATATAATTTGTTAAGCATACTGGGAACAAATTCACTCCGGATTCTATGCTCATCCAAAGAATATTTACTTTTTATAGTAAACCTAATTAACTACTTGGTTTTTACATTTTGACAAATTCTTTCAACTTGAAAGATTCTCCTTAAGTTGAGGAAATGGAGAGGATTCGTGAGAAAGGAGATGGGAAAAGATGAAGGATTTGGAAGAGAAAGTAGTTGTGAGAGTTTGTAGCCAGTAGGGTATTTTTGTAATTCAATATTATTGTCTCACATTTGACTACACTTAATTAATGCAATGGGTTTATCATTAATAAAACAAACCTATTGTTTGGTTTATTAATTATTGAAAAGAAATCAAAAAATTTTTTATTAATACAATATACTTAGTAATCAGTTGTTATAGAGTATTAATTATGGAAAAAAGAAATGTTTTATAATTTAGTTTTTTCAAATTAGATAATCAAATAAAAAATAATGAAAAATTTTAAAAAAATAATAAAAAGCCACGTAAAAAATAATAATTTTTTTATAATAATTCTCCAGCTTGTAATTTATTTATTTATTGTATGAATCGGTAGAATTTAATCGACTAAGCTAAACGTCAAAATAAAAATAAATGAAATTAAATATGCAGAAAAAAATTACAATGAGGGGTAATTAAGTAATTTTAACTCTAGAACAAGTAACATGCATGTTAGACTCATTTATACACTGGTCGAAAAATTTAAAACATCATTCAGACATCAACCTCTATATACGCCTCCAAACCTCCCTATTATAATTCCTTTACTAAAAAAGAAGATGAGTAATGAAGACTCTTCTTGGCCAAGATTTGCAGAGTTGCGCAGTATGGGACCGTCAGCCACTGCTTCCATTGAGCCACTGCCGGTCATTGAATTTGTGACCCAATTATTGAATCTTGATGATTACCCTGCAGGGCCATTGTCTGATGCTGACTGTGAGAAGGTAAGAAATTGTCAGTCATTTTCTCTGATCTTGGTTTCAGTTTTCAGCTATGGCTTGAACTATGTATTTTTTTTCATGTTTTGTTGCATCAATGTGTCTCAATAGATAAAAAGAGCTCTTGAATGAATCAAGGTCGAACTGACATTTAAGAAGTGGCGAAAAAATTACGAAATTTTTAGTTTAACCTCTCAGACTAGGGAGGACTTGGAGTGAGTATCAGATTATGTCCTATGTTTATTTTTATTTTGTTTTTCCATTTGTCTTACTGTTCAATTCTATGCATTTTGTTTCCATTATTTAATACTTGTGTATCAGGCTTAATGTTAGTGGAAAGAGAACCATGAAGTCTATCGTAGCTTTCTTCAGGGAAGTATATAATTGTGAAATTCGACAAACTAAATTGCCGTGTCTACAAGTTGGTGATCCCAAGAAACCAACTTACTTTTCAATGGAGGTAAGTTCTCAACAATTTTCACTTTGTTTGGATATGTAGGATTTCAACTTACAATTTCCAAACAGTGTTGCAAGATTGTTCCTGGTCAGAGGTTAAAGAGACTGAACCAGCTGATTATTTCAACTTCATAGGTTGGAATTGATTCAACTCCATCTTAAATTTGTCAGCTTATTCAGCTGATTATTTCATGTTATGATTAATGTAAATTTAATTATGATATTAAATGGTGCTCACCTACAATAAATTGGTTACTACTGAAGTTCTAACATGGCCGTGTTGCTTGTATAGACCGTTCCTTCTAATGCTTACCACAGTGATCCATTTTCTAAGAAGCTTGGAATTAAAACCAGTGAGTAGCTTGCTTCTGTAGTAGCTCGCATTTCGCCAGCTCCTTTGGTAAATTTACTTACTTTCCCTCTTAATATTTATGACCTGTTGTCTGTTCCTGTAATTTATTGAGTGTATTGGCTTTGCTTACTATTTGTGCAGCTTAAATATCACGAGACAGGGGGATAGATATTCTGCCTGCCTAAATTTGGAAAATGGAACATGAAGAAGAAGGTATTTCCTTCTGTAAAATTATATATATTTCATATCACATATTCTAATTACAGAATTAAACAATTTTTTTGGCAAGATTGTGTGGCATCTATCTAATTATGCTTCCTTTTTGTGGTTCTTTTCTCACATTGTTGGTCATATTCTTTTATTGGGTTGCTTTATCCATTTTTTGTAAACTTGCAACCCAGAATGCTGTAAACTTGCAAACCGTACTTCTTCTGTTAAGTGGAAGACCTGAGCAGGCAGAAGAGGCCCTGAATGCTTGTTATGGCTGTGCCGTGCAAGCACTCAAGCACGCGGAGCTTGACCTGCTTGTTGCTATTCTGCCTGACAACAAAGGTCCTCTTTATGGTATAAAGTCTCTACTGTGGTGTTGTTTTTTTTAATTTTATTCATCTGATCTCTTGTAAGCACTCACCATTTTGCCATTCATTACAATTCGTTTGTGTGATTACTACGTACGCAGGTGATTTGAAGCGTATTTGTGAGACAGATCATGGACTTGTTTCTCAGTGCTCTTTAACAAAGCATGTATTAGAAACTGATGCAGTAGAAAAGATTATTCTTTTGGTCACTGACCAGCCTATCATTATTTTTGGAGCTGATGTCACCGGTCGAGTTGACTCGACCCTATCTATTGCAGCTGTATGCTATCTAATTTTCTCCCTTCTTCCAAATTCAATTACTCTTGTGTTCATTAGGCTTTGCCAATTTCCTGGTTTTGTTAACAGAAGAGTCAATGCAGGTTGTGGCATCTCAAGGTTGGCCAGAGATTACAAAGTATGTAAACTTTTACAATTCATAAAACAAAGTTGCAGACCTTTATTCTCTGCTCTCTCTTTTTTTAATTCTTATAGTCACTCAAACACTCACACCACTCACAAACAACTCATTCATTTATTTTCACAACCACACTGATACAAAAAACTTAAACTGAACCTGCTGCTTGAAAGAGTGTCTTAATTCTGTCTGTCCACATTACAGGAAACTCCTTTCATCTTTCTTCAGAGCAACCAAGCAGCCTGAGAGTATTATACTTTTACAGGCATGGTTCTGTTGTCTACTTTCTTGTTACATCTGTTATTATTTATTTGTTTCAAAGCCTGACGATTTTTTCAGTTGTTCCAGGGATGGTGTCAGTGATGGAAGATTCTCTAAAGTTTTGGAGTATCAACTCCGAGCCATCTGGAAGGTAACAGAATCATGTTTTAAAATATTATTCTGTTGAATTTGATGAACCCATTTAACTATTAGATTTGGATCCTCATTATTATTTTGTTCTGCTTTCTATACATATCGTGTCAGAAATGTGTTTACTGCAACCAAATTATCACCTATTCTATGTTAATTTCAGGCAGGTGCTTTTCCAAATCCAAGTTATAGGCCTGCTGTGCCGTTAGCTGTGGTTCAGAAGTGTCACAAACTTTCCTGCTCGTAAGTTTTTGGTACCTTCACTTCCAATGTAGGAACTGGGAAATACTACTGATATTGGTGATGGGTTGTGTACTTTCTTGGATCCTTCAATTCGAGTTTTAACTTTCTTTTTTTTTTCCTCAATTAAAATTGGCAATTTTTCAGGCATTCGAGATCCACATGTTCTGTTTCCATTGGTTAGTATAGCTCTATATCCATCTATCTTGTTCTTTTGTTTGATCGTGTTCAGATTTTTGATTTACGTGTCTTGTGATTTTGCAGTGCCTCCCGTACACTATGCTAAACTTGCGGGAGATATTGGTTCAACGACAAGTCGTGGACCTGGTGCCAGTGCTGCCAGGAAGGAGAATTTCAAGCTGTTCATGCATTTTATTTAGTTCATTCTGACCTAGTTCTTGATTAACATTTGGATTGTTTTCTAGGATTTAGGTGAACGTTCAAAACTGTTGGTTGCTAGTAGCTGAGATTGAGAGTCGAAGCAGTAAACTGATGAATGCTGGTGTTAGATAAAATTTTTGGTGCTATTAAAATGTGAAATGATGATTAAAGTTATAATTGGTTTTATATATTATGATGTATAATCTATATATTTTTTAAAAACTTTTAAAGTGAGTATATTATTTTTTATTTTAATTTATTCTAAAAGTAAAAAAATTAATTTTTTTAAAATAATATTTAAATAGAAATTTAATACGTTCAAATAATTATATATAAAATGATAAAAAATAGTAATTTGCAAAAAAAAATATATTTTTATTAGTATTATTTTTATGATGTTAATGAATTCAAAATATAATATAAATTAAAATTATATAATATAGAGAACTATTTTAGATTATTTCTCATAATCATATGAATTCTACCAACTTTTGTAATTGAATAATTAAGAAAACACTTTGAGGAACTTTTTTTTTTTTTTTTTTCAAATTCAAACACTTTAATTAACTATTTTAGACTATTCTAGCCTAATAATAAAGGATTAACGTAATGTAACCTTGTTAACTTCTTTTTCTATAAAAGTATAAATCTTAATAATACATTAAACAAAAAAAATTAAAAAACAAAACAAAAATATGGGATTAAAAAAATATATAAAAAATATTAGTTTTCTTTTTTCCCATTAATATTTTATTGCATGAGGGTTAGGAAAATTGGGCCGAGGGATCAATAGTAGTACAGAACCCTGCCCATCTTATCTCATAGCTCTTCGGGTGTTGTACTCCAGTGTACAACTGACAGAAGCCTTAAAGTTCAAAAACCCAAAAGCGGTGTATTAAACCCTAGCTCTGTATCTCTGTAGCATGTTTCTGCTGTCTCTCTTTCCCTTTCCCTTCCACTGCATGTATAGTAATGTAAATCACAACTTTAAACAAGAATAAAAATACCCATTAATCTAAGCTTGTTAATTTCCTCTCAAATGGCTTATCTCTCCCTTTCTAAACCCTTTAAAGCTCGGGTTTTTCCCATTATACCTAGACTCTCACTTCCCGATTTCCTTACTCCTGTACACTTCTGCACTTCAACGCAAGATCAAATCTCCTCCGCCGCAGAAATCCCGCCAGCCAATCCACAACAAGAATCACAAGTCGAGACCCCAAATGCTGTTCAAGAGAATCAAAGTCAGCAGCGAATACCGCGAATTCCACGAGGTAAGCGTCCAGAACCAGAAAAATTAGAGGATATAATTTGTAAAATGATGGCGAGTCGGCCATGGACGACTCGGTTGCAAAACTCAATTCGGGATTTGGTTCCTGAATTTGATCATTCATTAGTTTATAATGTTCTACATGGGGCTCGTAACTATGAGCACGCGCTTCAGTTCTTCAGGTGGGTTGAGCGGGCTGGATTATTTCGACATGACCGTGAAACCCATATGAAGATTATTGAGATTCTGGGTCGAGCTTCGAAGCTCAACCATGCAAGATGCATTCTTTTGGATATGCCAAAAAAGGGTGTTGAGTGGGATGAGGATATGTTTGTAGTTTTAATTGAAAGTTATGGCAAAGCTGGGATAGTTCAAGAAGCTGTTAAGATATTTCAGAAAATGAATGAATTAGGTGTTGGGAGGTCTATTAAGAGTTATGATGCGGTGTTTAAGGTGATTTTGAGGAGAGGGAGGTATATGATGGCTAAAAGATTTTTTAATAAGATGTTGAGTGAAGGGATTGAACCAACTAGGCATACTTATAATATCATGCTTTGGGGATTCTTCTTGTCATTGAGGCTTGAAACTGCAATGAGGTTTTATGAGGATATGAAGAGTAGAGGGATATCTCCTGATGTGGTTACTTATAATACAATGATTAATGGATATTATAGGTTTAAAAAGATGGACGATGCAGAGAAGTTGTTTGTGGAGATGAAGGGTAGCAATATAGCTCCTACAGTTATAAGTTATACTACTATGATTAAAGGGTATTTTGCTGTTGATAGAGTCGATGATGGGTTGCGGTTGCTTGAGGAGATGAAGGAATTTGGTATTCAGCCTAATGCTTATACTTATTCGACTTTGTTGCCTGCGCTTTGCGATGCTGGGAAAATGACTGAGGCTAAAGATATTTTGAAGGAGATGGTTGGGAGGCATCTTGCTCCAAAGGATAATGCCATATTTATGAAGTTGTTATCTAGCCAGTGCAAGGCTGGAGATCTGAGAGCTGCTGAGGATGTACTTAAGGCAATGATCCGATTGAGCATACCAACAGAAGCTGGTCATTATGGTGTCTTGATAGAGAACTTTTGTAAGGCTGAGGAGTATGATCTGGCGGTGAAGTTTTTGGATAAGCTTATCGAGAAGGAAATTATATTGAGGCCACAGAGCACTTTGGAAATTGAGTCCAATGCTTATAATCCAATGATTCAGTATCTGTGCAGTCATGGGCAAACAGGAAAAGCAGAAATCTTTTTCAGGCAGCTGATGAAAAAGGGTGTTCAAGATCCAGATGCCTTTAATAATTTGATCCGTGGGCATGCAAAAGAAGGATCTCCTGATTCTGCTTTTGAAATTTTAAAGATAATGGGTAGAAGAGGGGTCCCTAGAGATGCAGATGCTTACAGGTTACTCATTGAAAGCTACTTGAGGAAAGGTGAGCCTGCTGATGCCAAAACAGCTTTGGATGGTATGATTGAAGATGGACATGTTCCAGATTCGTCTGTTTTCAGGTCAGTGATGCAGAGTTTGTTTGATGATGGGAGGGTTCAAACTGCTAGCCGGGTTATGAAGAGTATGATTGAGAAGGGGGTGAAGGAGAATATTGATTTGACGGCCAAGATATTGGAAGCTCTACTCATGAGAGGCCATGTTGAGGAAGCCCTTGGAAGAATTGAGCTGCTAATGCACAGTGGATGTTCTGTCAATTTTGATGCTCTTCTGTCTGTTCTTAGTGAGAAAAGCAAGACCATTGCTGCAGTTAAGTTGTTGGATTTTGCATTGGAGAGGGACTTTAATGTAGATTTTAAGAGCTATGATAAAGTCTTGGATTCTCTCTTAGCTGCAGGTAAGACCCTCAATGCATATTCAATACTGTGTAAAATCCTGGAGAAAGGAGGGGCCACAGATTGGAGTAGCAGTGACAACTTGATAAAGAGCCTTAATCAGGAGGGTAATACCAAGCAAGCAGATATCCTTTCAAGAATGATCAAGGGAGGAGAGAAGTCTCGTGACAACAAGAAAGGAAAGAAGCAATCTTCTTTTGCTGTCTAATTTAAATGATTTTGATTTGGTTTAGAGGACCAAAATTGGTTGATCTTCTATAGAAAACTATAAGTGCTTACTTTTTTGAAATGATAACTAGTTTCTTTTGAAGCAGAATAAATTCTGAGGGAAGGAATGCAGCATGTTTTGTTCTCAATCATTTTGAGGATACAGTGGTATCCCTTCAAACACTAATCCTGTTTCTATTTGAAATATTGTTGAAGAGTAGAACAGTTAGCACGTTCTGAAACAAATACTCTTATATAGTTTGTTTGTTACTCCAGCTTATTAATTTCACAAAAGAAGCATTTCTACATTTTCTTTTCTGTGAAATAGGTGCAAACATGCTGGTCTATACATTTCCCATTCCATTTGATGCTGCCTTGTTTGCCAATGCCTTCATCTGTGAAAGAAATTTCCTTATCATGAAACCCAAAACAGAAAGTTGGTCGCTTGGTTTGGCTGTGCTTGTGAGAAGTCCTCTAGGGATTGTTCTCTCTTCTCTGGATAGATACATCATTTTTGGGCATCTTCATTGTCTTATTGATAGGATCTTTATATTCCCGCTTGCATGAAACGTTGCATATGCCTCCGGGACTGGAAGTGTAAATATTGATTTTCTTTGTTCATGATAAAAGTGAATTTCATAATATAATCATTTTTTGGCAGAAGAATAATAAATTTCAGCTTTATATTAAAAAAAGTGAATTTCCTTTATTTATTATTTCCCGAAAATATATAATAAAAGAAAAAATATGGATTTTTTTAGGGAAGTTAATTGGGCAGTAAATATCTAGCTGCTTGGGATTTTCCCATGTAAATATCTTATCTTTCTAACCCTCTGTCCGTCCAAAAACGACAATTGGCAAAACAAGTGACACAACTTGCGTCCATCGTCTAATAGCTATTTCTCTATTTTGGCCTCATTTAGTGACAACTTCTAAAATATTATTATCATCTTTAATGTTTAGCAAAGCTGTTAAAGTACTCATTCTTCCTAAAATTATAGTTTTAAATGTTTTTTTTCGCAATTTATGAAAAGTTACTATCTTAAAAATTTTAAAATTAATTATTAAGACATTTGCTATTGTTTAATAAATAAAACTAATATTGATTAAACACAAATTATTATTGAAACATCCAAAAAGAAAACCTATATTATAATTTTGAAATGGAGAGAGTAAGTAATACTATCAAATAGAATTTTTATACCAATTTTTAATCTAATCCTAATAATTGAAAATTTTTTAAAGGAAAGAAACGGTTAATGCCTCCCAGAAAAATAAATGAAATTAAAAAATTGAATTCAATAATATTATCATAACATAAAAGCATTATACCAATTATTTGCAATTTCTCTCCAAATAAATGACATAAAATACTTTATTAAAATTTTTAATGTTTAATGAATCGAATTAAACTTTATTCATACAAAAGGAAATTTATAAATATTTTCCAAATCAAATCCACAATTTTTTTAATACATTTTGTATGGTATGGGCATTTGTAAACAGGGTTAACGGGTTCAATACTTGGGTCGGATTTTGGGTTACAAACCCTTGCCCAAATTGGACCATAAATATCTAGGCTTTCGCAAACCCTCTATAAAATCTTAGCTGCAGGGATAGAAATCTTATCCTTCCGCTCTTTGCTTTCTATCGTCGAGTTCAAAATTGAGAAAGCTTAAACCTTTAGCCATGTCTACTGCTTCTGCCTCTTCTCTTGTTCTTCCTTCTCTCAATCCTAAAACCCTTTTTCTCTGCAACCCAAATAAACCCACTTCACTTTTTTTTGTTTCTCCCAATTCTTCTTCCCTAACCTTCCATGCGAAGCCCGTTTCTCTTTCCCACTCCTTAGGACAACAACAACCCTTCTCTTCTCGCTTTGTTGCTAACGTTGCTATTTCTTCTGAGTTTGGACAAGAAGAGGAGGTATCTAGCGATGGAGATGAGTCCGGTTTCTCTTCTGAAGAGCCCAGTTTCTCTCCTGACCTTAAGTTGTTTGTGGGTAATCTTCCTTTTAGCGTTGACAGTGCTCAGCTCGCCGGCTTGTTTGAAAGCGCTGGAAATGTTGAGATGGTTGAGGTATTTTTTTCCCCATTATTTGACTCAAATTTTGTGACTTTTTTTTAACTATAATTTTCTCTCAATATGTCCTTGGTTATGACTCATGAGCGTGTTTGTTTTGAAGATAATTGTGTAAAAGTTTTACTTAGTTTAATCGTCAGTGGAAACTGTTGTTAATTTAAAGATAATTGGTTTGAGATATAGTCACATAAAACACTTGAGAATGCCTTAAGACCTTGTTAACCGCTGGATTTTATGTGCTGAAGTCTTTATTTTTATTTTTGAAAGGTAATATATGACAAAGTAACTGGAAGAAGCAGAGGATTCGGTTTTGTGACCATGTCAACTGCACAGGAAGTTGAAGCAGCTGCTCAGCAGTTCAATGGCTATGTAAGTCAAACTATATTGTTATCCATATTTTTTGAGGAGGTCACCTTGTAATGTGTTATGCATCTCTGTTTTATATCTGATTTGGATGTTGGAAGGTTTTAATTTTTAAAACTACTTCCTTTTGATTGAGATTTGAGATTTAGAATTTACTTAATGGTCCAACAATTGGTTTTAGCTAATTAAATGCGGCCATTTTCCTCCTGTGTCTTTCTGATAAGGTTATATTCTATGATTTAGTTGAATGCTTCTAAGAATAATTTTCCTATGACTGCAGGAACTCGAGGGGAGGGCATTGAGGGTGAATGCCGGACCTCCTCCACAAAAGGAATCTTCCTTTTCTAGAAGCCAAAGCCCAAGATCTGGTGGAAGTTATGATTCTGCTAACCGGCTTCATATCGGCAACCTTTCTTGGGGTGTTGACAACATGGCACTCGAGAATTTGTTCAGTGGGCATGGGAAGGTAATGGAGGCAAGGGTGGTTTATGACAGGGAGAGTGGTAGATCAAGGGGTTTTGGTTTTGTTACTTATAGTTCTGCTGAAGAAGTTGAAAATGCCATTGAGTTCTTGAATGGCGCTGTAAGTATATTTTTCTCTTGATGACATGTATTATTAACTAAATTTAGGTTGTCTATCTTGTATTATTGTTTTGTTTTTGTGTGGATTGTGAGTTTAGACAATCTTTGGCACATGATTCATTTGCATTTGTTTCGATTCAGGACCAATCTGAATATTTGTTTGATCTTTTAGAGATCATGTAAATGTCATAATGATAGCTCACTCAAAAATATTTGAATTTTGTTTAATCTATTTGTAAGTTAATCTTCCATATCTTTGCTATGTGATTAAACTATTATGAGTGACAAATGTGATGTCTGGTTATGTCATTTTGCCAATGTGCTTCTGGTCTAAATAGCTATTCGTTTGTTTGGAGCAGGAATTAGATGGTAGACCAATTCGAGTCTCCGTTGCAGAAGCTAGGCCACCAAGGCGTCAATTTTGAGTTCTAGACATTTCCTGTGGTTTCCTCTGAACAAATGTTTCAGGTGCCACTCTCTTATCCATTTGCACCTCTTTTTTCTTTTGCTAGGTAAACACGTGAACAAAATTGTTAGATGAAGCATAACTAAACATCTAATCTGTCTTAGATTTCTCTTCTAGTTATCTTAATTGGATGAATCTGATGAGAAAAAATGACCTCCATCAGAAAATATTTGTTATTTGAATGGACTGAATCCTTAAATTATCTAATTTCTGTGACAGGGACTTTCGAGAAAAGCCTGCAATCTATTGCTGTTCTTCAATCATATGCAAGATGTTATCCTTGTTCCTTGGATGCTGCTAAGAATGACAGTCATCTGCCTCTTTGATATATACATCTAAACGAACAAGAGCACTTGTTGAAATTTCTCCATGTATGATTTGGATAGCATGATCTTGATGAAAAACTCGTATGTAGGCTATTTTTATATAGAGTTATTGTATTAGTTATTTGGTTTGGCTTCTGCATATTTGTTTTGCTAGAAGAACCCTTTTTGATTGTTAAATGAATTGCAGGGAAAATATAACTTCCACTTAGATTCAAGCCTTGAATTAATAGTTCGGGATGAGATACTCGCCTAAACTCGACTCTATTGATTTGGTCCGTGAGCGAGTCTATAGATAGTGATATCTGTAATTTTGAGTTGAACATTATCAGGTTCTGACTTAGCTTGTTTACTAAATGAGTCTTGCTCGAGCTTGAACTCGACTTAAAGCTGAACTTTTTCTGAGCTAAAATTGAACAACTCGTGAATGGGATCAATTCAGGCACGACATTTCAGAGAGCTTTTGGATTGGACTCAATTGGCATGAAGCCTTACCCCTTGTCTAGGATAAGCTTTGCCCACATTAGTTAGGCTCAGTCCAATTGCACAAAATATATAAAAGGCTTAGTAACTCAAAAATTATGAACCCTAACTTGTTTTCAATTTGTCCGTGTATTTTAAAACGATTCAATTGACTTGTGAATTTTATATTAACTTCAATTTTATCGTGTGACCGCAATTACCAAGTGTAGTATTTTAATTAATTAAAAATTATATTTGAAAATAGATATAATATCAATTTCACTTTTAAATGTAAAAATGTAAGTCCTTTTCAAATATCTTGGGAATCAATTGGAAGAAAATGAATTTATTTCAAGAATTACATCCTATTCTTAGTTCTATATATAGCAAATTTGGGTTGCTTGCCAATAAGCTCCTTTGCGGCCAAGAAGAAGAACCTATTTACTAACACATAATTACTTGCATCTTTTCAACTACTTAATTAATTATTATTACTATTATCCTTAATTACTAAACTTTTGTGTCATTATCTAATTATTATTCTGTAAAATTGGAAATTTTCTAAGACGACAAGACAAGGTCAAACTGCACTAAGTCACTAAGTACAAGAGCTAGTTTTATCAAGATTATTAATAGCAAATACCCTTATATGTCGTTTTGTGTTGAACTTCAACGCTATTTGATTGCCTAAAGCTTTTATAATTTCTGCCATTTCTTCTTCAAATTGAATAACTCAAATAGTTCTATCAATATTTCTTCTTCTTCTCTTCATCAGAAGATAGCATTTGAATGGTATTATCCTATTTTCACTTAATTTGAATGTCATTGTTAAAAATTCTGAAAATGCATTGTTTTATAGTGATCAATTACTATAAATCTTTATTATTTATGCTTTTTTTTTAATGGCAGATCAATATTGATACCATTCATATCGCCGAGCACTATATATGGCTTCTAGTATATCAAGCTCTATAAGGTCTGCAAATCTACTTCAGTATCTATATTGACTCATCTTCTGTACCATATTCATTTTTAAAACTCTCATATACTTCAGCTTTGAAGAAGACGTTGAAGAGGGAAACTGCACTCCACCAAGAAAGATAAATATAAATCATGCCACCAAGAAAGCTGATGAAGAGGTTGTAGTTCGCAAGAATTTGCCTCGAAAAGTATTTTCCAGAGTCTTTTCAGAAGATTATGAATATGATGCAGTGGAGAAGACGATATTAGATCCTCGAGGACCAGTTATACACACATGGAACAAAATTTTCTTTGCAGCTTGTTTAACTTCATTATTTATAGACCCACTTTTCTTTTTGTTGCCTGAAGCTAAAAACGATATAGTTTGCATTCATGTATCTACCTCTCTTGAGGTTGCCTGCAGTGTCATTAGATCTTTAGCTGATTTAGCTTACATTTTCCACATTTTTGTTCGGTTTCGCATGGCTTATGTTGCTCCTTCTTCTCGAGTGTTTGGAAGAGGAGAGCTAGTGTTAAATCCTGCAAAGATTGCTTCAAGGTACCTTCACAATGATTTTTGGCTTGATGTTTTAGCTGCCCAACCCATTCCCCAGGTACTGACACTTCATTTCATCACAAAATGGCTTAATATTTCATCTCCAACTCATTTGGACATTTTTTGTCCAGGTTCTGATTTGGGTTGTGATCCCAAGTTTAAATGGTTCGTCAATGGCACATACAAGAATGGTTATCCGCATCAGTATCATAATTCAATACCTTCTAAGACTATATCTTATATTTCCCCTTTCATCTCAAATCAACAAAGCTACTGGTGTTGTCTTGGAAACAGCATGGGCGGGAGCAGCTTATAATCTGGTGCTCTATATGTTGACAAGCCATGTAAGTAAATGTATTAACTTGTGTTTCGTTTCTTTCTTTTGAAATGCTGAATATATTTTAACTTGTGATACTTAATTTACAATCCTTTGAAAGGTTTTGGGATGCCTGTGGTATCTCTTAGCTATTGAACGACAGGAGGAATGTTGGAGAAAAGTTTGTCATCTCGAACAATCAGAATGCTATTATTCGTTTATGGACTGTAGTCTTGTGGATAATCCTAGTAGAGTATCTTGGTTAAAATCCAGCAATGTTTCAACTCTCTGCAATCCGAGCAACGGATTCTTTAAGTTTGGCATTTTTAGTGATGCATTGACTTTTCAAGTTACTTCTGCAAGCTTTCTCAAGAAATTCTTTTACTGTCTTTGGTGGGCACTGAGGAATTTGAAGTAAGTACATACAATCTCTCTAACATGTTCAGTTTCTGGCTTCAATTCTTTTCGTTTTAGTTCTTTAAGTTGTTTCTCTCAATTTTGTAGTTCTTTAGGTCAGGATCTTTCCACAAGCACTCATCTTGGAGAAATAAATTATGCCATCATTGTTGGAATTGTTTCGTTGATCCTTTTTGGTTTGCTTATTGGAAATATGCAAGTAAGTCTAGCCATTAACAAAAACTCATTAGTTCTTGTATTATTTCCTTTACTTGTATTAGTTTATTGTCTTAAATTTGAATAATTTTTTATCTTTCTAATTTTTGCTTATGTTGACAGAGATATCTCCAGTCAAGTAGTGCAAGATTGGAAGAATGGAGGGTTTTCAAGACTGATACAGAACGATGGATGCGTCATAGACAGCTACCTCATGAAATGAGGGAGAGTGTTCGAAGATATAATCAACATAGATGGTGTGCAACTCGAGGAGTCGATGAGGAAGCTATTCTTAAAACCCTACCCATGGATCTTCGGCGCATCATCAAACGCCATCTTTGCCTTGATCTTGTTCGAAAAGTGAGTCCATAAGTTCATTAAGTATTACAATTTTCCAGTTAAAAGCTTGTTAAAATTTTTAGAACTTTTGTACTATGACATCAGGTACAATTGTTTAATATGATGGATGAGCAAATGCTAGATGCAATATGTGAAAGATTGAAACCATGTTTATATGATCAAGGGACTTGCCTTGTTCGTGAAGGAGATCCAGTTAATGAGATGATTTTCATTATTAGAGGTCGCCTGGATTCTTATACCACTAATGGTGGCCGTGCAGATTTCTTCAATTCATGCCTCATCGCCCCTGGTGATTTCTGTGGCGAGGAATTGTTAACTTGGGCATTGGATCCTCGTTCAAGTTCAAATATTACTCTTCCTTATTCAACGCGCACAGTTATCGCCATTACTGATGTTGAAGCTTTTGCCTTGATTGCAGAGGACTTGAAATTTGTAGCATTTCAGTTTCGTAGGCTAAATAGTAAACAACTAAGACATGTTTTCAGGTTTCATTCTCCGCAATGGAGGACATGGGCTGCTTGTTTTATACAAGCAGCTTGGTTTCGATATAGAAGAAGGAAAGAAGAAGCAGAGTTGGATAGAATTAGGATTAGGAGAATGAATGGGGTGGAAATGGAGCAATCGATGACTCCATCGTTGCTTAAAGTGGCTACTAATTTTACTATTTATGCATCAAAACTTGCTGCGAGTACTAAGAGAGGTGGACCAAAACCAGAAGAACCTGATTTTGCAGCTGAAAAATGAGCTTCTTTGCAGTGCAAGGTACAGGCTACAAAATTTTACCTGCTCTATAGCCTTGATCTTTAGATTCTATCAGTGATTAGCACATGTAACATAACCCCCAGCTCCGCAACCTTAGCTGATATGTTAATTGTTAGCTGCTGCAGTAGCTATTTTAATCCAGTCAAAACACTAAAGGTTATCTCAAAAGCTGTTGCTGCACAAAGCCAACGTGATTATTGTAATACTATAGACGGCATAAAGTAAGGGCAAATTTTGCTGTTTTTGTCAGTCTTATCAGAAAATTAAAATGGAACTACTAATGAATTTTATTTCGATGCTCTAAATTCATCAGTAAAACTGTAAAATTGCAATCAACAAACGGTTGGACAAGAGGAACGAACTACATTTCCAAGTGAACGTTATCTACTTAAAGTAAAAATTAAATGTTCGAACCTAGGAAAAACTAAAACCCATAAAATGAATTGCCAATTTTAACCTGGTTTGCTTTCAACTTAGCCAGGTTTTTTACTTACAACCAAAAGGGTAATCCATATTGGACTTTCTTTAGGATTTGTCTAAAATTGTTCCAACACTTAAAAATTTTTAGCTAGGCAATCTTTGATTTGAGTTTATTAACTTAGGTCCAAGTCCAACTCAAGAGCAAATGAAGTATAGTCCAAGATAGCCTGCAATATATATATATATATTTTAGCATTTGGGGAGAGGAGGGAATCCAAGGTGTGCAGCCTGCAATATTCTCTTTTAGACCATATTGAAGAATATTTATAATAATAAATAGAAAAAGTCTGCAAAAGACTAATATAGGCATTAAAAAAGTCCCCTTTACTATTAGTTTGTTAATTTGTTATACTCTTTGTAAAGCAGTTTATAACTGATTAATTTGTCAATGGAGTTTCAGGCTTTTGGAAGTGGCTGCATGAAACCAAAGTTTTCTTTTTCTTCTTATTAAAATGTTGACTCAATGATTCTATTTGAAGTTCATAACCTTTGACTTAAAGCTAAAGAGAAGTAATATTTTATTTAGCTTTTTATAAAGTTAAGGTTTTCTTCATTAAGTTGTTATATTATAGTTAAGTATTTATGAGTTGGATGACAAATTATGAATTGGATAATACTTACTTTGTCTTTACTGACTGGGGTTTATCTTTCTTTTTTCTTTTCTTTTTTTTTTTTTTTTTTTTTGGTACTATTGCTCCTAATTATTATAAACTTAGGGTTTTTGCCTATCAACTATTAAAGACGGGAAGGAATTATTTGGTGGTACTATACACCTACCATAAAAGGGTAATCACAAATACCTGGTGAAGATCTTTCTTTAGGATTTGGTCTAAAAATTTGTGGCTCCACATTGTGAAATAAAATTATATATAAAAGAACCTAGGATTAATATTTTGGGAGTTTATGAAAGTTTTTAATTAACCTTAGGTCCAAGTTCTCCAACTCAGAGTCTCTATTTTATTGATAGTTATTATGGTCGAGATTAGGGCCTTTGCGGAAATATATATTTATTTATATGAGGGTATTTTAGCATTTCGGGTGAGAAGGCGTAGGGAACTCCATCCAAAGGTTGTGCACAGTTTCTGCAAATATTCTCTTTTAGAACCATATCTGAAAGAATATTTATAATATAAATAGAAAAAGTCTGCACAAGACACTTAAATAAAGGCAAAACCACTTAAAAAAAGTCCCCTTTTGACAAGGTATTTAAGATTTTTTTAATTTTATACTCTCTTTGTAACGCAGTTTATAACTGATTAATTTGTCAATGGAAGTTTTCAAGGGCTTTTGGAAGCATTGGCTGGCTTTAGATGAATATCTCAAGTGGGATTTATCACTTTTTCCTTGCATATTAGAAAAATGGGTATAGACTCGAAATGACTTCCTGATTATGAAGTTCATTATACCTTTCATTCTATTAAAGCTTTGGAAGAGGGAAGGCTAGGGAATATTTTATTGGCTAGCTTTTGGATAAAGTGGTTAGGAATTGTGTTTTTTCTTAACTTCCATTAAGTTGTTATATTATAGTTAAGTATTTATGAGTTGGATGACAAATTTATGAATTGGATAATACTTACTTTGTCTTTTACTTGCACCTGGGGTTTTAAATCTTTCTTTTTGTCTTCTTCATTTTTTATTTTTTTTTTTTTTTTTTCTTTTGGGGAGACCTTTGGGCACTCAAATTACCGATTCAGAAGATTGAATCTCTGGTTTTTTCTTCTCTGCGCATTTCTTTTCGGTGTTTTATATCATTATCTTACACATGAATTTTGATTTTTTGCATGGTTTCTTTTTCCCCCATTTCTTGGCAAATTTGAAAAGGGTACAACACTATATCTCTATTTCTAAAGTATGGAATTGCTCCCAAACACTAGCAATTGCAAAAATAGGATACTTTAAAACTAAAATGAAAATTTTTTGCTAACACCCGAATGTACGAGTGATTTTGTAGATCCAAAACCAATTAAAAAAAGATCTTTTAAATTGATTTTACTTTTAGTCATTTTTGCTTATTGTATGATTAAAAATATCTAATAAATTGAATAAAAACACTATTTGTAATTGATTTGATTATATAAGTTGAGTCATACACTGAGTGACAGGTAAAGTCTTTTTTTCACCTTAAATGAAGAAATATAAAAGAACAATATATATACACAAATTTTATATATACAACCTTGTAACTGTATGTATCGGATATTTAGCTTTATTTCCTAATTGAAAAAGAAATAAGGGGTGAATTTTTCTTTAGTTTCAAGGGTATATTTATTTATTTCTTTGGGTTTTTAATTTACTTATTATTATTAAAGGATTTTCAAACTTAAACAATTCTTTTAAAACTAATTTGTCTCAATTTGCATTGCTCTTTTAAATAATTTTCTATTGGAGGTTTACTTGAAATTAGTTTTTCTTACTGCTTGTTTGCCAATCATCTTTTGTGCATGCTTTCCAAATTATTGACACATGGGTTATGATCTACTGGTCTCTCAAAAGTGAGGGAAGGATTTTTGCAGCGAGATGAGAGGAAAATTACAAACTCAGAGAGGAGAGATGGATTTTTATTTAAAATTTCATTTAGATTATTAACTTTGTGGTTTGTTTTTTTTTTTTTTTTTTTTTTTGGGGAGACTTTGGGCACTCATTACCATTCAGAAGATTGAATTGGTTTTCTTGCATTTCTTTCTTAATCATTATCTACACATGAATTTTGATTTTTTGCATGGTTTCTTTTTCCCCATTTCTTGGCAAATTTGAAAGGGTACAACACTATATCTCTATTTCTAAGTATGGAATTGCTCCAAACACTAGCAATTGCCAAAATAGGATACTTTTAAACTAAAATGAAATTTTTTGCCTACACCCGATGTATCGAGTGATTTTGTAGATCAAAACCAATTAAAAAAGATCTTTTAAATTGATTTTACTTTTAGTCATTTTTCTTATTGTATGATTAAAAATATCATAATTGAATAAAAACACTATTTGTAATTGATTTGATATATAAGTGAGTCCATACACTGAGTGTAGGTAAGTCTTTCCTTAAATGAAAATAAAAGAAAATTTAAACAACAAATTTTATATATACAACCTTGTAACTGTATGTATCATAATATTTTTGAAAAAGAAAATAAGGTGAATTTTTTTAGTTTCATAAATATTTTTTTTTTAATTTACATATTATACAAACTAACAATTAAAAACTAATTGCTCAATTTGCATGCTTTATAATTCATGATTACTATTGTTTTCTCTTTTGTGCATGCTTTCAAGTTATACACATGGGTTATCATCTACTGGTCTCTCAAAAGTGAGGAAATTTTTGCAAGAGATGAGAGGGAAAAATTACAAACTCAGAGAGGAGAGATGGATTTTTTTTAAAAAAAAAAAAACTTTTGGTGTGGTTCTTTCTATGCAATTTCATATAATTTTGATTTTTTTGGGTTTTGGGCAAAAGAGATTATTTAATGAGAATTTATGTTTGAGAAGAAGAGGGAGATTGTAGACAAATTGATGAGGATGTAACATAAAATAGCATCAAAAAGTGGGACAAGATCAATGAAAGGACAAAAGTATTATCAACCCCAGAAACCTAGTCAGGGACCTCCATATTTCTCTGCATTTTCAAGCTTTTTTTTTATTTATTATTTTTCTTTTTCTTTGATTTTATAACTTCATAATTAGTTATTACGGTTGCCTAGGTATGGTCCCACTCACTTCAACCATGCCTGTTGATGGACCTTTTCAATTAGTCAGCAAATTTTGGTCCCACTTTGACTAATGGACCCAACTCAGTTTGTTTCTTATCAAAGCTTTGTTTCGTAACGACATTTTAGTTAGTTTTTATTGTTTTAATAAATTTTTAGAGATTAAAATAGCGTTTTGTAAAAATTTAATTCATATAATATTTAGCTTTAACGTTTTGTAAGAAATTATTCAAATAGTTAACTGTTAAATACTACTAAAACAGCTAACAGCTACCAAAACAATTAAGGTCATGTTCAGCAATTTTATCTATTCTAGTAATTATTAGCTGTTTTAATAGCTGTCAGTTGTTTTACTAACAATTAGCTATTAGATATTAGTTGGTAGTAATTAGTTGTTTATAGAGCAGTTCTGTTTAATATAAAAAGACAAAAAAAATATAAAAGTGGAGAACAAGGTAAAAATAAATAATGAATATAAGAATTATACAAAATTTATAAAACATTAAACATTAATAAAAATAACGTTTCATGAAATACTGACTCAAATTTTAAATGCTAAGATAGATCTTGTATTATCGAACCCCATAATTAATTAAGATAATATTTTAATCCAATCAAAATACTAAACACTACATTAAACACTCCTGCGAACAAACACTAATTTTGGATATCTTTAAACCAAAAATGTGAGGATTCTTTTTTTTTTATATATAAAAATAGAGAGCAAAAACTTGATTATTGGACTCAAGAATAAATATTTATGAATGCTAGAATAGATGAATGCATTTTTTGAATAAATTGAATAAATTTTGATTTCCATACACATAGATTCACTCTCTAATAGTAATAAGTAAAGGAAAAAAAAAAAAAAAAAAGAAAACCTAAAGGAGAAGATTCCAATGTTATTATGGACTAACAAGAAGTCAAAATAGTGATGATATAACGAATGGAAAATTTGAATTATGAAGTTAAGGCCAATAGCGGTTGAAGCTTTGAAAGAATGGAAGTTATCCCAAAAAGAAACCAATTAACCCACTGACAATTTATGTCATTCAACATCATTTGTCAAAAAAAATGCAACCCAAACAAAA